TCCACCACTACATCCATCAATCTGTCCAGCTAAACAATTTGGGCCTCATATGCCGTCCCTATGCCCGCCTGCAATGCCCTCCGACATCCTCTGCTCAGCAACACCCTCTCCTCCATATAGGAGCACCATGTTCCACATGACAGAAAAAATATTCAACGTCGGCGCAATTCCCTCTCTTCGATCTCTCCTACCCATTTCTGCCTCCGGACATGTTTATCTGCCCACCCTTAATGCAGTCGCATGTGTCGTGCACATGCTCAGGAAGCCGCAGACCCTCTCTGCCTTTCTGTCGGGATAAGCTCTTATCAACCAGGCCTGCTTTGATGTCGCATGCCTAGCCTCAATCGTGTAAAGCTGACATATGTCCACCCGGAACGTACCTGGCATTGACGCCACTACTGACCCGCCTTTGCCGGCTGTGACTTGGCGCAGTACACATCCATCTCCATGCTGCAAGTTGTGCAGCCGTGTTGATGTACTCGTTAACCTCTTCTGTCTCAGTGACCAGAACCACGACAGGTGCCGGGATTTTAGCGGGAAGAGTGTTCGGTGCTGCGATCCTTTTTAATTCTGGGGTCTGTATTTTTTTCTAGTTGATTGTATGCATGCTTCCGCTTTGACGGCACTTGGACCATTCGAGACTGTATGGACGGATGGCGTCGTTTTATGGTTGATTCTTTTGAGAGAGAGGGCAGTGTAATTGACCTATTAACCTGTCTTGAGATGTGATATTCTCGTGCTGACAGATTGTATCCAGGTGCGCTTTAGTGAATGGAAAATTCAATACTTGACATTGGTGCTTGTCAGACTGATGGTATAAACCATCCTGCGCACAAGATCGATACACATGGCTCGTTGTTACCTTTGTTGGGGCTCAAAGGATCAAATTGATTGAATTGAATTAATTGTTCCCGATTTTGGCTGAATCAGGTATCTAACAGATCTAGATCAAAAGGGCCAAAGTTCTCTGATATCTGCTTCTGATTTAACCGGCTCATCATCATCGACATCCTCTTCTTCTAAGATGGCCTGTACCATCGCCTTGTAAGCTTCCCTGTATGTTGACTTCGTCGTCTCCCAGTCATCGGCATGAACCCAGCCATCTGTCCCACACTCCAAAGCCTGGGAAATACTGTGCTTCAGCCGTTGTACAAATTGGAACTTCTCGTAGTCTGCACGATGTTCAGCAATTTCGGTTTCGTTGGGTACAAGGAATGGACACGATCCCGCCAGGCCCAGCTCGTCCCAGTGCAGAGCTGTCTGGATGAGCTCTTCGCAGAGAGCAACAGCGCCAAAATTCCATGTGCTGTATGCAAAACGCATTGGTCCGAAAGAGGGACTCATCCATGGACATAACTTTCGCAATGCTTGGTATGAGGAAATGCATACTCGCGCTGTATGCCCTTTGCACATACCTCACTTTTTGGCTCCATCTTGTCCGCGCACTCGGGATCAGGAACGGGTTGCGCAAAGTCCGGGACTTCATCCGCGTACCAGAATGCCGGTTCGATGCTGCATGATTGCCAGTCGATTATAGCTGTGACGATTTCGGGATCTTCTTTGGAGACGAAGATGTTTCTCTTGTGGAGGTCGGGGTGATATAGTACTGGTTGGGATGCGGCTTGGATTCTCGGGTCCTCAGCCATATTTGAGATAACTACACGGGCATTTTCTAGTAGCTCATGGTGCATCTTGATGTTCCCTTTGTAACATGGCTGGTTTTGAAGGTTGCGCTGATGGTATCCTGGATCTTCCTGTATCAACGAGACCGTCACAGAATGCGCCAAGATTGAGCCCTGTGCAACCGGTAAGTGAAATGAAGAGCTTTTGTGATCGATATGACTCACAAGGTCCCTGGTTCGGTGATACATCCCTATAGCATCTCTCACTTCCGACGCCACAGTCCCAATACCTAGGTCCACAATGTGGCCCAATGCAGTGATCTTCGTCTAACGACAATTTTGAGATAGCACCAGCTGCTTTCTTTGGATAAATGCTTCCGTAGGCCGAGAATTTGAGCTCAGCGACTTCTTTCATGTTCATGTAGATGGATTTGATACAGCCTATTCGCTCGTTCAGATCCATTGTTGGCCATCGTTCGTGCAGCGACACACCAGTAGCATGCTCCATGATGATATATTCGCTACCAATGCTGTTGTGCGCATCATCACTCCATTCAAGGATTGTGGGGATAGGAACGCGAGTTTTCTTCTGTACTAACATAGTGGCACTGTTAGTCACTTCTATGATAATGCGGTTCAAGCCATACAGTATTTGATGGTCGCAACCTCGGACTTAGTCGTAAGCGTTTTAGGTCCCGCTACGGAGAAAGGTAATTTTGCAACGACACTTTTCGCATTGTCTGTGTGAAAGACAAACACTCTGTTGAAGCCGCCCTCCTTCTTCTCGCACGAGGTTATTGAGGTTGCGCCAGGACATGATTGGATGACTCGTTGACAAAGGGCTTCAAAATCGAACTGTATGAAGCGTGCTTGTCGCTCTGACGTGTCGCGGTGGAGCCATCGACCATTTGTGTAATGGTGAGGGTCAAAGCCTACAACAACGTTAGAATGACCTGCAAAGGAATGAGATGCGGCGCAAGGACTTGCCGGGGCTCTCTGTTTGGATCATTCGTATCCCCCTTTTCAGTGCGCTTTCAGGAAGACGTGACGTTAGTGGTGGTTCGCAGGGCACCTGTATGCTTGAAGTACTAAGTGGAGACATGCATTGTATGCGGATGCGGCGGGACGCCACTTGTAGAGTTCTTCTGAGTGACATGTCTCAATCGGCTAGACCTTGCCCAGGTGTTTGTTCGGGAGTGGCACGTAAGGAACGAAGTGACTGTCATTAGCGCTAGTGCGTTAGTCTACAGACCTTATTGGCACGCTTAACAATGCTCCCATACCCATGGATCAAGTGAATGGGATACACTCCAGCTAAGTGACCTTTTATACAAATGTGGCAGGATGAACAAGCAAGCTTAGAAGGCATGTATTAGAATATAAGTTAATGTTCTCCCGCAAATGTGCAAAGCTGAATTTCCTTGTTCACTAAGGAGCATCCATGGATGCCTTTAAAAGGCCAATCAAAACAGTGTCATACAGTCCACTAGCTCACAAAATTGTCTCAGAAGATTAACTGTGTTCTTATCTTGGTGTCATATCATGAAGTTATTACTCACAGAACACCACCCGTCAGAAAACCAATGATGGCCATTCGCTGGCGTGTAGCCCGATCTCACAGTTTCGCAAACCCTTCCCATTCTTCATCTTCACTCCTCACCCCCTGCCACATATCCGCAACCTTCCACAGCCTGTCTCCATCGATTCCATCAAGCACCGCGCCCCGCCCATCTCTATACTTCCAATCGTATTCCTCTTCATCCACTTCAATCAATCCCTCGTTCGCGAAAACCACCACTTTGCCTCGCGCAGCCCAAGGCTCTCCATGGATATACCTGAGGAACTGATCTGCCATGGCTTGTGAAAGCTGCCGATGTTGTTCGCTGAGCTGATCGTTGAAATGCTGTAGCAAGAACGCTACGTCGAGTTCGTGGGAGGCGATGTCTTTGAAGCTGCCTTCGAAAGGGTTGGGGATGTGGAAGTGGTATCGGAAAGCGGCTCGGGTTGGAGATGACGTCTTCCAACCTTTATATGCTCTACACACTGGGTCGTGGAAACGGAGCTCGGAAGCCAGGCGAAGTAATGCATCTCGTTGTTGGTCGGGTGAGGATTGGTCGGCGAGTTTGTACGCAGCTAGTAGTCGTTCGGTTTCGCTTTTCGTCAAGTATTTAGAGCATGCCGCTCTCAGTCGCTCTAGGACTTGTGGGTGGTCTAGTATTCGCGCTTTGAGGACTGTGCCGTCATGTGCGGTATCTCCCATGACGAATTCCTTACACCAAGCTGGCTTGTGCTCGGCTCGTTTTCCATCGGCCAGGACAGTGGATGTGACATCTTCTCTGAGAAAATCACCATTGATGTGTCCGCAATGATGCGCTGCCAGGGGTAGCTGCTGAGTAAGAGTCTCTGCGTCGGTATCTCTCAGCCTCGTCTTCAGACCCGTCTTTTCTGTATAGTCGATGCCCAGATTGGCGGCTTGGTCTTTGTACATCTGTTGATGCCACCACATTTTTCTTGGCTTTCGAAGTGTTACATCGCCGCTCATGAGGATCACTCGATCGAACAATCCTTCGGTGCCCACTTCAGCGCAAAGCAACGTCGACAAAGATATCGCGCCCGCTGACTCCCCCGCGGCAACAATATCCGTAGGATCTCCACCAAAGCCAGCAATATGTTTCCTGACCCAGCGGAACGCCAACACCTGATCTTTAAATCCCATGTTACCCCCTGCATCCAGCTCTTCATGAGCCGCAAATCCAAACAGCCCGACTCGATAGTTTATCGAAACGGCAACGATAGGTTTGCCAATCTCAACACTCCTATCGACAAACTTTTGCAGGTCGTACTGCGGCCAGCTATTGCTGCCTATACTCAGTCCGCCACCGTGAACCCAAACAAAGACTGGGAGACTGCAATATTCCTGGGTGGCCGGGGGATTCAGGCAAGACTTTGGCGTCGTGACGTTGATGTGTAAGCACTCGAATTCGTCCATTGCCTCAGTCTCGCCTTGTCCTTGCTCGCACAGCAGGCTGACGTTGCCGACTAGTGTAAGATCCCACGCTTGAGCGCCACGTTTTTGCGGACATGATGGGCCGAACTTGGTTGCGTCGACGATGCCGTCCTGTCCTGGATTTATAGTGTCGTCCGCAATGGAGTCCTGATACCGTGCTGGTATCCTTGCGTATTTGAGGTTTCTGAACTGGACCGAGGAAGCGGTAGATTTGCCGCGCAGGGATCGACCAAGAGTAGGATGCGTGAGTGTGCGATCTGTCGATGCCATATTCGGAAACTAGGTCGGCCGATTGACTTTAGGGATTTTGAGTGCGGATCGATGGAACCGGGTCATTTATCAGTACTCAGCTCAAAGAACGAGACGTGTGATCTCGACCGAAGGTTCTTTTGCTGCTGGAAAGATTGACGTAAAGGAAGATCGACATAAAGACAAAAGGCAACGTGAGCTCGGCCAACACCTGCATTATAGTCTCCAGATTCCCCATATGTAACGAATGTGGGGAATGTGGGGCTGGGGTAAAGCCGCGGCTCTTAGAAAGCTCGCAGGAACAGGTTCGACTGCGAACACGAAAACTGCAATACATTTTACATGCATCGCTCTGAAGGTAAGCTAGTCGTGAGATGAAGTAGTCTATAGTAAGAAGGAAGAACTAGCGCAATCTGAGATTGCGAGATGAGCTTGTTCGGAGGCTCGGCAGACCATCCCACGGTGCCGGGCCGTTGGTAAATCGGAACCTACTCACCTCTTCGGATTCGGTCAGGATGCCTGGCATTGAGGGAAAACGAGTTCCGTAATCATTTCGACATTTTGAAAGCTCTTAAGAAGTCATAAAAACGTACGTATCATTGGATCTTCGTCTACATCGTCCCTAACATCATGCTTGCATCCACTCGTTCATTTCCATTCCCTACTCCTCATCTTCCTCATCACTTTCATCGTCACCGAACTCAACACCGTACTCCGCACACACATCCCATCGATCACCCTTCGCACTCTTACTGACATACTTCGTGAACCTCAGGACACCCTTGTCTCTCAAGTTGATCGCCAGATTGTTCCAAGCAGCAGGCTGACTGAACAAGATGCCATCGTCCTCGTCGTCAGCTGCAGACTTGTAGATTGCAGGATCAGCTTTGGCCTTGCGACGCTGTCCGGCACCAGTTTCTGTAGCGTTGTGCGATGTAGGAATGGTCGGATGATCCTCATCGTCTTCGCCAGCCATGTACATTTCGTAGCCACCGACTTCTTCCTCGGGCTTGGGTTCTGGTTGGGCAGGTGCTTTCCCGTTAGCCTTGCCTTTTCCTTTACTCTTGCTACTGTTGCCGTTTTTCTGTGGCTTCTCCTCCTCTGGCTCCTCGTCTTCATCGCCCCAGCCTTTCGATGGTGTAATGCCGAGACACACTTCTAGCTGTGGGTCTTCTTCCTCGTATGCAGTTGCGAGTGTGTAGTCTAGACCACGTCGGAAGCGGCGCGCAAAAATGTTGCTCTTGGTGAGCGTTATACCAGTTGCGAGAGAGATCCACTTGGTGAACGCGGGATGAGGGAAGAGAACATCGACGAGATCATCGTAAGGTGTCATCCCATCACTCTCGGGGTATGGTGTTGTCGGTATAGGCTGTATGGCCTTGCGGTACAGATAGCGATGCTTGTGAGGTGGTCGTGCAACCCCAACTTTTGATTCTTTGTGGTGTGGGTTGGCCGGTAGGGCGGGATTCTTCTCGTGATCCTTCGATTCGAGGTACTCGCAGAGCTTGGTAGAGAACTTGACAGACAAGAAGTCGGCCAGTCGTATCGATGAATCGTCGGAGAAAGTCTTTGAGACCTCCTCGACAGTGTCTGGAGTGAGGTAATTTGGGTTCATGTACTTGATCAAGAAGTCGATCTCGTTCTCGGTAAGCTCGTCATCCTCCTGCTTTGCCTGTTCTTCCCAGTCGGGGATGTCAACCCATTGCGACTGTGGCTCATCGAATACGTCTGCCTTTCCTCCTTGCAATTGTGCGAGCGAACTCTTCTCTGCGAGCTTCTCCTCGAGACCTTCCTCAAAGCCCTCTTCGCCTTCTTGTGGTATGTGAAACCAACCACTGATTGCCATACGGATACGCCCTCCATCATTCTCTACTTTCTCTTCTAGGCCCCTTCGATATACTTCCTCAACGTCATGGAAGCTCTCTCCAGGTTGTACTGTGAAGAACGATAATTGGTTCCAGGCTGGTGGTATCGATAGCGAGAAGTCTGGCTGGGGAACTTTGACTTCGTCACCCTCCGGTGTCGTCAGCTGCTCCGTGGGGTACAGTCGCAATGCGCCTCCCCATTCCGCCTTCCACTCAATATCAGGATCGAGTAGATACAGAATCCAACTCACACGCCGACTGCCAATGACGTCATCGTGGCATAGCAAATGACATCCAGGTGTGTATACATTCACAGCCATATCCGTCTTCACACCACTCAATGGGCCAGACCCTGTTATGCCAGATAGATATTTGCGAAACGCGGACGAGTACAGCGAATCGCGCAACGTGAGCAAGCTCGGCAATCGCTTGAGCGCCGAATCATCAAGGCCATCGAGATTGGCCAGATCGCCCGACTGGTGGATTTTGTAGATATCCGTCTCTTTGGGTGTGAAGTGGATGTGCTCGCGAATCTCGTTGCGGACATTGCGGAGGAGCTTGTCGTCGATGAGGTTTTGGATGACGGCATGCTTATAGCTGGGATACTAGTCAGACATGCCAAACTATAGCAAGAGGGATAGTTGCGTACGGTTGCGACTCTGCGTAGTACTTCGTATAGCTCTCGAGCACCTTGCCATCGAACAAGCCGCTGCGGAAATTCTTATGCGCCTCGTCGTCGGAAATGGCCCTCTTCTTCTTGGGCTGGCCATTGGAAGGCGCGCGATTCTTACGCTTCGCCATTTCGGATTCTTTCCTTCGGGACTGATGTGGAAAGCGGAACGAGGTCGGCTCGCAAGCAGCTTCAAGAGCTATCTATGAACGACAAAAGTTCGCTAGAAATAAAAGTGGGGCATCGCCCGCCTCACACCACCCTGGCGTCACCAGCCAAAACCTTAATTCTTCCACACCGATGACAGATGCTTCGCTTACGGAATCGCAAACTTAATTTCATGATGGCCGTATCCAAAAGAAACAATGATGTTCCGCGTCACATGAAGCGAAATAGCGTGTGCGAGAGCCCACGTACTCTGGTTGGCTTGGTTTCTGACATGCCGACGTCAGTTCGGATTCATGTCCACGGAATTGGTCGAACCGGCGGAAGCAATTAGGTGATAAAGCTATTGACGTTGATCACGAAACATGACAGAATGAGGCTGTGGACAATGAGTGTGTATCCATCCCGAAAATTGCAAGAGAAGCGTCTATGTGTACATCAGCAGACATATGCAGAATGAAAATAATAGGTCCTGTGTACATGGGTGATTATGTTGTGCTCACACGGCTATCCTAACTTCCCAGCCCTATTCGCGAACCATGCGACGAATATACCCGAAGCCGTAACCATATACGAACTCACTCCGAACGCGCCCTGAACATCAAGCTTGAAGTGGCTCCAAAGTACGGCGAACAGTAAGCTGGCCAACAAGAAGACAGCAAGGACAAGACCAATGAGTAGATCAAAGTCCCAACCTTCCTGGAAATGTATGCCCCAGCCCTCTGCTGGTCGACCAATGGTCCCTATCAGCTCTCCCTTGGTACGCTTGGGTAGTTGTTCGAGCACAAAAGTCTCCTTGGGAGTTATGCATTGGGGCGACGTGAGCATGTGCATCAATTCTTCAGAGAGAACTGGAGGCCATATGTCGAGCGGACCAGCTGGGGCGCATCTGTACTCCGCATCTGGAGATGGCTCGACTTTTGGTGCTGGTGGCAAACACTCGCATATCCTCTGCGTTGAAGAAGTACAGCAAGGTTCGTGGTTGCGGACCTCTGCACTCCCACCTGCTCGAAGGCGGAACTTAAAAGTGGATTAGCACTTTTGATCTTGAAGACGACAAGACTTGTATGCTTACTTTGACAAAGTATATGCCTTGTACACATTTGAGGGAGAATATTTTGCGAATGCGTCCCCTGTGTCTCGCCAATAGCTTTTGCATGAAGGTGAAAAGCGCTTGATCGTTAGAGATGTCATCGATGCGGTCCTGATGCACGGTCCGAAGATACCGGCCACGCTGCATGCATGCCATCAAGTGCAGGTTCTGCTGCGGCGTCTGCAATTCTATGGCTTGGAGAGCGCAAGCCGTGCTTGTACCAGCTTGCCTATGCTGCGGCAGGCCTGGTGGTACACCTACGAGACGTTTAAAGGTAGAAGACACCTTCTGGGTAATTCCCCGCGTCCAAGCAGGAGTTCGAAATGCGTATCGCTGGTTTGTCGTCGCTTGGTTGTACGAAGTGGCGCCTACCCTACATCCTGTAGATTGTTCCATTCGTTCAATGAGCCTATCAACTCCACCCTCGCGATACTCAAACACATCACCGGAAAACTTCTCTTTGCACTTCTGTTCATCAGTTAGCTGATGTGATATAATGTTGTGACAAGTAGTGTTTGCCAAGGAAAGAGCCGAGTGCATACTTACACACTGCCATCTAAGCCTGATGTACCCTTCCTTCAACGGGGTCTCTAGATACCCCAGACTGACTAGAGTAGCACGTATCGAGACAGCTAGATTGCCAATTTGTGTTCGATAGGAGGAAGGAGGGGGCGATGTGCTTGGTGCTAGCAACATGTGCTCTTCTTCAATTGTCTTGCGATCCTCACTGCCTTCAACGGCACTGCTTCCGCTGACCTGCTGCGGTGAAAGATCAGCATAACTTGGTGTGACCTCTTGGAATAGCACTGCAGCATCCTGATTTGCTAGACTCTGCTTGCTGTCGTTAGCTCTTTCTCGCTTGTGTAACATAGAGATAGTACTTACTGGTCGAGAAAAATCTGTCGACAAGGTGGACAAAGATGGCATGGGAGTCTTCACGCTTGATGAACTTTCTGTAACCTCCAGTGGAGTAGCATGATATAGGCGGTCTTGTTGCTGAACAGCTGCGGTATTGTACAGCATGTCGGCTGTGTCAATGACTTTGTCCCGGGATACAGGAACTACAGTATCAGTAACTAACCTGTCATGCTCGGAAATTTTCGGATCATTCATCGCTACTTCATCGATCTCTGGCGCACCCGCCGTCGGCTTACCGGTCGTTGCTCTAACGGTTGTTTTGGATCTGACGTGGGAGTTCGATCTGTCGCTCCATCTTCTGCGGCTATGACCATGCATCACATCGTCGTCCTCCCATGGGTCTTGATAAATAGCTGGTGATGGTCCAGGATAGGTAATTGCTGGAGCAAAAGGATTATACTGAGATGTGTCCTGATACGCGGACGGAATTTCGGATGATAATGAAGATTGACGAGCTGATGTTGGCTTTAAGACAAAATTTGGTGGGAACGATACGTGTGGTGGAGCATGTATGCGCTGGGTAGCCGGTTGTATCAATGCTCTTGAGGCCTTGCTTTCGCCTTCCACAATTTTATGCTTCTGAATGTGAGCGCCCCGTTGCTCATTCTGTGAGAGCTCTGCTTGTAATAAATCTCTTCTGTTCCGCCCCCGAGCATGTTGGGAAATTTCCAGACCATATACTCTTTCTTCCGCTGCCTCACGATCAACTTTCTCAAGGGTTTGAATGAATCGTGGATGTAACTCTCCTTGAAGCTCACTTCGCAATCGCTCTTTGCCGTCACGGATGTGCAATTTTGACCGGTTTCGACCATCTAAAGGTAGCGCACCTTCTTCATCTTCAACGTAATACCCGTGCATAGTATTTTTAAAGTCGACTGCGTCATGTTCAGGAAGTTGTGGGAGAACCGCTTGAATTCCAAAGGTTATGGGTGCTAGCCTTGAACTTCGAACCGCGACACCGGGTTCGTCCTGATAGACCTGGGGGGTGACTTTCGTGACATTGAAGGATGACGCTCGGGCCGAGCCAGAATGAGACCACGATGACGAGGATGATGAGAATTGGCTATGGTCTGATGAAGAATATTCGCTACCGGCTGATGACGAGGAGAATCGGCTGTGTTCTGATGACGACGGCACTCGAACACCAGTTGATGAAGGTGGGGAAAGGTGAGTGGTTGATGATGGAGGCTCGATCGGTGAGGGAAGCGAATCCGGAACATTTGAGCCTTTTCTAGGATCGTACTCAGTGATCCTCGTGCGGACATTCGAGCAAAGCCTGCCCTTTCGAGCCTTCTCGCAGGGAAAAAAAGCCTCCTCATACGTCGAACGATGGCCATCCTCCCTAACATAAACCCTGCGATGGACCCGGCACATTCTTTCTGGATACTAATACGGCGTTTAGAGCAAAATCTATTACTTTGGCTGATAGAACGACTAGATGGCTCTCTTTTTTTCTTTAAACAAGGCTGCAAGGCTACAAGGCTGAACACTTCGCTGCTCGGGTTAGCCACTTGAGTCGTATAGGTATTCCGCGTGCACGATAGCAAGCAACGACGTCGAGATGCGCGACGGCCCAATCGCAGAGAAATAGGAAGAGACGTGAAGAAATCGTGGTCGGAAGAAGGTAGAAGACATTGATGTCATAAACGCTGGGTGGTCGGTAAATATAAGCTGCATCAACCCCAGCAACAGCTGCCATTGGTCGTCATGACACGAGCATACCGTCCAATGTGTTTTGCGCTTTTCTCTCACTCTAGCAAAGATTTCCATTCTTGGGTAGTCTCTTATATCTCACTTTAGCAGTAGATGTGGCCGGGTGGGTTGTGATTTGTAGAAAGATTACAATGTATGCAATATATGAAACCCACTTCTGCATCGTACTTACACAAACGTTACCCAGTTCACGCACCACCCTGTACATGATTCAAGACAAGTACAGCGGGTAATGCCAATGCAGCTGCGATCATGTACTGACCTACACTAAACCCGTCTTGTATGCTGTGTTTTAGACAAGACCAAAGAACAACGAAAGGTACACTGATGATCACAATAGAAAAGACAATACCGGTGACCATGCGAATGTTTGGGCCTTCTTTGAGAACGAGACCCCATCCCTCGGTGCGTTCGTTGACTTTGGCTTGCAGCTCCCCGCAGTTTCGCTTGGGCAGTTGTGCGAGTACCCATGTCTGTCCTTGGGTAATACATCCTGGTCTATCGAGCCAGTGCATCAATAGGTGAGATGCAATCGGAGGGCAAGTTTTTAATGGGCCCGCGGGCGTACAGCGATACTCTGCTCCGGGCTCCGGCTCGACCATCGTAACTGGAGGGATACAATCACATGTATGGTGTGTCGGACAAGTAGGCCCTAATACGCTAATTTCCGCACTGCTGCCCCAGTAATTGAACTGCGAGCGTAGGTGGTCAGCGAAAACTGGGCGCCGTGCCTCAACAACAGAGTAACTTACTTTGCGAAAGTAGACCTCCTGGAGGCATGTCCAAGAGAAGAAGTTGAGAAGGTGACCACGGCGTCGAGATAGTTGCTTCTTTATAAATTCGAAGAGTTCCTGGTCCGTACTAACATCATGGATCTCGTCCTGGTCAAGGTGATAACCATACTGCCCGGTCTTTGTACACGTCATCATCTGGAGAGTCTGTTGTGAAGGAGGACTCGATGCTGTAGAAACGCCTACTTGCGGTGTAGAAAAAGGCAAGCTCTGAGAAGCAGGGCTTTTACGGAACGCTGCTGAGATCTTTTGAGCCATATTTCTTGCAAAACTTGGGGTTGTGAAATTGAAGGTTGTTTTCGTAGGGCCTTGACTCCGCGAAGTTGCAGCTACTTTGATGCCTGTGCGACGCATCTCTTCGACAAGCATTGCTATGCCACCCTCGCGGATCTCACGGACGTCGTCAAAAAATGTTTCACCACACCTCTACCACTCGTCAGTTATCATTATCACTCGGCAAAGTTGTACGCATGACCTGTTGGCCCCATACGTACACATTCCCATCTAATTCGTGTTGTGCCAGATTGCTTGATCGGCTCTATGAGCCCCAACGCTATCGTCATGGATGCGCCCACTTCCCTGACACACTCTGCCATTGTTTGAAGTCTTCGAGATACGTTTAGCCCACTCCAGAGTCGCCCATCGCGCCCCTTCTCTGTCGTAGTATGTGTATGACAATCTTTGTGAATGTCGGTTGGAGCTTCGGTACCACTTTTCTCAGTCTTAACATGGCTTACTTCGAATTCGGCGTGTTCCAAGCTAGTCATAACATTGCCTTCGGAGATCTGGGATTTCGTGTCTTGGAACTCTACGAAGGATCGTATCTTTACGTGCAACTCCCTGAATGGTTCGCCTTCAAGTAAGAAGTTGCGGAAGGCAACAATATCTTCGAATCCTTGCTCGTCAATTGAGCTAGAGTCAGACTCTCCCTGAGAGCTCGGCTCCAAGTCCGGAGCTAGTATTTGTCTCATGTTACTCGATTCCGCAACATGGTGCTGCATAATGGACCGAGCTACAGCCCTTGCCTTTACTCTGACTAGTTGAGACGCTAGAGATTTTAGGGTGCTACCAACTGCCACCCTGCTGAGTAGATCGGCATATTCCTTAAAGAAGTAGCGGAGTTTTCTCTCAAGCACCTGTGGCCCAATGTTGGGATGAGCAATGCCGCTCTCGTACAGTAGGGTTAGTACTGCATTATCTTGCAGGATACTGATAAGTTCCTTTGTTGCTCTTTTGATCTGCACAGTTGAGTAACCGCTGTGTTTCGATAGGTCTGTGTCCGAGGAACCTAAGGAAGCATTACTGAAGACCGACCTCGCGTACGAAGACTTGCTAGAGGTGCTGAAGCTTAGACTTCTGAGGTCTTCATACGGGATGTGATCCCAGTGCGTTTCGCCAGAGTCTGTTTCGGGTACCTCTACTTCGGATTCCAGCTCAGTGTTATGAGTGTATTCTGTTACTGGTCCGGGTGCTAAGGTCGTATGCATAGTTCTGAGGTGGTAGGAGAGCTTGTCCCTTCTGTAGAACTTCATTGTACAACCAGGGTGTGAGCAGAATAGGAATGGGCCCTCATGGCTACGCATGTGAAGGCGAAGATCTCCTGGCCTACGAAAATTGTTCCTGCATCCACGAGGACACGTCAGAGAGCTACTACCAGAGGACTGAGAAGTATCAGAAATCCCTTCTGCTTTGTAAGTTATGATAGAATGCAAAGCTCCGGGGTTCACCATGGGATGTCGTGTTTGGCGGATCTGTCAGATCAAACTGCGTGCTCAATGTCGTTGCAGCCCTGTTCTTGGGTCCAGCATAGGGACGCATGAGAGCCCTCTCATACTCCGAATGAGGGAGGTCAAAGGCGAACCGGCCATCCTCTTGAAATGACAGATCTTCCTTCTGAGGGTACCAGTCATCCTCCCGAATCGACCGATCATCACTCTGAGGAGACCAAAGCGATCTCTGCGCACTCTCTGCGACCAGCTTTGACAGAGGAAGCGTAGGCAGGGCTCCTCTTGTTGTCGTTGATAGTCCTTGTCGGTACAAATCCCGATCCGTCATGCTCATGAATTCGTCTTCCATCATGAATCGCAAGTTGGAAAGTGTACCGGCGGAGATAAAAGTGACCAGCTCCAACGATTTTGCTTGCCAAGAATGCGCTGTCTTGGTGTTCACAGGCTCTGGCGCTGTGCTGAGATGACTGTCTTGCCGTAACGTTATGGACTGATAGTGCAGCTTTGTGAAAGACAAAGATAGGTCGTTTAATGCGGCGATACGCAGCTATCTTCTGAATCTCCTTAACTAGATAGGAGCCTAAGTTATTTAAGAGTAAGGCTAGCTAATTCAGGTCTATAACTTACGAAGGTTAGATAGCTTTGTCGCCTCAGACATGCGACTTCGATGCAGGCAGCTCGATAATTGCGATAGTTCCAAACTCGAACAGGAATCAAGAAACTTGACAGTTGTTAGAAAGAAGGAAGCAGAAATCGAGCTCTAAGTGCTTAAACGCTGAGAAGTCATGCAGTCCACGCCACTTCAGCCTGACAGACCCCCATTGGCCATGCCTGCATCTTGACCGGAAGCGAGAACAGCGACATAGCCTTGCAAGGCAGACTCAGTTGACATACATCATCGTGACATGTCATGACCTGCCAACAAATTAGCACCAGCTGACACTATCGTCACAAGTGTGGCGGAGTTCGATGTGCCAAACCGTGGCAATATCTGAGTATTAACGGAGTTGTCACAGCCTTGCATGCTATTCGATTCAGCCACTTCGCCTGTCCGTGATGTTGTTAATGGTACAATGTGTGCGGATTGAACGATAGCGTGGGTAATAGACCATTACATGGTGATGTGAAAGACGAAAGAAATGGAATAATGTTGAAATTGTGAGACGATTCTGGGGTATATTGGCTGTATGTAACGTGCTTCATGAAGTGCAAGGGGGTATATAAAGCTCGCAGGTCAAGACCTACTATGGACACGGCTCGGCATCGTGTTTGCTCGTCTACATGTACGGAACATGTCATTGATCTTACTCATTATGCACTGCCACCACTCAGCAGTTTCTCAACCTTCGCATCAATCTTCTTGACATCATCGCCTACGACTTTCATGTTGCTGTGCATAGTCGTTGTGGCCTTCTCCATATCCTTCTCCACGATAACGAGCTGCTTCTCCCACTTCTTGATCTCCTCTTCCTGCCTTGACTGGCGTGCCTCCAGTGCTGTCAAGACTTCGTCAGCCTGCCACGCGCTCGTATGTACAAGACGCAAGGTGCGCAGACGCTCCAGGATCAAAGGCAGTACAGGAGAGAGCTTGTCGATGGAGGGTAGTGTGCCGTATAGAGCATTGATTTTGGCCTCCTGATCTGGGTATGCCGGTGAAGTTCCGTCACTCGAAACTGAGCCTGTGCGGGCAGCGTCCTCTCGTGTTGCCTTGAGTTGCTCGGCATCCGCCGTGAGCTTCCTAATCTGCTGTATCGCACCTTCGAGGTTGTTTGTTGAGGCATCTCCAAGCAGGCCAAGTGTCTGCTCCAATGTCTGCAGTGTGGTGAAGACAGGGAATGATGGTTTGTCGCTCAGCTCAGGCATTGTGTTTCCGTTCAAGCCTAGGTTGTTTTCCAATTGCGAGATCCTCTTGTCAAAATCGGCCGCTTGGTTAAGGACATACTCCAGCTGGTTTCTCTGTATTTGTGTACCGGGCAGGGGTGGCTGTTTCGCGACGATCTTGGTGATCCTCGGGCTTGGATCAAAGGGCTTGTAGTCTTTAAACTTCTGGACAGTCCTGTCGAGTTGTGCCTCGGCACCCCGAGCGCCTCCTCGCCGCATTGTGTATATTGAGTCGACCTTGTTCGAAATGTACTCCATCTGCTGCTTCGGATCAAGCTCTTCAATCTGCGACTTGTCTCCTGTCTCAACCCTCCGCTCGTACTCGTTCTCGAGCTCTAGCAGCTCTCTTTTCACTCTGTTGAGTTTAGCTTCGAAGCTCTCTTGCTCTTCGTCGCTGTCATCGCCTAGGATCTCGCCTCGACGCCGCCTAGCCCGGGTGGTTGTGCGATACGACCGGCGCTGGGCAGCAATGTTGTCGGAGAAGTCAACACCTTGTGCGTCTACTCTGGAGGGCTGAAATCGATTGCGGGCTTGATCGGTCTGGAATCGCTGGCGATCCAGCGCGGACTCGCCGTCTTCGTCCTCGGAAACAACAGTCGATGCCTGAATTGTCGAGACATCTTCGGCGAGATCGGGGGTCTCGTAGATGTCGGGCGCAGTGTCAATGCCGGGGAGGTTGTCATATTTGGGCCTCGTTCCTTCGGACATCGTGGCGGGTTTGTATAAAGGAGAATGTTGTATCAGCAGCGGTGGAATGAGAGAGTTGGAACAATTAAGCTTGAACGCGTCCAAAGTGGAAGTCGCGACTGACGCACTTGGTCTGTGCACTCCAAATGGGGGGGCAGCTTTGGGGAGCAACTCCAGTGGATTCACAGGTCGGCCAAGAACATGAAAGCATGGAGTATATTTGCTTGCTTTGATCAAAATTTGTGATTCTCTCGTCCTCTCGCACCCTGGTCTCCCGCCACTTCAGCATCATCACTTTCACTTCACGGCCGCCGCTATCAAGTCCGCTACCATAACGCATACGGCTAGCGATAGAAATGTGTCTTCTCGAGAGCAGCCTGATCCAATTACACTGCATGGTATTTCGGTTATGCTTGTACCCTGAAGGTTCGGCCACTAGCAGTTTTGCGCTCCTTCTCCTCAGCCTCTGGTCTTGCTCTGCGGAGGACTGCATATCGTTAGCATATGCTTCAGCTTATTAGCACATATCGGCACATACCTTGGAGGAAGTCGGCCGTCCGCTTGCGCATCCTAGAGTGGATAAAAGCCTTGGACGCTTTGATGTGGTAATGGAAGTAGTCACGGAAGGTCTGAATGTGCGAGATGACTTCGTCGCGTCTCTGCTTTGTCAGATGGCGAGGGAAGAGGACTGCTGATGTTAGTTCTAGGACAGTTCGACTTGCAATTTGTCTTACCAAAAGTGATGTAGCCAATCTCTCCAGAGGTCGAGTTACTGATGCCCGGGAATCCCTGCAGTTCAAGTGGTGGCTCATTCCTGAACAGCACTTGTGGTGCGTTCTGAATAGCTCTCCGCCTGGCATCGACGAACTCCTGCAAGAAGACCTTGCCAAATATCCTGTCAGTCTCTTCTCGGAAAACGGTTGAAAAGATGACTGTCACTCGGTCGTGGCTGGCCTTTACGTATATCGCTTCCTCCTCTCGGTAGTGGATTGCCCGTGTCTCTCCGCCCTCGGCAATACCCTGCGGCGCGGCCTCTGAAGTATACTTGGAGGCTTCCTCCTGCAACTGGTGGAATTCGTCAAAGGCCTGCTCGAAGGGTGCGGCCATGGCATTGCGCTTGAGGAGGGACACGCGTCGGACAAGGTCATCTTTGCCCTCTGCTGGAGCGTTAGCACCCTGCGGTACTCTGAGGTACGATTGACCATACCCTGATCCTCTGGAAGGTCCTCCAAGTTCACCTGCACCGAGAAGTCGTATCCTGACTCCGGCTCTACAATGTAGGGTCCATACTCGCGCTCGAGCACTGACTGGGCACCATACTGCACCAATTCCTGGTAGCACTTGATGCGCAATGACACTAGTATCTTTGACTTGCTCTCCGGTGTTGAGATGTGGAATGTGACGCCATCGAAGTCGGAGACGACCTGGTCAATGTTCGCTGCAGCTCCTCTGTGCGCCGTTAGCCAGGCATTGGGTGGAGGTTGCGGGGTATTCCGCACCCGTTCACGCGGTCTCGAAGCAGGGACTCGATGAGCACGTTCTGGTAGTCGAGGAGAAGCATGGTGGCTGTATAGCTTCAGTGTGTTGGGGTGCTCGGTATGGCGGGGAGCTGTGGCCTGCTTGGGCGTTGCGGAGTCTCGGGAGTGATGTCTGGTGTGGTGGGTCCGCCTGCAGCAGTAGCGCAATCATGCCTGCCAAAAAGTTCGCGAAAAGTTCAGAGCTTCGACGTCGCCGTGTCGCAAACCACCAAGACTTGGATCGTCACGAATATGCGCCTGTATATACTGCGCTGAACACCTTTGTTTTCTCTTCACTTATAGAATTCCACCACTGCGAACAACGGCGTAACAATGGTGAGATCATACACGTGAGTTGCGGCAGAAACTAGAGCAGAACTGTTGCTGATGTATTCACAGCAAATATGAGCAGACCGATTCCTTTGGAGTGGTCGCGACTGCCACTTCGAACATAGTCTGGACCCCAGAAGGAGCGGCTCAGCCCGGAGTGAATCGACCTGCAGGCGCCGGACGCGCATACGCCGCCGCGAACGAAGAAGTTCTGTGCTGGGATGTGAAGAAGGGCGAGCTCTTGAGCCGGTGGCGGGATGCTTCATGCACAGATGAAGTCACTGTTATATGTCGGAGTGAGGTGGACCCAGATGTCTTTGCAGTGGGGTACGCCGACGGAAGCATACGCATTTGGGATGCGCGAACATCGACCGCGATCATAAGCTTCAATGGACACAAATCTGCCGTCACGACACTAGCATTCGACAAGACTGGAGTGCGGCTAGCAAGTGGCTCGAAAGATACGGACATTGTTATATGGGATCTGGTCTCGGAAACTGGTCTCTTCAAGCTGCGAGGACACAAGGGTCAAATCACCGGTCTGCACTTCCTGCACCCGGCTAGCACAGCGCAAGAAGACGAGGAAGATGCGGAGATGGACACAGACCAGGTCTTCTTACTGTCTACCAGCAAGGACGCCCTGATCAAGATCTGGGATGTAAACTCCCAGCACTGCATCGAGACACACATCGCACAGACAAATGGAGAATGTTGGGCATTAGGAGTATCACCAGACGGAAGCGGATGTATGACGGCAGGAAACGACGGCGAACTCAAAGTTTGGGCAATCGACCTGCAAGGCCTAAGGCAAGCTGCATTTGCAGTGGGCGAAGCTTCGGAACAGCAATATCTTACCACAAGAGGTATTCTATACCGCCAAGGAAAGGACCGAACACAAGGCATCGCATTCTACGCGAGATCAGACTACATCGCAGTTCATGGTGCAGGAAAGAGGCTGTGGAGATTTGGCGGATACGGAGCGAAGAGGAAGTGAGGAAAAGCTTGGCCCGAAAGAGGAGAAGGCGAAGGGAGAAGGCGAAGGGTGAGGCAAACGGAGAAGTGCAGGAGATTGAGGAAGCCGACGACAAAATCAACATCGCAGACGCTGAGATTAGTGAAGTCATAGTACCGTATGTGACGGTGCGGACGGCTGGCAAGGTCCGATCAGTATCATGGATGCATACCAGGAAAAGCAAGAAGCTACAATTACTGGTTGGCACAAACAACAATCTCATCGACATATACGAGATACCACAGAAGGGCAAGTCGAAGACAGAAGAGGCACCGGACTACAACCGAACACTATCTGTGGAGCTCGCTGGTCACAGGAACGATGTTCGCGCTCTCGCTCTAAGTTCCGATGATCGCATGCTGGCATCAGCGTCAAGTGGAAGTCTCAAGATCTGGAATGTACGAACACAAAATTGTCTGCGTACGTTGGAGTGTGGATACGCACTTTGCTGTGCATTCTTACCTGGTGACAAGATTGTCGTCGTAGGAACAAAAGACGGCGACATTGAGCTGTACGACATTGCGGCATCTTCACAACTCGACAAGATCCAGGCGCACGAAGGAGCTGTGTGGACCATGCAAGTCCACCCTGATGGCAAGTCACTCATCACAGGAAGTGCAGACAAGACAGTCAAGTTCTGGAACTTTGAGATTGTTCAAGAAGAGATACCCGGGAACGAAGCGTACAATGCCTCGTCTCAAGCTTGTTCAGTCGCGCATTTTGAAAGTCAACGATGATGTGTTGAGCGTCCAGTTCTCACCCGACTCAAGACTACTCGCCGTTGCAACTCTAGACAACACCGTCAAAGTATTCTTCGTCGACTCCCTAAAACTCTTCCTCAACCTCTATGGCCACAAACTCCCCGTCCTTAACATGTCAATATCGAGCGACAGCAAACTCATCGCCACCTGTTCCGCCGACAAGAACGTGCGCATCTGGGGCCTCGACTTTGGCGACTGCCACAAAGCCCTCTTCGGCCACCAAGACAGCATCATGCAAATCGCCTTCATCCCGCACCCCGTCGACGGCGACGAGAAACACATCTTCTTCAGCGCTAGCAAAGACAAAACGATCAAGTCATGGGACGCCGACAAATTCGAGCAAATCCAGCGCTTCAAAGGCCACCACGGCGAGATCTGGGCTATGACGGTGGCACGCACGGGCGACTTTGTGGTTACTGCGAGCCACGACAAGAGTATACGCATTTGGAGTAAATCAGACGAGCCCATCTTCCTCGAAGAAGAGCGCGAGCGCGAACTCGAAGAACTCTACGAAAACACCCTCGCTACTTCGCTTGAAGACGAGGAGAACATCACCGGTGAGCGCCCAGAAGCTGTCGATCCCTCCAAGCAAACAACCGCCACCCTCACCGCTGGCGAGCGCATCCAAGAAGCCCTGGACCTGGGCCTTGTCGACCTCGACACCATGCGCGACTGGGAGATCCAACGTAAAAGCAACCCCAACATCGCGCCGCCCCAGCGCAACCCGCTCTTCATGGCTCTCGGCAACATCTCCGCCGAGCGCCACGTCCTCAACACACTGTCCAAAATCCCCGCCGCGCAGCTGCACGACGCCCTGCTCGTCTTGCCTTTCTCATCGCTCCCCACGCTCTTCACGTTCCTGGCCATCTGGGTGCGCAAGCAGTGGAACGTGACGCTCACATGCCGCGTCCTCTTCTTCATGCTCAAGACGCATCAAAAGCAGATTGTGTCGAGTCGCGAACTCAAGGCTGTGTTGGAGCACATGCGTGCGGATTTGAGGCGCACGTTGATGGGGAATAAGGATTTGATTGGGTTCAATGTTGCGGCGGTCAGGTTTGTGGGGGAAAGGGTGGATGAGAAGAGGTTTGTGAGACTGGAGGATGTAGATAAGGAGGAAGGGAGGGAGAGGCGGAAGAGGGCGTTTGTGGATGTTGCATAGTGTGGGTATTTTGGCGTGAGGATAAGGGAGGGAAAAGCTTAGGTTACGTTTAGTTGAGTGTATGAATCTTAAGTCTAGGTTCAATCGATTTATCCTTGTTCACATTTGAATTCCAAGTCATGATATGATACAGTCCACCCTCATCATACATATACACATCCCCATCCCCTCTTTCTTCAATCCCACCATCTACCCCATCGCCTTCAAGAAATTCTTCTCCTTAATCTCCGCGCGCCGCTTATCCCGCATCGCCTTTGTCAACTCCGCCCTCGCCCTCGCCGCATCCACCGCGCCCCCCAAACTGCCATCGCCCGCAGGTAAATCCACCGTCTGTTCGTAAACGGGTACCTTGGGCACCAGCATCTCCGGGTTCATAGCCTGTTCCTTGCGCAGACGCTTAGCAGCGACACGGCGCTGTTTCTTACTCTTCGCTGTTGGCATGTATTAGAAAAGAAGAAAAAAATGGTACTCAAAGGATGCCTATCAAACGTACAGAATAAATCCCCCATGCCCACGCCCTCGGCACTCTTCTCCTGCCGCGCTAATATCCCCCACAACCACTCGGGATACTCGTCATCCGGCAGGGCGACGGGGTCTTGTTTGTTCTTCTCGAAGTTCAGCCCTTTGAGAGGCGTGCCGGCGGGTATGCTGCTCTTGACCAGCGGTGTGGATTTCTTCTTCTCGGGGGCGGTCGCTTTGGGCGTGAGGGGCTCGCTGAAGGGCTGAGCGGCGGAGGTGGATGTTGCCGCGGGGGGGTTGTGCGAGGATGAGGGCGAGCCTTGTCGAGCTGGTGCGGATTGTGCTGCGGAGATGGGTGTTGCGTTGAGGCGGGAGGAGGTCGTTAGGAAGCGGGTTTGTTGTGGTCGAGCCTTTGAGGCGGCGCGCAGACAATTGCGGCAAATCATGCTGGGTTTCGGTGGTGGCGAGTCAATTCGTCGTCGTCTTCACTCTCTTGCGGTCTATCAAAACTTTGGCTGGAGCATGCAGGTGCAGCCGAGCTGTTTCTCCGACCCGATGGCCGCTAATGAGATCGTGGCCGGGGGTCCGCTGCATCGCCCACATCAGGCGGACACACCTGCTTGAAACGGACGCACCGCGACGCGTAACGCATAAATTAGACTATTGCGTTCACATGCCGTCCCCGGTTTTGGTCGCCGGCAGGTGTTCAAAGGTCTGGGGTGGCACCTTCCCAATCCTCCCTGTCCGCGTGGTGTCGATAGTGGATGGGTGATTAAGATATCTCAACTTAGTAAGGTTGTCGCATGAAAGACCAAGGCGTCATGGTTGCGCGTCCTGAGGCAGCGATTGATAATCACCGAGGCAATGAGGTTGCACAGAAGTTTGAAGTATGGAGCATAGATTTGACAATATGTAGATTTGGTAAAGACATTGTAGTACAGACATCTTCTCAGCCCACATATCCAAAACACAGCTTCCGGGCCTCGCCCCGACTGGTGACCCAGCCAACATTTCCAACACACCGCCGAGACAGGAAATAGTTCGTGAACGAAAGAACGGGGTATCATGTACCCCCAAGCCTGATGAGGGCTTCCGGAACGCCGTGATTTTCGTTCCGTCAACCAGATCAGCAGACAAATACGAAATAACATTAGTGAAAAGGACAGAATAGAACGGAATCCCGTTAATATATACAGTGAAGTTAGGAGTGTAGACCATCGTCTATGGTATCGAGTAAAATCAAGGAGACCGTGAGTGTAGATAAGCGCGAAAGTTCGGCGAGAAGAACTATATCCAAGCCATGGGAGGTGCTTGCTGTGCGAGACCGAAGCGGTTGTTGAAAAGCGGCCGGATTTCTGATAGGTACTCGGCAGCGCAGTACGCTGCTAAGTTCTTCGCGCGCATGACGGACATATCCGCTTCGGCTTCGGCGTCGCGAATGACACCTCCAAACTCCTCGACGATCTCATTGAGCTGCTCCAGTTCGCGACCGAAGGGGTGGGCCTCCTCTGTGATGGTAGCGCTGAACATGTCGACTGAAGAGCGCTGCTCTCGTGAGTTTCGTAAGGATCCTTGGCTGCCACGAGAGCCGATATTGTTGAGAGACCTCTTTGCTGCTAGGCGCTCGTGCGCGCGCTTGCTGTGAGAAACGGCCCTCGTTGGGATGGCTGGGATTGGCTCTACGATCTCTTCCTGTACCTTCGAGAGACTGTTGGTCGATGCGGACTTTCGTAGTTGCTTGCCCGGAGGGAAGTAGCCAGAAAGATGGTTTGGTGCTGGTGAGGTGGGCGAAGACTCCACAGAAGAGGCGTCGGTGAGCGTTGTGTCGCGGGATCCAACGGTAGAAGCCCGAGATCTTCCAGTCGATACGCTGTGGTCCGAGTCGTCCGCCGAAGAGTGGGTAGAGGCAGTCGATGAAGAGACCTTCCTCATGTTTGAACCTGCAATGTCCGGAGCGTTGTAGCTAAGCATGTTGGTGGTCGATACCAAAGCCACAGGTAGTGATATCTTCGAACGATCAATCATGGCGGGGTTCTTGACACTCTGGCTCCGGGCTGGGGGTGGCGAAGACGGCACTTCAGTGCGCTGGATGCGCCTAGTAAGAGCGCGAGCGAGAGACATGTTGATGGTTAATTCAGAAAGAATTTAGGATATTGCAGAGAGGGTCCAAGTCCGGGCCGGTAATACAAAGAGCGATGGTAGTTGGCTGCTTCGATGACCGAGCTGCAAGATTGCGGGGTATGCCTGGGATAAATTGCTCTGGTGTAGGCACGAGGTCTGAAAGGTCCACAAGGGAACGATGCAACAAAGGTCCTCTAGTCTCTTGTCGCACTGCGATAGAAAGGGTGTGAAGAGGGATCACGCTGTGCTTCGCAAGGTTGCGTCGGATAAGCGTGCACTTGGTGGTGGCACGACAGTCTTACTTCGGGGTTGCACTTGTGATACCGGAAAGTCGCAGAAGATGGGCTTGTGGTTCCGGTCCAGGCCGATGCAGTCGCAGGAGAAGTCTGAGATGGTCGGTTGATTTTTGGTTGATTTTTGGTTGTTTGCCTGGTGGTGTTGTCGTTGTTGGTCTCGCTGAGCTAGCAGCAAGTGTGAAATGGGTCAAAAAAGAGTTTGGGAATTGAAGGTGAATAAGGATCGTCTTTCAAAGAGAGTGGAAGGCCTGCTGTTCGTAAGGAGTGCAAACAACCAGGTCGCGATCAAGGAGGGAGTGTGAATGCTGCGGTAAAGCGAACGGGCGCGTAATCCAGAGGAAGGGAGCGAGCCTAATGAAGAGGGCAGCGCTGCGGGAGGAAAAACCAGCAACCCTGGTACGGTAGACTAGGACAGGCCGTGTTGACCTGTCTCTCACAGATTGGAAGGCGCGACCAGGGGCCGTCCAGGCACATCATGCCATGAGCGAACCAGAGCACGTTGTTTGGACGGGCCATATATTTAGCGGCGTCGAAACATCCACGCTGGGAATAGCCCATGATGCGTTTTCCCACTTGGGCGAATCGGGGAGAGACGCATGGGACAAACTTCGGCGCCAACACGTCGCAGATTTCGACTGGGGATGTTTGCTTTGTGCCGCCCAGCAACCTCGGTGCGCTGTTTCAAACACCCAAAGGTTGCCCAGCGGATCCCTCGCCGTCGCTGTGGGCCCGCAAACACTGGCATCGACACTGACGGACTGACATCGAAGGACAGCGGCGACTAGAAGCGCAGTCTGAGGTTTTCATCCAAGCCATGTCGTCACCATCACCACCACCTCTCCACTGTGGATAAGCTTCCGATCGCCGTCACTGCGCGAACGGCGTGGCCATGATTTGCGTTGAGGCATCGCTTGCAGCCCGGACTCGTTCTGGACTCCGTCGTGGATTTTGGGCCATGGGGGTGGTGCGTACCTTGCACTGTGCAGCCGCGCGTGCATGAACGGCTGCTTTTCCCAGCACATGAATCAGCGCAGCTTACGGGCGTGGTCAGGGCAATCCTTTGAGTTTGCTGCCTTGCCTAAAATATTGTTTCGAAACCGTGCAAGAAGACGCGAGGCGAGGCGGACACGACATGACGGCATGGTGCTCATCTTTGTGCGGTGCTGTGGTGTGGGCGAGAATCCCATGTCCGGCTGAGTCGTGTTCGGCAAACTCGGTCAGACTCACGGTCGATCTGCCGGCGCGCTGGCTGCCATGCCTGACAATTCGCCATGTGCTCGGTAACATGCACGCACCGTAGCAAGAGGCAGCCGATGTACGTGTCTCGCGATGGACATTGGGATCAGAGTTCTCGCAAGACACAGAAAGCTTGTCGCAAAGGGCGAGGCTGCTCAGCCCGCACAAGATGAAGGGGTGGTCGGAAGTAAGGGAGTGGCGTTGAGCGGAAGTTTAGTGAAACATGCGAGTTGAAGGCGAGTAAGTGGACGACTCGCATCATCATCTATTTGCTGCAACGACGAAAATGTCGAAAGCACTATTGATAGCGACAGGCTGACCCGATTCTCTCATGTGCAATATTACGCGAGCCGAGCCGTCAACACGCGAAGCAGCTTGATGGGAAAGCCCATGTGCGTTCGCATTTGTGCAACCTCGTAGCTGACTACCTACGACTTCTCAGCGAATATAGCACCCGCGGAAGCTACGCAGCGGGACGGCCTCGTTTACTGAATACAGTTTGTGCGGATTGGGCACCGACAGGGTATCATCGTTTCACTCCTCCATCGATTCCCAGCCTTTGTCTTCGGCCCCTTCGTCATCTTCACCGTCGTCGCTCTCACCTTCCTCGGTATCCGAGTCTGTTTCTGGCTCGTCCAAGCCCACTAGACGCTCCTTTCCGTCTCCCTTGATCTCGGGGACCTTGCTGGCGAAAGCCGCGCGGACCGCTGCGTTCGTGCTGGTATCCCAGATCTGAACAGCTCCTTTGCTACCTGCGACTGCTAGGCGGAAACCCACTTCCTGGTCGGGAGCGAATGTCGTCGAGAAGACTCGTCCTACACCAAGATCGCGGGACACGACCATGCTCGGGCCGCTCGCTTGGATGTTCCAAAGCTTGACTTGCTTATCAGTCGATCCCGTGACCAGATAGCCGGGGATCACTGGGTTGATGTCGAATGAGGATATAGACTCGTCATGAGCCTGGAGTACCCAGACAGGCTTGGACGCCGCAGGGTCTGCTGGTGCGTTGCGAGTGTCGTGGTAATGTATCATGCCGTTTTCGGTGGCGGCCTAAAACTGTTAACATTGGTCTGTGTAACCTCTTGGGACAAAACTCACGTAGAAGTAGTTTGGATCATGCGGATTCCACCGGATAGTCTCAACGTCACTTTCGACGCCCCATCGTGGTGCTTTCGCATCAGGTGCGCGCATGTCCGCTGCCACGATGGTCCGATCGTAACTTCCGCTCAAAAGAATCGTAGACTCGACGGGATGCCATGCTACCGAGGAAACCTTGTCTGTGTGGTACGAGTATGACTTGGCAGCTTTGGTCGTGTTCAAATCCCATAGCTTGATCGTCTTATCCGCGGACGAAGAGGCAAGCAGATTCCTGTGGTGACGGTTGGCGGCTAGAGATAAAACAGCATCGACATGGAAGTCGTCGTTGACCTTCTTAGACTTCTTCTTTTTCTTCTTTGGCTTTCCATTTGCTGCGTCTTCGGCTCCTTGTCCAAGCACAGCGTCTGGGTACATGCTGTCTACAACATCCAGATTCCATATTTCGATATCTGGGTCCATTGTGCCAATCGCAACAAAGTTGCCTTTGCCGTTGGCCGTCTGCGCAGCCTTTCCAACTGGGAGGTCGAGCCACTCTACGGCAAGTGGAATCGCGGGCAGCATGATGTCGTGGTGTACGTAGAGGTTGTCGTCCTCGTCTTCGTAGACATAAACTTCCAGGTGGGCGACTTCGTCTTCGATGCGGCCCGCCAGCACCAGGTTGTCTGTGGCTAGAATTTGAAGTTCCTCTCGCTCTTCATCGTCCTCTTCGTCGCCGCCTTGCATTGTGATGTAGGGGTCCTCCTCGTCGTTCTCGTGAAAGACCAGGTTTTTGGCATTGCCGAACATGGCCATGGTGTCGCCTGCGTCCTCATCCTGCTCGTCATCGTAGTGCTCGAGGTCATATTCTTTGAGGTCGTCGTCGTCGTCGTCCCTGTCACTAATTAGAATGAACCCAAATCCTTCTGACGCTGCAGACTCACTCGTCATCCTTCTTTGCAGACTTTCCTGAAGTGCCGTTGCTCTTGCCTTTAGCCTCAGCTTGCGCCTCTTCTAGCTCTTCTTTCGCATCTTCGAGTTGTAAATTCGCAAGTTTGGATATGCGGTCGTACTCGTCCTCGTCAAACTGGTACTTGGTAGGAAACGGTGCCGCGAAGCCACGCGGCACCCACGTTGTCGCTGTGATCATAGACATGGCGCTCGGGTCGAGAAATTGCAGCGTGGTGAGCGCATGCGCCTGTGGTGGGGATGTGAACTTTTATTTTAGCGCCACATTGCTATCGATACCGTAACTTTTGCGGACCACCGAGGCCAACCAGCACCCGCCAACCTTCCTCACCTCAGCTCGGCCAGTGCCATATATCGCCAACTAATCCACCATGGAACGCGGACACAGCCCGAAACGCCGCAAGCTCGATACGGACGAGTATTCCATTGCGCCGCGACCCAAGTTCCGCAAGCCAAATAACCCACGCGACTCAGCTGCCTCTCGGGGACAGACCCCACGACGCGAGAATGGCTCCCATCCGAACCAGAAGTCATTCGAAGGGCCGGAGCCGCTCTTGGAAGAATTTGACTCAATGGCATTGGACCGCGACTGGTACGGCGGCGAGGAGAATGGACATACCTTTGGAGACGACTCTCACAACCCGTTTGGCGGCGCAGAGAGCTCATGGCAAGACTCGCAAAGAGAGGCAGCTTTGACAGAGAAGAAGCAGAACAATCGCGCCAGCATGAGAGCGCAGCAGAAACAGAAGGATGTCGACGCATGGGAAACGAACCGAATGCTGCAGTCTGGAGTTGCGCAGAGGCGGCACTTTGACGATGACTTCAACGACGACGAGGAAAGCACTCGGGTGCACATCCTTGTCCATGACCTCAAGCCGCCGTTTCTGGACGGAAAGACGGTCTTCACCAAGCAGATTGAGCCCGTCCCAGCTGTTCGCGACCCGCAAAGTGACATGGCCGTCTTCAGTCGCAGAGGCAGTCGAGTCGTGAAGGAGAAGAGGCAGCAGAAAGAGCGCGCGAAGCAAACACAGGAAGCAACCAGCGCCAAAGGAACGACGCTGGGAAATATCATGGGCGTCAAGGATGACGATGGGGATAGTGCGGCCCCAATGCCTGAAGACGGGGAAAAGAAAGGTGGCAGCAAATTCGCAGAGCATCTGAGCAAGCAGGAAGGAGCGAGCGCATTCAGTAAGAGCAAGTCTCTAAGGGAGCAGAGAGAGTATTTGCCAGCGTTCGCGGTGCGCGAGGACCTTCTACGTGTCATTCGAGACAACCAAGTCATCATCGTGGTTGGTCAGACAGGTTCTGGAAAGACTACGCAGCTGACTCAATTCCTCCACGAGGATGGCTACGCGCAACGCGGTCTGATCGGCTGCACCCAGCCACGTCGTGTTGCAGCCATGAGTGTCGCGAAACGTGTTAGTGAGGAGATGCAGGTCAGATTAGGTGGCCTGGTGGGCTATGCTATCCGATTTGAGGACTGCACCAGCAAGGAAACCAAGATCAAGTACATGACTGATGGTGTTCTGCTTCGAGAGTCTTTGGTTGAGCCAGACCTCGACAAATACTCGTGCATCATCATGGACGAGGCTCACGAGAGAGCATTGAATACGGATGTGCTCATGGGTCTCATCAAAAAGGTCCTAGCTCGAAGAAGAGATTTGAAGCTCATTGTGACTTCTGCAACGATGAACTCTGACCGCTTCTCGCGCTTCTATGGAGGCGCGCCCGAATTCATCATTCCTGGACGTACGTTCCCTGTCGACATACAGTACTCGCGGTCGCCTTGCGAAGACTATGTGGATAGCGCAGTCAAACAGGTACTGGCCATTCACGTTTCCCAAGGGCCCGGTGATATCTTGGTCTTCATGACAGGCCAAGAAGATATTGAGATCACCTGTGAGCTGGTCGCTGAGCGACTGAAGCTTCTCAACGACCCTCCGAAGCTCAGCATATTGCCCATCTACAGTCAAATGCCAGCGGATTTGCAAGCCAAGATCTTCGACCGAGCTGCGCCCGGCGTTCGCAAGGTCATTGTGGCGACAAACATTGCGGAAACAAGTCTGACAGTCGATGGTATCATGTACGTCGTCGACTCCGGCTTCTCCAAGCTCAAGGTGTATAATCCCAAGATGGGCATGGATACCCTTCAGATAACGCCAATCTCTCAGGCCAACGCATCACAGCGCGCAGGTCGTGCTGGGCGAACAGGACCTGGAAAGTGCTTCCATCTCTACACTGAACGAGCATTCCGCGACGAATTCTACATACAGACAATCCCCGAGATCCAGCGTACCAACCTAGCCAACACAGTCCTCCTCCTCAAGTCCCTAGGTGTCAAAGATCTGCTTGATTTCGACTTCATGGACCCACCCCCGCAAGATACAATCACTACCTCCCTCTTCGACCTCTGGGCCCTCGGCGCCCTCGACAACATCGGCGACCTGACCCCCCTCGGCCGCACAATGACCGCCTTCCCCATGGACCCGTCGCTTGCCAAACTTATCATCACCGCCGTCGACTACGCCTGCAGCGAAGAAATGCTCACCATCGTCGCCATGCTCTCCGTCCCCAGCGTCTTCTACCGCCCCAAAGAGCGGCAAGAAGAATCCGACGCCGCACGCGAGAAGTTCTTCGTTCCAGAGTCGGACCATCTTACTTTGTTACACGTCTACACGCAGTGGAAAGTCAACCACTACTCCGACGGCTGGTGCGTGCGCCACTTCCTGCACCCCAAAGCGCTGCGGCGCGCCAAGGAAATCCGCGACCAAATCCGCGACATCATGGAGAAGCAGAAAATGACGCTCGTCAGCTGCGGCACCGACTGGGACGTTATCCGCAAGTGCATCTGTAGCGGGTACTACCACCAAGCCGCCAAAGTCAAGGGCATTGGCGAATACATCAGTCTGCGTACCAGCGTGACGATCCAGTTACACCCGACATCCGCGCTGTATGGCCTCGGCTATCTCCCGGATTACGTGGTTTATCACGAGCTTATCCTCACGTCCAAGGAGTATATGTCATGCGTGACGAGTGTGGATCCGCATTGGTTGGCGGATCTGGGCGCGGTGTTTTACTCGGTCAAGGAGAAGGGGTATTCGGCGAGGGATAAGCGCGTTACCGAGGTGGAGTTTAATAGGAAAGCGGAGCTCGAGGCGAAGATGGCGGAGGATAAGGCGAGGGAGGAGCGCAGGATTGTGGAGGAGGAGAGTGGGCCGTTGATCAAGAAGGCGCTAATGGGGAGGAAGAAGGAGGAAGAGGAGGGGGTGGTGAAGAGGCCGGTCATTGGGAAGTCGAAGTTTAGGCGAAGATGAGAGGGAGGGGGGTTGGTGGTTGAAGATTATATAGTTCTAGTTACAGATATCCAAGTTCTGAAGCTTATACACACAGCCAGGCTTATCTGACGCTTTGATAGAAATAATGTGCAAATGCCTCGTAGCCATGCAAGACGAGTTTCCACCACGCCTCCCAGAAGCGCAAAAGTATCCAAAAAAAAAACGAAAGACACGCCACTCCAATGCGCGCTAGAAATGCAACAAAAGAACTCCCCCCCCCATTCAGCACAAAACGCCCATCTTATCCAAACCCAAATTCCCACGCTCACATAAAACTCATCTTCACCTCCTTCTCCTCCCCAAACTCATCCTCAAACTCATCCGCCCACGCATTATGCATCGCCTCGCCCCCGGCCCCACTCAACGGCGCCGTCTTCGCCGTCAACAATGGCGGCCGTTCAGGCAGCGCCGGCTCGCTCCACGCCGGTCTTGTATCCGCCAGCGACACACGGCTCGGGGTGCCCGCCCACGGCGAGCTCGCGCCGCTCCTCGGCAGCGGAGACTTTGCAATCGCAGGCGGCGGTGTGGGTTCCGCGAACGAGGTATCGAATGTCATTTCGACCTCTCCCGCATCGCCCTCGTCGTATTCCTCGAAGCTTTTCTTCGCTGCGTCGTGCGTTCCGTTGGTTTTTGAATCGGGTGTTGCAATGCCCACACTGTCGTTGTAGCTCTTCGTCTGTCTGAGAGGGGATTGAGGCGGGGGAGCAGGCGGGAGGTCGATTTTCATCGGGGGCAGTGTGCTTTTGATCTCTTTGATTTCAAAGTCGCGCTCGTCGGCGTCGTAGGGCTTGCTATCGACAGACAGGGCGGCGACTTCGCGGCGGATAGCGTCGATGTCGAACATGATATTCGTCTCTGCAATCTTGGCCGGGTCGGCGTCCTGGTCGATTTTGATGTGTTTCTGCGAGGTTTCGTCGTAGACTTCCCATTCTTTCTTGTCGGCTTTTTTGCGCTTCCACCAGCTGATTTTGCTGCCTTTCTTTTCCTTCTCGGCGGCTTTCTTTTCGAGCTCTTTGCGCGCTTCTTCGATTTCGCTGATCAGTTCGCGTTGGCGTTGTTCGTGGTTTTCTGGATCTGGGTCCTCGATTTCAGTGAACTCATCTGATTCGACTTCCCAGCCAACCTCTCGTAGTAGCTTGGGCATTGCGGTACGGTAGGCCATGTGGCCTGGGACGAGCTCGGTGACGTTGACGTTCTCGATGGTGGGCACTTGCACTTGCCCCAAACCTGCGACACGCATGACGCCACCAGAAGTGGCACGGAAGAGGTAGCCTGCATTATTAGTCAGAGTTGAAGGTTTTCAGAAGGATGGATGAACTTACCCAAGATCCAGTCGTTCGTGGCATAGCCATTGACGAACCGCCCGGGAACAACAGAGCGGGCTTTGATGTATTCATCATTCTTCGCAACGACCGGTGTACCGAACAAATACACATTTTGCACTAGACCAAATGCACCGCGATTGGCAAGCTCCTTGAGGCATGAGAAGATGACTCTTGCGCCAAGCGAAAAGCCCACTAGAGTAATAGGTCGTGTACCGAGATTGCGATCGATGAGCGAGTCTGCCAGGACGAGTCCTGCCATGTCTGCTCTAGCCTGTGAGACAACCCATGGGTTATCGATAAGATAGGAAAGTTTGGTCAGAGCTAGAGGTAGGGTCATGGCAGCCATCAGCGTTGTGAGGATAGTGCTGGCCAGTACTTGTTGGAGACCTTGTGTGAGAGCCTACTTGCTTGTTAGCACCAACAAAACAGCATATGTTTTGATAGCACTCACCTCGGTTGCGAGAATATTAATGGTGTCACCCATACTCCTCAGCATCTCCGGCTCCCAGAGCACCGAGTATATGTCTCCCATGATTGGGTCGACCGTACTATACGGTAATCGCACATCGTCGACCTTGCCGTTCATCCACCCAGCAAGGGTGATGATTAGGTTGGTCCTCTTGTTGTTATGTAAAGGTCGGTATTCAAATGTCTTGACACTGCCTGTTCGTCTGTTTGCAGCCCTGACACCCACAGTAGCTCCAGTAACGACACCTGTCGTAGTCACGACCGCGGCACCTCCAGCACCAGCAAGGAATCCACTGGTTCCAGCTACACCAATGGTTGTGAATCCTGCCGCCAGACCAGCTCCAATGAGAGGCGCCAATAACCCGGCGGACAGACCAATGACCAATCCACCACCTACTGTGGCGATGCCCATGAAAGCCAAACGCTTATTGCGCGCTCTCTTAGCGCGACTCTTCATGTGGTCCTCCTCGTTCCAGTTCTCCTTGTCTGCCTGCTCCTGCATCTCTAGAGCATCTGTGACTCGTTTCTCGAACCGGCAGATTTCCAGCCAGTCCACACTTAGATATTTTCCGACCTGCTCAAATAGTTCTCGTGACCGCGAGTCATACACACCATCTGTGATGAGAACGAGGAACAGATCGCACATTACAGTCCATCTTAGGTCGATATCGAGGCTCTTACTTTCGGGTAGTTGCGAAGGTGATTTTACATCTGGATATTCGAATCCTCCTTCTTGTTCTTCATACGGTGGAGGCGATTTTACTGAATCGTCGAAGCTCAAAGCTGATGCAGACTTGTGCTTCTCGTCCTTTGAATCAGGTCTTGGAGATGATATCGAAGGTCTGGCGGAATCCGCATCGGCCTGTGAGTCCACCTCTTCCGCCACTGGATTCTTGACCCGGGCGTTCTGCATCAACGCAGGGACCAAATCCGCCGGGACGACACCATGATCTGATAACTGCTCGATCATGACCTGCTCAGACGTGGTGATGTCCATGTGACCATAGACTCTGACCATCATTTTCTGGGCCCACATCTTTGTAGTTTCTTGTTGCAAATCCAGAGCTTTCTTAGTGTTTCGATTCCGGTCCATTTTAATGAACTTCCTCTCCATTTCCACCATGGCTAACCGCACCAGCCCAACGTATGCGACACGCTGGCCTTCGGTGAGGAGGTTCTTGGTAGTCTGCATCTGTGCGAGCGGATCTCGGGCAAGCTCTTCGTCGTCTTCATCTAGAGCTGCTTCCTTGTTCTTGAAGAGGTAGGCGGTGTTGTCGTCCATGCTTGTTACGGAGTCAGCGTCATCGTCCATGATGACTCTGGTATAGCCCTTTGCTGCACCGCCGACATTTGCATAGCCATGCATGTCCTCGAGCTCTTCCACGTTCTCCTTTGCGATGAGTTTGTCGTCATCGTCGTACATGTCATAGCGGGCATATGCCGGCATAGTCTGCCATCCGCCGTCTTCGAATGGCTTTTCTTCCTTTGGCGGTTGTATGACTGCATGCTGATGCGAGTATTCGGACACGGAGGCGACGCTTTGTTGCTGACGATGTGCGGAGGATTGGGCCGTTTCTGTGATTTTGTCTTTCTCTGCAGATTTAAACTGCCCAGCGGCTTGAGTGCTATCATCCTTCTTCGCAGGTTCAGAGTCCTCCCCGGCTTCAGGGTTCTCATCTTTCTCTGCAGATTCGGACTGCCCAGCGACTTCAGAGGTGTGCTGCTTGGTCTCGGGGGACTGGACGTGGGTATCAGGCGCTGCCACCTCTGCCGTCGCTACAGCTTCTTGGCTGTGTGCCTTCTCAGCTGGTTTGTTGTCTTCCACCACCGCCTCCTGCGCTTCTACAGGCTTAACAATCTCCTCCTTGTGCTCAATCTTCTCCACCGCCTGTTTCACATAGCCATTGACCTGACTTGGCGCATTGCCGCCCTCCTCGGCCTTCACTGGCACATCTCCATGCGCCTGAGACTTGCTCTCCACCTCGACATCCTCCCTGGCATCTGGCAGCGCGAGATCCTCCTTGATCGCTGACTTCGAAGCTACCGCATCCTCAAACTTCTCCTCCTCTTCTTCTTCTTCTTCCTCGTCCGAGTCCACCACGGGCGTCCGCGCCCGCGGCTTCCTTATCGGCAATCCAAAATCATCGTATTCAACCTCTGCAGGTTTATCAGGTGTCTCGCCAAGTGCGGGACTTTTGTGCGCGGGCTCTGCGGGGGTCTCGCTGGACATGATGGGGGACTACCGGCGATGCATCGAGAGGATTATGTACAATAACAGAAAAGCCCGAGACACGTTGTATAAGAAAGCCAAGCCAAGTAGTTATGAGTGAATGTTTATGTACAAGTGACACCCTCTGTGGCGCGGCGCACTCACGTTTCGTTTCAATAACGGTTGCGGAGGGCTTCGGGGGAGCTAGACGTCTGCGGCGTTGCGTGCACGAGCCGCGCATTCCCGTCGCGCCGCCCGCATACGAACTTTTTGGAAACTGCGTTCGCTCTTTTCTTACGACGCATTCTCCGCGAATTTACACAACCACATCACGTCACCATGAAGCTGAAGAGGGCGAAGGTACGTAGACGCGATGTATGCGACAGTAATAACGGTATTAATTCTCCTTCTAGGCCTACAAAAAACTCCTCCACCAATACGAGCTCAACTTCGGCTTCCGCGAACCCTACCAAGTCCTACTGGATTCGCAAATCCTCGAAGATGCATACAAGTTCAAAATAGACCTTATCGGGCGCCTGCAGAAGCTGCTGGGCGGGCAGGTCAAGCCCATGATTACGACGTGCGACATGCGCCATCTCTACGCCGCGAAGCCCAAGAACGAGACGCTTATATTACAGGCCAAGGAGTACGAGCGACGGCGCTGCAATCACCAGGACCTCGATGAGCCGCTTTCCACGCTGGAGTGTTTGTCTGAGGTGGTCGACCCGAAGAGCAGTGGCACGAACAAGAATCGGTATATTGTTGCGTCGAACGATTCACGGGTGCGCGGGCACATGCGCTCGATCGCGGGTGTGCCGCTGATATACATATCCAAGTCGGTGCTGCTTATGGAGCCTATGGCCAATGCGACGGAAGAGCTGCGCGAGCGGGAAGAAAAGTCAAAGTTCAAGATGGGATTGAAAGGCCAGCGCAAGCCAGATCAGACACCGAAGCGCAAGAGGGATGACGAAGGGGAGGAGCGTGATGATCAGTCTGTTGCGGTTGACACTGCACCAGCTAGGAAGAAGAGGCAGAAGGGCCCAAAGCAACCCAACCCGCTCAGCATGAAGAAGGCCAAGAAGGACAAGTCTGAGACGCAGCCGGTACCGAAGAAGACCAAGACCACCGACGCAGATGATGCGCAGCCTTCGGCCGCCGAAGCTGCTGCTGGCGAGAGCTCTGGTCGGAAGAGGAAGCGGAAGCCCAAGAGCAAAAGTGACGGTGATGGTGATGCTGCGCCTGTGGAAGCAACAGACCCCACATCGCCATAGACCAAGGGTATTCTAAGCCGTAGTGGCCTACTGCTTCAGGCTACCCTGAATATATGATACCCGTGCTAGGAAATTGTTAGCGGCAAGGAGATGTTGGGAAGATATGGACATACGAGCAGAGAGGGAGCACAATGGCGCATACACATGGACGCCGTGGAGGTGCTGTGTTGGGAGCAAAGACTCCATCTCAAAAACCTCAGACCTTCCTACCCTGCCTAAGAAGATCCGACACCTTTGGCGGAAGAACCATCGCACTTCGATCGTTCCGCTTAACGAACTCGATGACAACCTCCGCCGTCTTATCCGGCTGGTCCTCGTGGAGGAAATGTCCCGCATTAGGGAAAACCTGGAGCTGGAATTTACCTGTAGCATATTAGGATTGACATGTCCAGACACTCGAAATAGCAGGGAAAACAAACCCTGCATTTGCCCAATCATCAATTCTTTATCCAGTCGATCTGTGCCAGCTAGAACCAAAAGCTTCGCACCCTTGCCCTTCAGAAACTTCACGCTCATCCCAGTGAACCAGTTTTCCCAGTATGCTTCTGTGCTGCCGAGTTCGGTGCGCCATGCCCAGCGTCCATCGCTGCCTTGTAATAGCAGACTGGGTACACTTGCTCTCGCCGATTGTGGATTCCGCAGTGTACGTGAGCGTATATGCCATTCGACAGCCGCAGGTAGACTCGGGAAATGCTTCGGTCGGCTCGCAAGATACGTCTGCATGTGTTTCAGCGCCTCCATCGCACTGCCCTCAACGACATCGAGCACCGCATATCCAAGCAGACACGAATTCAGCATGCCCGAGTTCGCCATGTGTGTCACCACCGCACCGCCGAGACTATGTCCGACCAGCACAATCGGGGGTAGTACTGTCCACCCAAGTTTGACCTTGGTGAGCTCCAGCATGTGCTGCAAGTCTTCCGTGAGGTTCTCGACGCTGAGATCGTTGTCGACGTTGCCCTCGGCGTCCCAGACTGCGCTGCCATGCCCTCTTGCTTCGACGGCGAGGATACCGAGCTCTGGCATGCCCTTCTTGACCTCCTTCGCCATGAGCGCGAAACTCATAGCCGAGCTGCCCGCGCCATGATGCAGGACTAGTAACGGCGCTTTTGAATTCGCCGGCGGTGTGATGTAGACATGCCACTTTGCGTGTCCCCCATTACTCAGAGCACCACCGTCCAGGTAGATTTCTTGCTCGAAGTAGTCGGACCAATGTATCGCAGGCGCAGGGCGTTGCGTGGATGTAGGTATCACGGTGCCCGTGCTGGACATGGACGACGCAGACGACGAGTCATCCTCGTACTCTGGCGCTTCTTCGAGAAGTGGTTCGGGCGGTGGCAGCGACGACAGCTTCGTCTTGGCGAAGTGTTTCGCGAGATCGGACATGGCGTGCGTGGTCGTGGCTAGGGTAGCTCCGCTGCGATTGAGTTCGGGTAGCGCGCGAGGGTGAGCTAGTGTAGGATTGGCCTGGTTGAATTGGGAAGCGGGATGGCACAGATCCTTGATTTGGAGTGGTGTGGGATGGAAGTTGGTAGCACGTTCACTTTCGGACGGCGGGGGTCATGGTGATGGACAGGGATCATAGCTGTAGGAGTTCCCGATTGCATGGGTCACACCTTTGAACATGTCCTGCACTCTCTCCTCAAAACGCATGTCGCGGCTATGATGGATCCCGAGGTCGTGAAACAAGTCACGCGCGCAAGGGAAGCGACAAGAAACAGGTACCTCTCGACCAAGAGTCAGGCTGGAGAACGGAAACGCCTCCGCGGGGCTGAGATGGGATAGGAAATGGCCATGGCGGAGCTAGACCCGGCCGTCGAGACCATGACGTCGATCTGGATCTTAGCGTGCGAAGCTTCAGACAAGACAATCCGTGCCCCCAACCACCCATCCTTCTTATCGCATCTCTCACAGGGCTTTGCGAAGCTCACTCACCCTCACGTCCTTCTTGTAATCTATAATCTGATCGTCAACGGCCACTTGTTGTACTTAATTATCTAATCGCGGTGTGCATAGCTCCCGCAGAGCTTCACGATGAGTATGTGGGCTGGCAGCAAGAACCAGCAGAATGGGGACGGTCTCACAGCTGAGCCGCCTCACCCAATTCCTCAAGATGATGGAGCTTCAAGGACTTCAAGGAGAAGCTACGAGACTTCAAGACGCACCCATGAACCCCGAGAGGAACCGACCGAGCGCACAAGACTTCTGGATCGCCCCAGGCCACCAAACTCGGATGGCTATCTGGACCCTGATGACCCAGCTGTAGGATCTACCAAACTTCAAAGAGAATGATATGCTAACGATGTGAAGGTCTCGCCTTACAACCTATGGACCGTCCGTGCTATGCGGTATCTGACCATTCTTTTCCTTGTTGTCTCGTTCCTCTGGTGGGTTCTCCTGCTGGTGTCCATCTTTGTGTCTCCGCCAGGAATGCACAGTCGCGGATCCGGCTTCTTCGACTTTGCATTCACATGTCTTACCATTGGTAATCTTCTCGTTGCTACCATCTTCTTCGTCACGCCTGCCAAGGGTCTGCGAATCACCACCGCCATCATCGCGGTGCTGCTGGCGGTCGACATGATTGTGATCCTTGCAGTGCCACGCATCAGACTCGAAGAGGGATGGATTGGTATCGCAAGTGTCGTCTGGGCTTTCTTGATGGCTGTTTGGTGCATCCTGACAGACCGCGTTGTGGCCTACGGAAAGAGAGAAGAGGAGGAACGTCTCACTGGCCGCGCAGAGACACGCCGCACGTTGAAGGAGTGGATCGCAGTCCTCCTCGCAACGGTTTTGACTGTCATATTCATCCTCATTGTCATCCTCATGACTGCCACCCTCGGCATTCGTGGTCGCGACTCCACACTCAAGATGTACGGCGACCGCATCCTTGTTGATGGCGACAAGTACGCTGTACATCTCGGATGCGTTGGTAACGTCACACACACCGATGGCCAGAGGGATCCTACCATGCTCCTCGAGGCTGGTGAGGAACCTCTCGAGTACGACCTGGAGCATTGGGCATACTCAGCCTACAAGAACAAGACCATCTCACGCTACTGCTACTGGGACCGCCCAGGCTACGCCTTTTCCGACAACGCGCCCTCCCCACACTCCGCCGGCATGTCTGCCGACGCTCTATCTGAAGCCCTCGCAAAGGCTGGCGAGGAAGGCCCATGGATCCTCGTCTCCGCCGGCACAGGCAGCATCGTCTCCCGCATCTTCAGCTCCCGCCACATGAAGCAAGTCAGCGGCCTGCTACTCGTCGACCCTTACCACGAGGACCTCCTGCACCGCATCGGCAGCCCCAGCCGCGGCTTCCTCCTCTGGGCCTGGGGCATCATCTCCCCGCTCGGCACCGTGCGTCTCGCCGGCGCGCTCTTCAAAGGCCGCACGCGCGAAGACCGCGTTTACGGCCGCAACGCATACCAATCCGGGAAATTCATCAAGGCTCAGCTCCAGGAGAACCTCGTCGCGGACAGCCTGTCCAAGAGCGAAGTCGTGTCGGCGCGCAACATCCAGTCTGCTGACACGCCGCTGGCTATTGTCAGTTCTGGGATCGAAGTTAAACGTGATAGCGAGTGGGAGCGCAAGCAAAAGGATCTCACCAAACTCACGGATAACCTTGTCGGGTGGGATGTGGTTAACAAGGCGCCGCATCAGGTTTGGCAGAGTCTTGAGGGCCGCACGGCGATGGAGAAGAGGCTTAGACAGCTTGTCAAGGCGGCGGGGAAGATCAAGTCTGCTGAGGAGTAGAGATGGCGAAAAGAATGTGGATGGACAGATCAAATGAAGGCAAAAGAAATTGATGCCGGATAAACGTTATATGGGCTGTTTGTTTTACTGGTTGTGTCATCTCTTTAGCATACCCTTTGCGCGTTGCATTTATCGGATTCGTGGAGGTACAAAGTTTGGCGTTTTGGGTAGTTAATACGTAGTAATATACGCTTTTCTGCTTACACTACCTTCACATGGTCGTTGCAGGCTACTATAAACTTGTAGTGCTTATTGAAAGGTCGACTGCTCATAGTTGGGCTCGACCGCTCAATGACACTGCAACAGGTCATTGCAGAGCCAAGGTACAAAGTCTGGGGTACCCTGTACAAGACATGGTTTGCACAGCCACAATGATGATGAAGGGACCCTGAGGCTCAAGATGAGTGTGCTGTCATAAATCACCGAGACTGCATGGCGAGTAGTCACTCAGCCTCGCTACGGACCGATTGGAACCAAGATCTAGATTCAATATTGAAGATTCGTTATTCGTTATTCACTACTGGATGCAACTTAGTTGCATGTTCAAACTAGCATTTATCGGGCAGAACAACATCTGCCAAATCCCAAGGCGTGACAAAAGGAAACGTCGTTGTGTGTTGAGTTTATATGCGTATGTTGTGTGTACAATCTAATAGTAGTCGCTGTCAAACGAGTTCATGCGCCGAAGCCAGGGAGGTCGGAATTTCTAGGCCTCAGCCTCCTGCTTGCGACGACGGATGCTGCCGAAACGCTTCTTCAGGGACGAGCCCACACCCTTGCCCGTGGTGTTACTGCGTCCGATGCCAGAAGCTTCGGCGTTGGCTGGCTCAGGTGATAGAAGACCAGAGGCTTGGTCATGGCCAACGGACTTGCTGTGGCGGTGTCGTGTCTTCATCTCGGTGCCAGAGTCACCCAAGGCCTTGTGTTCCTTCAAAGCCTTCTCAATGGTGTAGGACGGTTCACCTTTGCCTTTCAGATCATCTGGGTGGTACTCCTGCGAAACGTTAGCAGTTGCTTCATGTGACCGCGAGGACGTAAAGCTTACCTGGCCAGGCCAACGCCTGTAGTCACCTCCGGGTTCGCGTTGAAGATCGGCTCCCTCCTCATAATTGAGAACGCGACCAAAACGATCGGGCATACCAGGAGGAATGTTAGCAACTCCTTCAAGTGGGCGGTGCTTCGAAACGGCATCCGCAATATTTTCCCGTGGTGTGGCTCTCAATGCCTCCTCGTTCGACTCACGGACCGCCTCAATGGGTGCGTATTTGATGTGCTTGTTGCGTGCAATGCTCGCAGCATCGTACGGGCCTTCGTGGTGATAACGAGCGAAGCCGGCTGCGTCGAGACGGTCGATGACATCAGCTCCCGGGAAGTTCTTCTTTCTAAGATGAGGGGCACGGTGAGCAGTCTTTTCATCTTTACGGAGTGCATCAAGTGGCCTGTGGGACATGTCTCCAGGGTATCGCTCCCTAAGTGAGCCACTGCGTGCCGGTCTGCCACTCCTCGGTTGGACTGGTGCCGGGTTGCTCGATCGTCGTGGCCTGGTGTCGTTCAAGGATCCGAGGGCTTGCGAGCGGTGGTTTGTGGATGGGAAATGCTCACGACGTGGGCTAGCAGAGTTGGGAGGGGACGGGTAGTCATACCTCCTTCTGCTTGGTGAGCCCGTTACATGATGGTCGCCGAAGGGATTCTTCGCATCAGATGAAGCTCGCGAGCGGCGGTATGGGTTGGTCTCGACAGAGCTGCCGGTGTGGTGCACGCTGACGGTTGGCTGCTTCTTGGAGATGGCCTCGGCTCCAGGTGGTGTGATGGGTTCCTGGGGCGCAAAAGTAGAGCGGAAGTGAGTGTTTAGTCCGGTCTCGTCGGATGGATCCGGCTCGATCAAGGGATCGATGAGTGCATGTTGTGCCTACAAAGTTAGCATGCTTCTTCTAGCATATGCATCGGAACGTGGTTGAGATGCAGATCAGATAGTGAGTTCCTCTTTTCGCTGTGCCACACGCACGCGGCGGCTGCAAGGGCGGGATGCTCCAGGGTTTCAGGCTCGCACACTGGAAGGGAAACTTACCCGCTCCATTCCGGTTGTGTTACTGAAGTTCAAAATGCTGTTCGCTTAAGGTTGCTTCGAGGCAAGTTCAAGTAGAGTGTCAATTATGGTGAAGAGGAGATGATCAGGTGCGTGGACATGCGAGGGAAAGGAACAGGTGATGAGGACAGCGGCTGCTGATAAAGGCCTGACTTGGCAGGCACGACGCGTACTTCGCACATGTCATCGTTCATTTTGTCCCTGCAGAAGTTGGCGCTACGTCATTCGCAGCCGGGATCTAGGCCCAAAGCGGGGCCAGACAACACTTAGCGCGCCTGCCAGTGCGAATTTGGCAATTACGAAGCCATGGCCATCTCGACACCACCAAACGAACAATGTCCCTGGTACCTTACCCAGATTCAGACTCTGACGAGGATGTTGGCGGACATGGTATCGCTGCCCAGTCGCCGGGCAGGGCGCCCAAGAGTCCTATACAGCTGAAGCGCAAGCACAGCCAGTCTGCCCAGGATGACCTGCCGCCGCTTCCGGCAGCATTCCATGACCTGTACACGACCAACGCGCGTATCAGCACCAGCGACAACCCGGAACTACATGGAGGCCGGAAGCGCGCAATGCCTCACGTCGAAGGCAACTGGCCAAGCCATGTCTACTTAGAGTGTAAGGATGCGCGGGCGTGTACCCGGTAGGAAGTGGCTGGGTAGGCTGACGTATGCGAGGGAATCCTTCACAGGCCGAGTCTGATAATCTGCACGGACTGATACAACACGTCAAGGACGCGATTGATGCCCAAAACAAGGAACGTCCAAAGAAGACTCCTGTGCCAAAAATTATTCCATCTCTTCAATCAGAACTGGGCGCTCCTCTGCCGCTGCACGTCTCGCTTTCGCGGACGCTGCAAATCAAAACAGAAGACAGGGATGTCTTCTTGGATGCATTAAGATCACGTCTGCGCAGAGCTTCAGTTGCGCCATTTCAATTTCAATTCAGAGGTCTGAAATGGGTTCCAAACTTCCAGCGCAACCGATGGTTCTTGGTCCTTAGCATCGAGAAGCCTGCAAATAATGAGCTCAATCGACTTCTGGATGCATGCAACAAGGCTACGAGACACTGTGGCCATCCAGGTCTATATGTCGGTGGCCATGGAGATGGGCCTATGGAGAGCAGTAATGAGAATACTGGAAATAAGAGACGAAAAGGCCAAGATACCGAGGAAGAGAGTGTTGATCGTTCTGATCGCTTCCATGTCAGCATAGCCTGGAACTTGGAGGAGCCTGACCCGGAATGGACGGCCCTGATCAAGAACATTGACGTGAGCGAGCGTATAAAACAACCGCAAGCTTCTATCGATGTCGTCAAAGTAAGGATTGGCAACGTGGTCCACAACATCGACCTGAAAGCGGGGAGATTGGGTGGTACAATGGGACTAAATCAAAACTCGAATTGAGGAATTTTAATCGTGGTCTGCAAAGACCAGTAGCGCGTCATTCGAGCATCAGATTGAAGACGCGCAGCTTTGGGTAATCTGGAAATTAGTCGATAGACCATAATGTTAGAGGCCGTACGATACAATATATGGCAGCTAGCTAGGTATGCACCTCGCAAAACATTACAAGAGCGGCGACTTGAGATTCGACAGATAGCGGAAGATACTCTAACACCACGACTTGACCGACGTGATAGCACACCGGTGGATCTGCATATGTGCTGCGACACATTCACGCAAAGACACTTGGCAGTCGATCCAGTGAGCTTAAACCAAAATAAGCATGCAACCTTAATTTCCGGCCCCGTCAGCACTAGCAAGCGACACCTTATCACGGCCATCGACAGCAGCAACTCACTGGTGGAATCGTTCCAGTCATTCGGGTTCCTGCACTCACTCTGTCGCCTAGTGTTAGCTGCTTTCAAGTGGCCCAATTATAAACGTTTGCAGCAAAGATGCAAGTTGCGATTTGTGCGACGCTCTCGGGGCCGAAGATTATGCCTCGCGTAGATTTAAGACCCGATACGCCGAGGTAAGCTGTGTACGCGTTCGAGAGAACGTGAAGGAAGCTTTAGGCAACCATGAACGATGATCATATATGCCATGGAAATGTTGATCTTAGGACCTCGTCAGAAATTCTGCGCCTCCAATTGCCGTAAACCTCGATTCCCTAGAGATCAACACCTTATTCGAGTTGTGTTCATAGACTTTGAGACAAGAACACCAAACCAGCGCAGAAGCCTAGAATATACAAGAAAGGACATCTAAGCATCAGACGCTCGACCCGCCTGATATGTCATCTGCTTCTCAACCCAAGATCGCCATTGTCGGCGCAGGTCCAGTCTCACTCACACTTGCCAACATCCTTCAGAACAATGACATATCCTTCACCGTATTCGAGGCTGCCGACTCTATCCGCAGCTCCGGTGGCTCACTCGACCTGCATCCCGAGTCTGGTCAGCTCGCACTCAAAGAGGCCAATTTATGGGATGCGTTTGTTAAGCTTTCACGGCCAGAGTCGGACTGCGATAAGATAGTCAATATTGATGGCGAAGTTTTGTGGGATGAGAATGTGATACCGAAGCCAGAGCAGAGCGAAGAAGAGAAGTTTGCTGGAAGACCGGAGATCGATCGCAGACTGCTACTGAACATCCTCTCCGACAATCTGAAGAGTGAAAATCTGAAGTTCAGCAAGAGACTTGATCGTGTCGTCGCCTCGAGCAGCGAGCCAGCAAGGTATGACCTCCACTTCGTAGATGGAACTCAAGAGACGGAATGGGACCTTGTTGTTGGCGGGGACGGTGCCTGGTCAAGGGTGCGCTCGCTAGTGACTGATGTCAAACCCGCATATTCCGGCATCTCGATGTTAGAAGTGAACCTCCACAATATCCACGCAAATCCCTGGCTAGTCGACTTCGTCGGGTTAGGCTCAATGTTCAGCTTCGGTGAAGGACGAGCAGTGATTGCTCAGCGACAAGGCGACGGAGGCTTACGCACATACGCTTGCCTAAGGGTGCCGGAAGACTTCCTTAAAACATGCGGCATCGACTGGAGCGATCAAGACACCGCGAGGAAGCAGTATGTTGAGCGGTACTTTTCCGACGTCGGCGAAGACTTGAAGCGCGTCGTGCTTGAATGTAAGGACGATCTTACTCCTCGTCCACTGTACGAACTTCCTGTCGGCTTCACTTGGCCTCATCGTTCCGGGGCCACGCTAATTGGAGATGCTGCACACGTCATGACTCCATTTGCGGGTGTCGGTGTCAATACTGGTATGACAGATGCACTAGTGCTCAGTCGCGAGATCATAGCTGCGGCTAAAGGAGAGAAAGGGCTGGACGAGGCTGTGCAGAGCTATGAGAAGGAAATGTTTGCCAGAGCGGAGAAGTACATGCGCAGAACTGAACAGGGGAAGCAGAATCACTTCAGCGCGGATGGAGCGAAGGAATTTGCAGAAAGGATTAAGGCGCATCATCAGCCTGCATGATTGACGTTTGACTAGCAGCCACAAGTAGCTATAATGAACCTTGGCTCCTAACGTTTCGGAGACTATTGTCTTTACAGAGACGAAACTCATGTAAGCTAGTGTTGGAATACATAGACTGAGACTCGATCGACGAGATGCTTGGACGTTCCAGAGAAAGTGCGATGGGTTGTGAAGCTATACAGGCGGTGGTAAAGTTGACATGACAGCAAAATTGATCGGTGGAGATGAAAGCTGAGCTCTTAATGTCGAGTGTGTACAGGAGCTGACTTGCTAGCTGGAGGGCATTCTCGCTACTTACGCGCTTAATGTACTACTACACCCTTTATCGCTCGTATGCCGCAAGTTAGCAATCATTGGTCAAACACACCAACTCCAGCCATTCACACTTGGTCCGATGACCACTCCTTAGCCCTGTAAGAGTTTCTCTAATTCGTCGCTTGCGCAGCGAGATGATAGCGGGCTCGCCAATCCGCTCTCCAAGTCCCCAAGGCCCTCACCGCTGGGCACCTGAATCCTTCCGGCATGTCGGCGGTGCCAACACAACATCGTCTTACGCAGGAAATAAATGCATCCATCGCCCAGCAGACAAGCTGCACGCGCTATACTCGTGGCTCGAATGGTTTCCACAATGGTGTTGAGCTTTACGTGATACACAGCCGTGAAGCCGGATACTGCGCCGGAACATTTCATGACGTTTGTGCATCCGGCACCAGCACGCTCTCGAGTCGTGCGAACAGAAACATCCGCCTGCCAACCACGCCCCTTGGCTACAATTAGTTCCAGAGCGGATCGGCCAGCCAATAGTTTTAATGCCGAACAGGGAAGCGATGTTCAAGGCTATGCACGAGCCGCCCTGTACCTGCATGTGGCAGCGCTGTGGCCATGGTTCCTCCTTGTTCGAATCCTTGGAGATTTAGCCGTTGGTTGCGCGAGGCGAGGGTGTGTGATTGCTGGTAATGATTTGATGATGATAGTCATAATACATTCGACGGACTATAATATCGCGACACGAGCGCACGGGAGGGTTACCCAGCTGCTGTCATGGGCTCATGGTGTACCAGCAAGAATAAGAACCAAGTTACTGTCAGGTCCATAGGATTGCGCCGGACTCTTGATGGGTCGACTCGGCGCAATTCAACTGTGCTTGTGATGATGCTATGTGAGTTGTGCGGCTACCCCCCTGATTAACCCGATGCGGACCACTGCACCCAAAGTGGTCGAGCATCCAGTAGTTTTTCCCCAGAGTCTCATTTCCACAACACGACCGCTCTGTGCACATCGTGACCCCATGTAGAAGCTTGCCTAGCAACCATACCGTTTTGGTGGCCCACCTCCCATGTTCATTTCAAGGACCCCTTTGTCAACCTAGATGCCGGCGCACGAGCACTAGCCATGCGCAGTCCCATCAAAACCGACGACTCCCCGGCGATGCGACAGACTTCTTTCTCTTTACGCAAGGCTCACAGTTACGCATCCACGCCTCGTTGACAAGTCAAGTCTGGCCTTTGTGCCCTTACACTCGTTTATCTATACTTAATACAACCGCTTCACTCATTCAGCGGTCTATACCTACCATCTGCTTAATACCCAGTAACCAAACGTCAAGATGAAGGGTGCTATTATCGCTGCCTCCGTGGCGCTTACCGGCTCCGTTGCCGCGTACGAGCACAAGGCTCACGCTGGTTTCCACATGCGCCGTGGAGACTACAAGAAAGATGACGTTTGCACGGTCTACACCACTGTCTACGTGACTGCTAGTACGTGACATGCCAACCCCGCGTGGCTTCAAAGAACAGGTGGATTTCATGGTGTTGGAAGTCGCGGGGCAGAATGCTAGTACGGCAAGAAACCTTTGATACTAACTTTTCTTCAGTGCCGTCTATCGTCCCCAACTCCACCTGGGTCGCGCCCCCTACTCCCCAGACCTCCAGCTCTTGCACCGAGGAGGAGGGTCACAAGACTTCCATCTACACCCCCATCGTGATCTCTTCCACCCCGGCCGCGGCTTCATCCACCAAGCCCGCTGAGGTCTACCCTCCGGCTCCTCCCAAGCCTGAGGTCTCCACCTCCTGCACTGAGGAGAAGCCGATTGTGGTCTCTTCCACCCCGGTCGCAGCTTCATCCACCAAGCCCGCGGAGGTCTACACTCCTGCGCCTAAGCCGGAGTCCTCCAAGCCCGCTGAGGTCTACACTCCTGCGCCCAAGCCCGAGTCCTCCAAGCCGGCCCCAGTGCCCGTCTACACTCCCCCTGTCCGAGCTCCCCATCTACTCCAAGCCTGCCGACACCCCCAAGCCTGCTCCCAGCGGCACCAAGGAGGCTGACAAGCCTAAGCCAACTGGCATCTACAGCAACGGCGGCCACATCGTCACCAATGGTGACAAGTGGGCCATCACCTACACCCCCTACGCCGCGGACGGCCAGTGCAAGACCGCCATGGACATCAAGACCGACATCAAGAAGATCTCCGAGATGGGCTTCACCACCATCCGCTCCTACAGCACCGACTGCGGTGTGTTCGAGAACGTCGTTCCCGAGTGCCAGAAGTACGGACTGAAGGTCATCTACGGTATCTTCCTTGAGGGCGGCGGTGCCGGTGGAAAGGGCCCCTTCTCCAGCTACGCCAACTCTCAGCTTGAGGACATCAAGAACAAGGCCCCCAAGGACAGCGTCGCCATGGTCATCGTCGGTAACGAGTGCATGTTCAACAACAACTGCCAGGCCTCTGAGCTCGGTAGCTACATCGACTACGTCCGCAAGGAGCTCCAAGGTGCCCGGTTTCCCCACCGACGTTGCCATTACCACCACTGAGCCTGTAGGCACCTGGGAGGAGAAGGGCGCCGCTCTGTGCGACCACATCGACGTCTTCACCGTCCAGGTTCACCCCTACTTCACTGCTTCCATCACTGCCGACAAGGCCGGAGACTTCGCCGCGCAGCAGCTCGAGCAGGCCGCCAAGGTGTGCCCCGGCCCCGCCGCCAAGGGCAAGTTCATCACTGAGATCGGGCTGGCCCAAGAGCGGCATTCCCAACGGCCTCGCCGTCGCCAGCGTTGAGAACCAGAAGACTGCCATGAACGGCCATCATGGAGAAGGTTGGCTCGGAGGCATGCGTCTTCTCTTATCAGGATGACACCTGGAAGGCCCCTGGTGACCTCGGTGTTGAGCAGTACTTTGGCTGCGCTGACGCCATCTTCTAAACATTTCAATCACCTATTTCTTTTGTCCTAAGAAAAAGAAATGCTAGTCAAGTGAAGGATGTTTGTTGGTGGAGGAAGTCAAATTAGTCATGTAGTGTACACCCTTCTCGTCAATATGTTCGCTACGTTACGTGTTACGCTTTTGCATGCTTTCGTGCGCCTCGCCGTTTACCGGGTCTACAGAGGTGGTTTAGTGTCTAATTACTATCAATCTATGTTAATATCAAGCAGTCAAGCTTTTGTCTGTGTCGCGGGTGGTGAAGATCGTGATGTTGGAATTGCGCAATTTCGGCTCTTCTTGTCGGTTTTGTGATAGGACGTAAGCAGTCAGCGTTCGACTAGGTTGATCCTGTACTTGGTCGGAGTTGGTGATGACAGATGGTCGTAATGGTCTGGATGCATCGGTGACGAGTGTAAGCGTGTTGGTGTTGGTGCAGCCAAACACGAAGTTTGAACACATGGCATGGCGGGTTCACTCCGGCTGCGGGAGCAGCGCTAGCGCAGGTGCTTGACGTCTCGGGAGATCGACCGGGCAGGCTTCCAACTCATCTTCAAACGCACTGTTGAACAACCTCACAACATTATCGTGATGCCTCCAAATCACGCGCGCCCACGTAGGCGTCCGTTCACACTCGCAACCATCGCCGGTGTTGCCTCTCTTATTCTACCTACTTGTACCTTGGTCCGCCTGTATACCTCGACGCATTCCATTTTGCCGCTTGCTTGGACAGGCATCGCCAGCGGAATCACCTTCTTGTTCTATGGCTATGACAAGATGCAAGCGCGGAACATGGAGTGGAGAGTCAAAGAGGTGACGTTACACACGTTGGCACTGTTGGGCGGATGGCCAGGTGCACTGATTGGGATGCATTATTTCCAGCACAAGACGAGGAAGACTGGATTTCAAGTTGTGTTTTGGGGAACTGTCTTAGCATGGGAGGGACTGTTGTGGAGTATCTGGACGGGCGGATGGCAATTGGGTTGAATATTTTAATTCATGGAAGCTTGAGGATTGCCTACAGGAGCCGAATCGCCACCATATATATCCAAGAACAAGCACTGAGGATCAAGTCAACGCCAGACGCTTCGTTAGTCTTCATAATCGTCACGCCATCACTCCGTCTTTTTTACTTTCTTCTCGACCTTCGCCTTCGATTGGGACGTCATGGTCGACACGCGCTCGAGCGCACTCTTCGAATATTCCTGGACCGTGTTCCAATCGACGCAATCAGCCGCGCTCTTCGAAAAGCTCGCCGCGGCGTCCTAAGCCTGAGTCGCAGCTCGAGCTACAGAGACATGACCATTAGCGTCCAGTAAGGGGAGCTGTGAGTCTGTCTGTGGCTTCACCAGCAGTCTCCCCAAGGGGGTTGTTGGTGACACCACCGACAGCATTGCCGAGAGACTTCTTGAGGTTCTTGACGTCTTCTTGATCCGAGGTAGGGATCTTGTTGATCTGGTCTGGAAGTTATTAGTGTGGATCGCCCAGAGGAGATCGACAAAACATGCCTTTGGCCAGGTAAGACATCTTGTTCTCGCCCATAGTCTTGAGAGCCTTCTTCTCGAGCGCACGCTTGGTCTCGGGGTCGATGCCGAAGAAATAGAGATAGGCGCCGGCTAGTGCAAGGATGCCGGCGAATACGGTGAAGATCTGAGTGGCGGTCATGTTGGCGATCGGCAGACGAGGTACGCTAGGTGGTAGAAGGTGAGAAAGATGTAAGGTTTGGGAGCGCTAGTTTCGCAAAGTAGGATTTGTGCTGAGGAGTACGAGAAGATATTGAAATAGTCTGGCGATAGAAGCAGTTGAGCTTGATCAGGTTTTCTACATGGCAAGAAGTTGCGACAAGCATGACGTAGCTGTCAAACATGTCCAGCCCGGTCCCCTGCTTTCCCCATTCCTTGCGGTACCACCTTCCAGCTTGGCTGACTATCACGGGCAATGGGCAATGGGCAATGGGCAATGGGCAATGCAGGGTTCTTGTCTTTCCAGGCTAGGTGTATCAAACACCGTGAGGGAGAATTGAATGCAGCTACGCCGCGTGGCTGGTCTCGCGTGGTCCGGCTGCAGCTGGTAGGATAATACGCGCAGATTTGCAAGCAGCCTTAGCTCAGGCTACAAGGCTGCATGGCTCTCTCTTTGGCGCGTGTCTAACTGGTCGTGGTAAAAGGAGCGTCCGCTGGAGTATGTCAGGCCCAAGAGACACAGCCATGAGGCGCACACGGAGGTGACAAGGCCAATCGGGGTGTGCACAGCCCTGGAGCCATTCAACAAGGCGGACGAGCGTTGCGCCTACCCCACCGAAGTCGAACAGCAATTGCTCCAAGGCCCTAGGTTATTTCTGGCCCGACCACGTTTGGGCTTCTTCTCCATCCTTTGCGACTTTTTGTTTTCTTTGCATTTCTCTTCTTCCCAGCACGCGCAATTGCAACCTACTGCTGAAGACCTACCCCTCACCGACCCCACCAACCTTTACGCGCCTGATAGGCATCTCACCTCCGTCTGACATTCAGCCTCGCGCCTACGCAGCAGCTGACGCGCTGCCAGCAATTTGCCCACTATGAGTACGACTCCTTTTCTTACTGCTCGATTCGCAAACAACGCATACTAACAAACCCTCGCAGTGACAAATATGCTCAACAAGCTGCACGGCCAGCCCGACAGCTATGACCGCAAGTTCGTAGCTCACATACCCCGCGCAAACAAACCGGATACTGAGACCACAATCGCAGATCTCGATACCGCTTCGGAAAGACACTGGGCGCCGGCACATATGGCATCGTCCGTGAGGCCGACTGCCCCGAGGGCAAGGTCGCTGTCAAAATCATTCTGAAGAAGAACGTAAAAGGCAATGAGCAGATGGTGTACGACGAGCTGGAGATGTTGCAGCGCATGAAACACCCACATATTGTCAAGTTCCACGACTGGTTCGAGTCAAGGGTGAGCTCGTTGCAAGATGCATGCAGTGAATTGGGGTCTGACAATTTGTAGGACAAGTACTACATTGTGACTCAACTGGCAACCGGCGGAGAGCTGTTCGACCGCATTTGCGAGAAGGGAAAGTTCACTGAGAAAGACGCCGCCGAGACGATCAGACAGGTCCTTGAGGCAGTCAACTACCTCCACGAGAACAACGTTGTGCACAGAGGTAAGGTCTGGTCCTCTTCAAAACATGCTTCGCTCACATGACCCAGATCTCAAGCCCGAGAATCTTCTCTACCTCACACGCGACGCTCACTCATCACTCGTGCTGGCCGACTTTGGTATCGCCAAGATGCTCGACTCCAAGAGCGAAGTCCTCACTACAATGGCTGGATCCTTCGGATATGCTGCACCTGAGGTTATGCTGAAGAAAGGGCACGGAAAGCCTGTCGACATGTGGTCGATGGGAGTCATCACTTACACACTTCTCTGCGGTTACTCTCCATTCCGATCAGAGAACCTGGCCGATCTTATCGAGGAGTGCAAGAACGGACGTGTCGTCTTCCACGAGCGATACTGGAAGGAGGTCAGCAAGGAAGCCAAGGAGTTCATCACGTTGCTACTACAGCCAGACCCAAACAAGCGACCTACGAGCAAGGTAAGGTAAGCGCTCTTTTGGGAAATGCTTTAACTAATGTGAGCAGGACGCTCTCAAGCACGTATGGCTCAGCGGCGCGACGGCTAGTGACCACAACTTGCTGCCTGAGATTCGCGCGTATGTTGCAAAGGCCCGTCTCAAGCGCGGTATCGAGCTTGTCAAGCTTGCGAACCGCATCGAAGCGCTCAAGATGCAAGAGGACGAAGAGGAGGACGCTCCAGGTCAGGCCGATATGCCCGCTCAACGCTCGTGAAGCCGCGGGAGAAGCGGTAGCAGCGCACCACCTCCGACAAGGTCCCGGCTGCCAAAGAAGAAACTCCTGATGCTGGCACTGGAAAGGGACCCGGACGTCTAAGCAGGATCGCAAAGGGAGCCATCTTCCGAGAAGTGGTTTTGGCCAAAGTACGAGAAATGAAGGAGGCAGAGGCAAGGGCCGAGTTCGAGAAGAAGGCCACCGAGAGCGGAACCAAGAAGGCTTGATTATGTTGCTGGGTTTGGAAATGTGATTGTGTCGGGTCTTGCTTTACGAACATGGCTGAGTTTGCTGCGGTCTTAGCGATGGTTCCATGACCGCGTGTGCATACCCTGGAAAGCGGTACATAGCCAGGGACTAGTACCTAGGAGCTTACGGCTCCATCTCTTCTTCTCAATACAAATCATTACGCCACGGCCGAACGAAGCAGGATATCATATAAGACATGTTTGTTACAGTCCAGCTTGATTGAATGATCCGTCCCTTTTGGACGTGGTCTTCACCATCTGTGGTTTTCAAAAAACGATCTGGCTTCATAGATCCGATTGGTCCAATACGAACGACAGTGGACAATCACACGATGTTATTGACAGGCAGCTACCAACGGCTTCGACAGCGTCAATGATGCCAAGACCGTACTAGTTTAGCGCGTCGGATCGCCAAACCTCAACACGGGCCACCTTGGAGAAGCAACCCGTGGACGCGCTTTTGGCTGCACAGCGATAACCGCACCTCAACTGCACCCGCGCACGACCCGGAACCTGCATCAACCAACATTGGCACCGGCTTGGATAGACTACGCGACCACGAAACAAGTTGAAATGGAAAGCGCGGCCAAGCGCAAAGCTGCCAGCGCAGCAATGGGTGACGGAGACGGTCGCCCTGCGAAGCGCCAGAAAGTGCCGGTACGTGCAGCCCCCCAAGGTGTTGAGAGCATTGTCGGTGGTGGTCCACGAGGTGCGAGTAGTGTCGGTCGCGATGCGGGCTGGCTGCTAGATGGAACGCGACGACTGGGTTCGACGAGTAGCCCTTCACACCTCCGCCGGCCCCTCCATGGCGCCGCAACACCACGGCCGCCGCCGACGATGCATGCCGAGGCAGACACGGCAATGTGTGTAGATGCAATGGACGAGCTTGCTAACAGTGGATCGCATGCGTGCAGGGCGAATCGAATGCGAACGTTGAGACGGTAGAGACGACGACGGCCAAGGGCCTGCAGTTCCTCGACACGTTGAAGCAGGCGAAAGACAAGACGTACGTACCCTAGCCTGACGACTAGCCAATCCCGAGCAGCTCCCGTGCTTCCTTCCTACACGGCTACCAGCACAAATACTGACAAGATGCAGCGGTCGCCCAATTGCAGTCCACTTCCTCACGCTTCCTAGCAAGGTACGCCCCCCAAGCTCTCCCCGCGTCGACCCCACTGACAGACCGCGCGCAGGCCGAGCTTCCAGAGTACTACGAGCACATCAAGCTGCCCATAGCCATCGACACCATCGAGGTACGGCCACACATCTCGTATATTGCAAACTGCTTCCTCCAGACCCCACGCTCTGGCCCAATGCGCCAATGAGCCACCCTCTACTAACTTGGCACTTAACACAGCACAGGAGCAGCAGCAGTCATGAAACATCTGAGACTATTGACAAGAGCATGTGCTGACTTTATATTATAGAACAAGCTCGAATCACGGTGAATACACTACCCTCGCCCAGGTCGAGAGCGACTGCAAGCGGCTCGTCAACAATGTCCAAAGCCTACAACGACAAGAACTCGAACGTCTACAACGATGCTGAGCGCCTTCGCAAGACCGCCTCGAACTGGATGACAAAGCACAATCCGGCGTACAGAACCAACAACAGCTACGTCGCTGTCGCAACACCCATCCCTGGCGAGGAGAACTCCCAGCCAGGCAAGCCCATCCCCCGCATTGCATCCACCCCACGAACTGCGCATTCGCCGGCTGCCACGCCCGACACCTTCGACCGCCCTCGCCGAGCTGCTGCTGCTGCTGCGGCGGCACAGGCTACACCAGCGCCCTCACGGCTCCGGCAATCAGCGTCCCTCACGCACGAGGACGTTGAGGACAACCCTGATTTTGATGGCAAGACGTTCCAACAGGCACAAGAGCAGATAGTCAGGGAACTCATTGATTATGTCGAGCCCGAGTAGGTTGACCGTCTTCAACTTCTGCAACCCTCGCTAACATGCTCACAGGAGCGGTCTTCCAATCTTTGCTCCCTTCCTCAATCTCCCGAGCCGTAGCCTGAAAGACTACTATGCAATCATCAAAGAGCCAATGTCGTTGGCGGCTATCAAGAAGAAGGTGCAAGGCGTAATTGGACGCGACCAGCCCACGGGTCAGACGCTGTTCAAGAGCTGGGATGCATTCGAAGACTCCATGAGCCTCATCTGGAAGAATGCGCGCGACTACAACGAGGATGGTAGCGACATCTACAACGTCTCCTTGGAGATGGAGGTATGGACCAGAACACTGCAAGCCTGTTTAAGTATGCTAACAGAATCAGGAATTTTTTTATAAGCGCCTCGCCGAAGCCAAGGCCAAAGTCGACGAGCCGGCACAGCCGAAGCTCAAGCTGAACATGTCGACTAGTACACCGGCTCCTAAGCAGCAACTAAAGCTGAAGCTCAGGCAGAGTCCGGCTTCAGATCGCAACACACCTGGAGCACGAAGCTCGGCGACACCTGGGGTCATTGTTGATAGTGATGCACTCTTGCGACAGCAGCGACATGTCCGGGACAGCATGCATGCACCAAACTCTGCTCGCGCATCTCCACAGGCAAAAGTTGGAACTCCCGTGCCGTCTTCGAATCCTTTCAGTGGATCAAAGGGCGCAGCTGCTGTACTACCGCCACTCACAGCGCAGGCGCGGACGGCCGGATCACCACCAGCTGTCAATGGTGTCAAGCAAGATATGCAGTCTCCCGCACTGAGCGCGATCCGACCGTCAAGTACTGCCTCGGATGGCCAGGCTCAACGTCTCAGCGTTCCTGCTCATACACCTCATGCAAGTATGGCTCCGCCAAGGACCAGTGGCAGCCCGTACCCGAACGGCAACGCCGGTCAAGCAGCTATGACTAACGGCCACATTCAACAACCGACCTACTATGTGCCTCCTTCGGCTCTTCGCGAGAACACGTTCCGCAAAACGCCTCTCAAGAGTAAGTGATATATGGAAGTATATGAAATCCTGACTTTGCTGACTCATTCAGGTCTGGACGAAGCTCTGATTCCCAAGATCACGCTGAACACACATCCCGCATTGAACCTGCCAAAGCCCTGGTCCGTCGACATACCCGCCAACAAGCAGAAGACTGAGCACAGCGTCACCGTCGCCGTCTCACCCGTCCACTCATACCTGCAGATTACGCCCAAGGTCCCCATTGCACTGACCAACCGCCTATACCGCATCTTCGTCCTGGTCAACGGCAACAAAACGCTCGAAGTCAACCGTGTCCCCGTCACCGCCGGCATCAACGGCAGCAGCCCCGGTCCCGGCATCGAGAGCGGCAAGAAGAAAGGCGAGCCTGTCTTCGAGGCCAAGCTGGTCGGTGGCGTCAATCGCATCGACGTTGAGATAGTCGCAGAGAAGGATCGCAAAGATGGTTCGGAGCCCAACGGTAGTAAGGGAGACATTGAGGTCGAGAAGTGCACAATCTTCTTGCACCTCATGCGCCAGTCATCTTATTAGGTATTGGATGGCAAGGAGGACGAGGCGTATAAGGGTTTCTTAAAGGGTTTGGCGGCGTAAGGGATCGGATGGGTATATCATGGGATGGAATCGAACACGTTAAGCATTAGCGGGGGAGCACAAGGCACTACTGTTCTGGACCTGTTTTTCTATTATAGGGTGTTTGAGCCTGATGATGAGGTGGACGCGTGTGGTAAGCGCAGCGAATACACGCATGTTAAGATATTGTAGCTGGCTGGTGGTGTGGTGAAATGTGTATTTGTTGCTTGTGAGTGCTTTGAGACTCCCCGCAGATACTTTTTACGTCGGTGTTAGAAGTGAGATGAGGGCTGGCGATCTCCGGGGTAAGATGTCGCTGTGCATACTTGGGCATAGAGTCGGACGCGCACTGTGAAACCCTGTACTTCTTGGGATGATGGGATTTCGGTATGCTATACTTGATTGGCCTTACTTTAGCGCTTGATATACATCGACCATGACGTAGCTTATGGTCTATCTCATAGCATCCGTTTATAGTAAGGTGTTGTATAAATCCGACAATGCCATGTTCGGACATGCTGAAGATACACTACCAAGCTCTCCCGCAACGTCTCCCCCTCTTAGTATACCACAGTCTAATCGATGATGTAGTCGGCTTGTCGTCTCGTATTGGCATAGTAACGGGCGGAAGTGTAGGCTGTTTAGATTCCTTTCTAATGTATGCATACTAGATTATTGTAGCTGCCTGGCTTGCTTTTTTTTTGGCGTACACGTTAGGTACACATACGCGCCTTGGGACTTGTTAGGAACGAAGGTTAATTGGAATGTTGAGCATTACCGAACGAACGATGGTCAGATGTTAAGAATAGCTGAATGATCGACGATGAGATGTTGAGAATGGCTGCCAGGTGGGGTTAAAGTGTAAGAGGCACAGATTAGCTGGGATTCTAGCTGATGGGAGAGACTCCAATCACTATTGGGAATTTGAGACCTCGGCATGCTGTGGTCGAATTCAAGACGCTTATTGAACATCGATGATGATGTGACTTGGCTTACTCGTGATATTGTGTGTAGCAGCGGCCGTAAGTGTAGTTTTCTGAACTAGGTTTCTGCATGCTAGGCAAGTTGCTGTAGCTACTTGGCCTCGCAGAGCCGTCACAGTAGCTACCTGGGAATGAATTTTCGAAATCATTCCACCCTCGCACGAGCCTCGAAAGGTCGCCGCGAATGCTTTTACCAGTCGTGTATTCCAGACCACTCAACATGGCGAAAAGCTCACTCGCGAGAGATGGCCCCAAAGAACTTGCGGCGTCGCCGTCGTCCGCAGAACTCAATCAGCCCAGTACTGCTCGCCTGATGTCAGCGATACGACAAGCCTTCGCCAACTTTCTCTTGGCGACGCGGTGAAAGTGTCGAGGCGGGCTTGGCATCGTGCGGCTGAGAAGGACTTTGGATCTAGAATCCGTGTGGACGGGGCACGCCAAGAGACACGCGAGAGGCCAACATGTCTGGGGCTGGCTGGAATCTTCATTGGACGAGGTTGCGGGAGGAGTGAGCTGGGGAAAGAGGTGTAGATTTGCCAGTATGAAGATACTTTGGTGGGCTAGTATACTGTTGGAGGGTTTCACGTCGTCCGGACGGTGGGAACCTTGCTTGCACCGCTTCTGCTTTACCTGGAAGAGCAGGTGTAGTTACAAATGCTCCACTTTCGTAGCTTTCTACTTGTCTTCATGATCAGTACATGTGTGCATCTTGGACGGGCTGCACCTTGTGCTTGAAGCTAAGGGTTGTCTTAATTCGTGAGTGGAGTATGGGTCGAGATTCTGCAGCTACTAGGTTGTACATGCGACACATCGGAGTTGGATCATGGATCAGGCTGATGCTGCTCGTGTTGGCTGTCTTGCTGGACCCAAGCATTCCTCCCGTATTGATGCAGCCTTGGCAGTCTGCAAGCCCATATATTGAATGGGGGCGGCCGAGGTCGTATCTCAGTCAGTCTAGCAGGGCGTGCACCAAGTGTCTTTTATGGGCTATGATGAAGAAGCGTGTAATTCAGAAGCGATCTGGAAAACACTGTGAGCCCTACATAATGGAGACAAGAGACTGAGGAAGCGAGAGAATGCTGAGATACCAAGAAACGACTAATGACAGGCATACTGAAAATGGAAGGTTGCCAGCGCGGGAATAGCATCCGAGGCTGATATTTCGCGACTCCATGCTAGCATACTGGTGTGAAGTTGGCTCGTCCATACGGGATGGTGTCAGCTCGCCACTTTAACAGCAAGCTTTTCTTGGCTTAGCCTCGTCTTGTCCAGCCTAGTTCGCTACCAAATCCGCGCTGATGTCTCGCTAGATGTTTGTGGGGGAGAGTCAAGGATCGTGGGGTGGTCGATCGCGGCAATCTTTTTCGCTTCCTAGCCCAAACATGGTTCCTAGGCAAATGTAGATGCTTTGAGGACGCAGACATGACGATGGCTGATGCATCGCATGGACGCAAGCAGCTTCGCAGGTGCACCGTAGCAGACGAATAATCCAAACAGTCGGGATTGATGTCTCGAAGCGAAACAAACAATTTCACGACAAGGCTGAGTTGTCTTGAGCTGGAAGAGTTGTAGTGGCTTGCCGTGCGTTATCTGACTGGTTACAAACTTCATTCCGCCCAGTGAATAGGCGAAGATCACGTGCCCTGAACGCAACTAGCGGACACTAACGACATAGCGTCGATCCCTCAGGAGCGGTCCAGAACTTCCTGTACATCTCGCTTGTTCACTTGTCGAGATACCACAGTAGCGGAGACGAGGCGCCATCGTGTCTAGAGGCAACTTGTACTATTTTCCGATTTCGAACAGTGTGCAAGAGTCGGAGACCACCGACTCTAAGATTAACACGTGCCATTCACGACGTCGCTGTGAAATCCCTGCTCCAGCTTGCATCGACACGAGCAAGCCGTGGAGAGGCAAGGATGCTTGTCCGCTGCGCTGGCGCTGGCGGTAGGCAAGGTTGACAGGACACCAAGCTATGATCGTAGGCCGTGTTGTATGTTTACAGAACTAGCATCTCCACAGTTCGCTTCTCTTCACCTTCTAATTGTTCAGCTTTAATCAATGCTCGGGATAATTCCTTATCATTTCTCGGATGTAGACGAGCAGTGTCTTTTTGCGCTGAAGACGCCACAGTGGACATACATTGTCCGGTATTGCTTCAAACGGGTAAGATCCTACCTCAGTGAAACTCACGGGCACTATTTTAACGTCGCCGACCGCAAGCCACCTTGAATCCAAATGCCAAGCGCCGGTGAGTGCGAAGTCCAGCCTCACAGATTCAGTGCATGAAGTCCTCACAAGCCGGGGGTCCCATGCACAGGCCCCGGTTGAGCTGTTAGCTGAGTTCTACACAAGCCTCTCAAGCCATGGTTATGGCTTTCATGGTCTACACGGGACGATGCTTTGGCTTTACTGCCGCCTAGCGGTACCTGTGCACCGGAGCAACTGTGGCGACCACGTTCTATGGCTTGTTCAAGCAATGTGGTTGTTGGAACTCCGGTGTGAAGCGAGTGTGGACGCCAGCTAGGCATTCAAACAGAATGGTGAGTTATGATAGACTGCTCGAGAACCGCGACAATAGCATCCTGGTCGACATGGGGTTCAAATGTGCTGAGGACACAATGAGTATAAAGCAATCGTATCGGACTGATCTCTAATTGTATCATCCAATTCATCTCCAGCTTCTTCGCATTCGATCCACCTCTTGGATATCGCATCCTTCTTTCTTCTCTTCTTCCTTCACACAACATGAAGAAGTACATCTCGACGGGCTTAGCAGCCCTTCTGGCATCTCGAGCCAACGCTGGCGACCTCAAGTGGCTCAGTCCCGAATACAAGGAGATCTTCCAAAATCCATTACCAATTCCTCCTGACAAGGCTGTCCAATAGTAAGTTGTACACAACCGTGTCATGAGTTTGCCATTGACATTTTACAGTACCTACACAAACAAGACTACCGGTAACCAGATTGACTTCTATGAGGTCGATGTGAAGCCATTTGAACAGCAAGTCTATGCAGGCAAGAAGCCGGCCAGACTCGTCGGATACGATGGTATCTCGCCTGGTCCTACTTTCCGTATGACCAAAGGTCGGGAAGCAGTAGTTCGATTCAGGAACTATGGTGACAAAGACCTCTCTGTGCACCTTCACGGTTCTTACAGCCGGGCCGCTTTCGACGGCTGGGCAGAGGACACCACCAAATACGGTGAATACAAGGACTACTACTATCCCAACTCGCAGAGTGCCAGAACTCTATGGTACCACGACCACGCCATCCACCACACCGCAGAAAACGCTTACTTTGGCCAGGCTGGCTTCTACATCCTACACGACCCTGCCGAGGACAAACTTGGACTACCAAGTGGAAAGTATGATCTTCCATTGGCTCTGAGCGCGAAGCAGTACAACCAAGATGGAACACTTTTTGATCCCAAAGACGAGACTACATCGCTGTGGGGAGACGTCATCCACGTCAACGGTCAGCCATGGCCATTCCACTCTGTTGAGCCGAGGAAGTATCGCCTACGATGGCTCGATGCCTCTATCAGTCGTACATTCAAGCTCACCTTCGTCGACGACTCTGGCAAAGAAGTTCCTTTCCAGATGATCGGATCAGACACCGGCTTGCTCACCAAGCCTGTTACCAGCAGCAACCTTGAGATCTCCATGGCCGAGCGCTGGGAGATGATCTTCGACTTCAGTGCCTTCGCAGGCAAGAACATCACGGTCAAGAATGCTCGCGATGTCCAGCACGATGAGGACTACAACAGTACCGACAAAGTCATGCGCTTTGTTGTCGGCAAGGACGCCCCGAAGGATACATCAAACAACGGCAACCCACCGACCGACCTACGTACTGTTCCATTCCCTCCCAATAACGGAGGCAAGATTGATAGAAGCTTCAAATTCCATCGCAGCAACGGAGAGTGGCAAGTCAACGGTGTTACGTTCGCCGATGTCAAGAACCGCATCCTCGCTAAGCCTCCTCGCGGCGCAATTGAGATCTGGCAGCTTGAGAACGGAGCTGGTGGCTGGTCTCACCCCGTCCACATCCATCTTGTCGACTTCCAGATCCTCTCGCGCACAGGCGGTAAGCGTGGCGTTCTCAACTACGAGAAGGAAGCTCTCAAGGATGTCGTGCTCCTCGGCGAGGGCGAAACCGTCACAGTCATTGCCCGCTATGCACCATACGACGGCGTCTACATGTTTCACTGCCACAACCTCATCCACGAGGACCACGACATGATGGCTGCCTTCAACGTCACCGAGCTCAAGGACTTTGGCTACCCAGAGACAACCCGCTTCATCGACCCTATGGAAGAGCGATGGCGATCCCGCCCCATCACCGACGCCGATGAATTAGAGAACGCCAAGAGAGAGAAGTGTGCTTTGTTCGAGTCGCTTGAAGCCTATGACCACGTCGACAAGCTCGAAGAGGCTCTTGTGGACTACTATAAAAACGGACCCAAGAGCTACAGCACGCTGATGACAATGATCTCAACTTCAGCTTCGGCTGGTTCATCTGCGGATTCTTCCGCGCCAGTAGCAACGGGTAGTGTGACGAGCAAGCCTGCTTCTGCTACGATTACAGCTGCGCCCAAGTCGACGAGCACGACGAAGAAAAGCGATGATGATAAGAAGACGACAACGAAGAAGAAGAACTAAATGGTTATGAATCGCACTTGCATTGTAACATAGCATTTTTCGACAGGAGTTTTGTTCTTTGGCGCTTTGGTGTTCGGGCTGGGAACTTCGGCAAGGGTATTTAGATTGAGACGACATCACGACACTCCTTAGATATCCAGCTTGGAAAAGTAATGACAATGTTTCATTTTCATACTTTACTTCCGAGAATTGTTGTTGTGCTCTTCCATTGTTCTGAGAATGGTTGCTTCAATCGCGCGAATGTACACCATTCAACGTGCACCTTCCCCTTCGAACAGCCCTGAATTGCTGGATCCGCTTGCAACGACAGCCACAGTCATTTCCCATTGCCAGGCTATAAGCATACCAAGACACCCAGGGAAAGGAATATGTACTTCCCTTTCTTTCTCTTCGTGGAGCTAAGATCGGTAAAGACTGTTACTCCCGTTCCGCTCTCCTGAAACCCTGGTGCAAAGTCTTCCAGCACTAATCCGCACAGCGCATCCACATTTCAAGCCAGTCTTCGTGATCAGTCACTTCCCTAATATGTACATGTACGGTTCCGCCGAGAGATTCGATAAAAGACCGTGTTTCCGCGTTCAATTGACCCACGGGCTGGATGTCCATCTTTGTAAGGTAGGGGAAATAAGTGTTCAATAGTGGGATGACCCAGGGTTCCGGCCATATACCCGTACCGGATCCGATGACCCCTATGTTGCGAATCAACATCCGATTGAGTGATGAAGAGGGCGTTGTCAATATTTCGATGCCGTCCGGGTACATGAATAACAGAGTGTTCCCTGTATAGGTCAACAACGCCGTCTCGTTGTAGGTTTGTCGAGATACACGCGCCAAACTGAAACGATGTCGTTTGGCAAGTGGCCAACACGATGTACCCCTTTCGCTGATCATTCTGATGGTATGGCCACTCACGACATATTCGAAAATGATGTTGCGTATTTCAGCGGGTAGTCGTAATAGCGGCGATTGTGTTGAGTTCCTCTCCGTACTGTGTTTTGTATCAGTCTTGTACTATGACATATCTGCTATACTTACATCGCGATGTAGTCGCCTGTAGGCGTTACGTCGATCAAGCCGTTCTCAAGACGACGTAAGCACGGCTTGCTTTGTGCTGCTTCTGATGGAGCCATGGTGGAGTTGAGATTGTCGGGATACATGACCGATTTTGTTGATGCAAGAGCGGTACTTAACTACTCGAGAAGCAGTGATTAGCGTGTGGCGATGACGAAGTACACATGGACGTACATGTGAAAGTGAATGGGGCTATGCCGACTGAGGCAAAGCGAAGGTGAGGCACCGCTAGTATACAGGTCTTTGAGCAGAGTTGAAATCATGGTGCACTTATTGGAAAGATTCGAGGGATAAGTTATTGATCAATTTTCCAGCTATGTAAAGATTCGATCTGAGCCAAGCCCCCTCATTTACACGATTGACATAGTCTTGCCTTGACTGATTGCTTGTTCAACTATGCGGAAGGACAGATGACACCATCCGAAGGAGAAGAGGAATTGAGTAGAGAACGTTGTGCCAGTTCTGCCAACCAGCCTTAGATGTTGGCTATGCTGCACTCTACTCCAAGCCCGCAAGCCATATATTCATCATCTCCTCGAAAGTGCATCTCGACATGTTCAGCTCTATTTCGTGAGCCTTCGCCCATTCCATGGTTTTCGTGTCAAGTGAAAACACTATTTCGGACCAAGTACGGGGCATAAGCTGAACATTGATCTTCTCCAATGAACCGAACCCTTCCTAAAATATAGACATGAGTGGCCCCCCAAGCCTCACATGTGTAACTCGCACAAACCGGATCAACTCAAGTAGCTTAGATGCCCGCAGTGACATCGTAGCCGTCCAGTCGGATACCCAGGCAGCGCCGAGAAGAACGAACGTGCTGAGTGTATATGGAAGAATACCTATTTCGGCATAGACCTGACGGGAGACAAGCAGTAGACTGAAGCGATGCTCGCTGGGTCTTTTGAATCCTTTGAATTTCTCTTTCATCGCCAGTTCGTAGTTGTGAAGTAAGTTTTGGAGCCTATTTGGAAGCGGTCGAATGGTGTGGTCCTTGAGTACGCAATGCCAGATTTGGTCGCGCAATTCGGCAGGCAGTTGTAACAGCGGAGAAACTTGTGAATTGATTTCGGTGCTATCACCAGAGTTAGGATTCCGGTGCAATACAGTATACAACACACTTACATCGCTACATATTCTTCTGTTGGGGTGACGTCAAGCAGGCCGTTGTCGAGGTATCTCAGGGGACCAGGCTCTTCCGCGCACATCGACGACATTGCGACGTGGTGTTCGAGATCGAAGAGCGAGAAAGGCAGACGAGAGTCTACAGGTGAGTCCGTAGACGAACGACAGCAAGAGACCCGCTAGACATAGTCTGGAAGCAACACACGTGATTACAGGTGAAGGCGGAGCTTGGCACCTACTCTCGATGACAACCACACGTCTTGAACGACATTGGCACACAAGACCTCACTCCAACCCATTGAAATATAAAAATGCTGCATTGAGGGGTATGTAACTCGAGTTCCCACAAGAACGCTACCAGCTGGAACATATCGAAAGTACATACAACGAGACGCGACGAATTAGTACAAGTCGAGCAGCATAGAAATGCCCTTACAAAAATGCCCGCCGCCAAAACAGAGTGGGAAATCCAATCGAGACCGGCCGGGTTACTTATAGTACAGAACAAGACAGAACCGAGGCCCCCGAGAAGAATGCTTGCAAAGGCCGTCAACATAGGAGTAGTTTGCTAGGAAGCGTGGTTTCGAAGAAGAAGATGAAGGTAAATAGTGGGTATGAGAAGGAAGCGTGTCGAGGTTCGTCAAGTGTTGGTCGTCGGGAGGGGGGTTTAAGCCACGGGTTGGTTGGCCGTTTATGGCCACCAGTTCATCCGCTTGTAGCTCTCTATTACTTCCTCGATGCCTTCGCGAGTGAGCTTCTCGTGTTTGTATCTACGTCATGTCAGTTGTGCTTATCAATTCTATGGTTTGGCAACTTACGTGAAGCCAGTCTCTTTCTCGAGCAAACTACCATCGAGACTGAGATCCGCATCTCGCAACAACTCCTTCTCCATGAAAGGACTCAGGGGCGTCGACTGACTGATGCCAGCTGCTGTTTGCAACTCTGCCCACGGATCCAGTGTTTCATCGTTGACCTCGTCGACAACATGGTCAAGGTTCAGCCGGGCGAAGGCCGATATCAACGTGCCGTGGAAGCCGGTTTCAATGCCGAAGACTTCTTTGATAATCTTGGCGGTGTGTCCCTGAGCTGTGGGGCGTGGCGGTTAGCGCGTGCAAAAACTTGTCTTCGGTAATAACATGTCGGGGGCGGGTCCGTGGCCCGCACACGTGCTTAACGGGCATCGCAAGTGTGCATGCTAGGGAAGGCCAAGGGACCGGATCAGGAGGAAAAGAGGGACTTACTGGTTGCGCCGTGGTCAACGACATTGAAGGTCGCTGGTTTTCGTGGGGATGGTTGCTTGCTGTGCCATTCTGCTGCATGCCACATTGCTCTTACCATGTCGTCAATGTGAACGGTGTTTGTTCGCAGGTCTTCCTTATACAGCCATCTCATCTCCTTCTTTTTGTGCTGGTAGACTCGCGCCATGCATAGTGCGGTGGAGATGAACTTGCTCGTATACGGGCCGTAGACGTGCGCCATTCGCATGACCACCAGGTTCAGACCCTCAATCTTGGCCAAGTCTTCCTCTGCCTTTGCTTTGTACTTGGCCAGATTGGACCAAGGTTTCAACTTGTCCGTCTCTTTTGACGGTGTCTTCTCCGACTTGTACACCATTCCCGTGCTGAGCTCCACGAAGCACTTTATGTTGCGTTTGGCGGCTTCCTTGCCCAAAGTCATGGACAGTCCATACGATCGTAGTTCGTACACCTTTTCCTCTTGCGAGAAGCGCGTTTCGCCGCCGCAGTTGAAGACGTAATCGAATTGCTTGCCACCCTCACGGTCGAAAACCCGTGGAAGGGATCCTGTTGCCTAGTGTCAGCATTTGCCCATGTTTCTGTGCACCATGCCCCCTTCATCTGAAATGTGGGTGCATTTAGTACGCACTTTCTTGCGCAGCATCTGCCTGGACGAATCGCTCTCGTGAGCAAGCTTCCTTGAACTCTGGCGCGAGCCATGCAAGCTCTGGGAGGTGTTTATCGACGATGCGGATTTCGGAGGCGAGTTTATTATCGTATAGGTACTTGGTGAGGTTTCGTCCGGTGTATCCTAAGTCTGTGTGTCAGCACGTCAAATTCCTCACACAAGACGGCCCACGCGACTGACCCAGTCCTCCTATTATCACCACGGAGGGCTTCTCTGACGCAGCATCATCTGAAGACATGTTGGTTGGCGCGCAAAAGCGACGTGTGTGTGAAGCTTCGCAAAAGTACCCTTTGGCAGAATTCTGACGTCGTTTTTGGGCGGAGTGATGTTTTGTAAGCCCAAATTAGGGACCGAAGATGAGCGTTATTGACCGCGCTCAGGGCTTAAGCGGAACCCTGCAACAACTTCAGGACGTCGGTCGGTCCGCGACTCGGGGGCGGGTGAAGGACGCGCTCAACAGAGAGAAAGTCCAAGTCAGAAGCGAGCAAGCTATGGCACCGTTTGCGGAAGTCAGGCACAGGCGTTCGGTGCACGGCGGAGGAAACAATAGCGACAATCCGCATCCCACGCCGTGGGCAACGATGTCATATAACCATGCCCAACGCGCGCGACTCAGTGACTCGCATGGGTCGAAGCGAAACCCAATATATGCCAAATGCCTGCAATGTTCCGGTCGGCGCAGAGTCCCAAGGCGTAACGCGCAGTGGGAAGAGGCACACAGTGATGATGATGGCGGGGAGCTTGTGGCTGAACCGCATGCACACCATCCATCGTCTCCGCAGCTCGACCAAAGTTTTTTTTTGCTTTTTCGCTCCTCCTCTCCGCGCCCAAGTGTGGAGCCGCATCGTGCATCACTCATCCTCCCAGTTCGTCCCGTTCCGGCGCAACATGCAGGTTCCTACATGTGTACCGCCGCCGTGCAGCCACCTCTGCTCGCTGCACAACTTCTGCGGGATAACGCGTGTCCGTTCTTTCTTCTGCATATGCGTGCCGGTCCGCGGGAGATGAACAATTGGGACGGGCGGCCAAGCACGAACGACGGCGCGCTCCCGCACTCCTGGACCTTGACTGCGGGAATGGTTTTTGGATCGCATGACAGCCCAAGGGGCAGGTTGCGATCAGGGGCAGATGGCTTTGGCACAGGTCCGCCCTCTGCCGCCACAGGTTCAAGTTTTACTTTGATTACGCCGTTGGGTTATTTGTGGGACATGAGGCACAGCAGTTGAACTGCATGTTCGATTGGATTGATCGTGGAGAACGATTACTTTCAACAAGCTCCCTCCCTGCTGTCGTCATCTATCTCGACCTGCTCGGAGCATAATATGTGTAGTATATCCCAACTCGTCCTCTGTATACTCAAATACTGCGTCGCTTACGACGCGACGCTGGCCGATCCCAGTGGCAGTTATTGGACCTGAATCGTCCAAGACCTGGCGTCGAAGGGTGAGCAACCCCCATACTGCGTACCTGCATCATGTCTGCATTTAGACCACCTAAACATCTGTGCATCGCATGATACACCAGCAGGTACAGAGATCCACCGATCCCCTCGCAATACCTGGGCTTCAGCCCGTTGAGATGCGAGTTTGCACGGAAACGTGACCCACTTTGCTTTGCCCTGAGTGTCTCTGATCTTCACACCATCAGAATACCAATGCACACAACACAGTAAGGATCGCACCGTAGTCTACCCTCAATGGCTTTCTTGCACATAATGCACCATCTCCATGGCCTTTCGGACACGCCGCACGATTGCAAAGATCTACACGGGTGCCCGTGAAACTACATGTGGCGCGCATGGACACGCGTCTCTACCGGAAGTTCCGGTCTTTGGCGAGTAGAAGCACAGCTCAGCACTTAGTGCAACTTACAGGTTATTCACGCATCACATACAATATGTTTCGGAATACAATTTGTCTACCAGGCTAAGATGCATAAAGTTATTGTGATGAGCTACTGTCTCTACTCACGCTATGCACTGTCTAGATGATAGTTCGGTGTCGATAGATGAGAAAAGAGAAATAGATGCCGATTGCAAAGCAAACGCCCTCCCCATGCGCATACACTCGTTGTACAGATCCCGATGCTTTTCCCACCGCATTCCCTAAAGCATGCATGAATGAAAATGTGCCGAAGCACCGAACTAGTCCGAAGACAAAGATGCTTGCTCGCACTCTAGAACTCCCAGTCTTCGTCAACGGACTTGATGGCCCAATCGAACTTCTCGCGCAGCGTCTTGGAGAAGAACTTCTCAATGGGGACATCGAACTTCTTGGAGAAGACAACGGTGAGACGAGGATCGATGTAGTTCTGGAAAAAGGTTAGCAAGGGGTAATGCTGATGGTCTGGGTCGTGACTTACGATCTTGGAAGTGCCCAGGGCAACCTCCTTATTGCCCTCCTTGTCTTCCATCTGGATCCTCATGTTCTCGATGCGCTGGTTGATCTTGTCGATATTGGCCTCAAGCTTTTCGACGGTAGGACCCTTGCCTTCAGCCTCGACCTTGCCGGTCTTGTTCTCTTTCTTGTACTTGCTGGCGAGTTCTTCGACCTTCTCAAGACGATCGGTGAGCTCTTTAGGCTTCATCTCCTTCTCGCCCTCGGCCGCGAGCTTCTCATTGTCCTTCTCAAACTTCTTGGTGATCTTCTGGCGCATCTCATCGACTTCAGCATCCTGATGCTGCTTGACCCATTCGGCATCTAAGTCCTCGGGACGCTCGAAGTACTCAGCACCCTTCTTCTTCTTGATCTTGGGGTCGACATCGATCATCATCATCTTGGTCCTCCAAACTTGGTAACGAAGACCCTTAATCTACAATGCGTTAGATAAAATGGTAGTTGTACGGCGTTCAAGCACTCACCTTCTCGTTCATCTTGTCGATAGAAGCGCCGTGGGTTGCAGCGACTGTACGCTTATGGTTACACAGAATGGCGACCTCACGGTTGGCATCGTTATAAGCCTTGACCTTCTCCTGAATCGTACCGGTAGCCTTCAACGATTTGAGGAGTCTAGCCATAGTGTATGAGGCGTTGTAGGTACGGAAGACCTTGGCAGTAAGACCAGGCATGTAGCTCGTCAGATGCTTGTTCAAAGCAGAGGTCGTCAGACGATCGAATATGTCATCGCCGACCGTCTTGGGCTCCTTCTTGAAGATCTTGAGATTCTTGAAGACTTGGGCGTCGACCTTGACCTCATCATAGAAGCGAATACTGTCCTTACCGAGGAAGTCAAAGATGACCGTCTCCGGAGGCCTAAGGGTAATGTGCTGGAATTTTAGAGAACAGCAACCAACTGTGTCCGCCTCGTCCTCACCCTTCTCGTTACCCGCACGAAGTGCAAACTGATCAATGAGGTAGATGGCAGTGGCGCGCTGGCGATCGACCATCTTCTCAGATTTGAGTTCACGCCTGTAGTCCTGTCGGATGCGGTCAATGTGCTTCTTGAGCTCTCGCGCCTTCTCGAACTTCTTGAAGTCACTCTGGCCCTTGATGTCGGAGTTCGCAGCAAGCATGACATACTTGTAGGCGCCGTTGATGTTTTCCTGCCACATAGCCAGCCATGTGCCTTCGTGATCGTGCTTGACCTCTTTCCAGCGATGACCTGCAGGTGGCGGAGGTACCTTGGCGTTCTCACCGATGTTGATCGTGATCTGCTCCGGAGCGACGCGCTTCTTGATCCGTCCAGTCTTTGGGTGCTCACCACGTCCGCGGAAAAGGCCAGGAGGTTCGACTCGGAAGTTGCCAACCTTCTGTTTACGGCCATCCCACATGCAGAACATGTATTCAGCCTCAGCTGCGTCCTTCTCCGCCTTGAGCGCCTTCTTCTCAGCAGCTGGAAGTGCCTTCTTTGCGGCACGATCGGCCTCGAAATGCTCGAAAATGGGCTTGAAGTCGCATTTTTCGAACTTCTTAATTTTGACCGTCTTGCCGTCCTTGTCTTTGCCATGGCCGGTCTTGTCGAGGATCGCGGTGAAGTCCTCGAAAAAATTCTTGTTGAAGGTGGGGTTCTCGACGTTGTGGGTAGAGTTCAGCATGCTGCCGTAGAACGTTGCAGCTTCTTCGGCCTCTGGTTGCAGCGTGACAGGTATACCATCGTAGATCAACTTAACGTTCTTGGGTAGCGGAACGTACTCAGGCGGAAACACCACGCCGTTGTGCTCAAGAGTATCCCACTTCTTGCTTCCGTCACCTTTCGCCGTGTCTTCCCACCATCGGTACTCTTCCTCCTCATCTTCAGCTGCCTGATCTTGCTCTTTCTCCTCTTTTGTTTTGGGCCTTGCCCTTCTTTACGGGTGCCGCAACAGCCTTCGTCTTTTTCGCAGCAGGCTTCTTCGCAAGGGGCGCATCAGAGTCCGACTCCTCCTTCTTCAGCTTTTTGGCCGGAGCTTTTTTCGCAGGGGCCTTCTTCTTCGCAAGGGGAACGTCATCGTCGCTCTCACTCTCCTCCTTTGGCTTTCGCTTCGGAGCGGCCTTTTCCTTGGAGCGGATAGCCTTTGCTTCTTTTGCAGCAGCCTTCTCGATATCCTCCTTCTTCTTGACTAGTTTCGCATTCAAAGGAGTATCGGAGTCCGAGGACTGCCCAATTTGTTCTGCGCTGGCCTTGGGTAGGTTTCTGGCCTTCAATGGCACATCGCTGAGCTCAGAGTCGGACTCATCTTTGACAACCTTGGCTTGCTGAGATGTCCGCCGTCGCTTGCTCTAGGCCATGGTTAGCACAATATCCACGCAATATTTGAAGAGTGAACGCACAAGTGGCTTGTCATCCTCCTCAGAGCTGCTGGCGTCCTTGTATGTCTTTCCGTTGTTCAAGCTGCCGCGTGCCTTGCGCTTTCCGTTCGCGTTGCCGTTGGTCGCAGGCGCATCTACGTCCATAGCGTCGACTGGGCCCATGCGAATCGAAATACCCGGTTCGACATGGCCGTTTGAAGGCACCTGCTTGTCCATGGCCTGGTCCTCGGCCTTGGTGATGCGATCATTCGAGATGGCTGTGGAGGAAGAATGGTCAGCCATGATGACCAGAAGTCAAGGGGGAAGGAGATGGGGGTGGAGTCGGTGTTGGAGTTGGATGGTGAGATGGCGCCGAAGCTGAAAGAAAAGCTTCGGAGACCGGGCAGCCACTCGTCGCGTGAGAGAAGGCCACGACGCGCGTGAAACCACCGGGTCATTTTCCGCAGGTAATGGTCTAGACTCACCTTGACTTTTTGCCTTTACGAGCGGGACGTCATCGTCTGAGGAAGACATGCTGGGGGTGATGGGCGCGCGATGAAGTCGCGGGTAGTGAGAAAGCGAGCTGTATCTCACTATGTCCGGCCAAACCGCAGGGGACTTAGTGATGGCAGTCGAGGGAAGACAAAGTATGCGCTGAGGTGGTGCCGCTGCGCTTGCCCAGATCAGGCTACCGCACAGAGAAAAAGCCGTAGGGAGTCGGAGAATGGCGATGGACAGCGAGCAGGCGAATCCTGTGCAGTGAAGGAGGAATGCAGGTGCTGCGTTTCTGAGAGGGTGAACCGCGAAGTTCGAGGCCTGAGCGCTACCCTAGTAGCGACCTAGCGCTAAGGTGATTTTGGTAAAAATCGCTGCCTTCACCAAAACACAAAGGCGCGCGGGGAGAAGTTCGATTCCCGCATCCCTTTGTTCTTGCCAGCTGGCTGATGTGAGATTCATCGTATGATGTCTTTGAAACGAAAAGGTGGCATTTCAAGAGTCAGCCCGCAGCACCAAGAGGGCACTGAATGCGCATTCCACGTCGCTCTCTGATAGCATATGAATTTCAATCACCGAGTAGTTCGCATTTTTAGTTTGGACATGGTCGTTTGCAGCATCACTTGCCGTTTTGCATGGCGACGGATGACTGCTCACACGCAGGCACATGGCTCAAGGGAACACGATACTATCGAACGTTGGGCGTAGTAGCAAGCTGCATAGCAAACAGATAGATGTTTTTCCTACTTGGTACATCTGCTTGACTTGGTCGCATTGCATGCGCGGGTGTGTTTTTGGGCCTGCACGTGACATGGCCGTCCGTGCGCCGTCAAAGTTGCAGCCGATCCCGAGAAGCTCCTGCTCCAGCAAGACAGCAGTGCACCACCACCACCCGGCCGTCGCCATCTCCACTCATCTCAATCCACCGCCAAAATGCTGTCTCGAGCTGCGCGTCCGGCTCTGAGAGCTGGCCTGGCCGCCGCCGCACGGTACGCTCCCTCTCCCGCCCGCCGATGCAGCTTTTCTCGCGCCGCACCTCGCACCTGCCCGAGCCATTGCATCTCCAAACACATCAAAAACTGACTGAAATCTGCTGTACTAGGCCCGCCCCCCTCGTTGCCACCAATGCCGCCGGTTATGCCACCCTCCGTGAAATCGAGGGCCGCCTCAAGTCGATTCGCAACATCGAGAAGATCACCAAGACCATGAAGGTTGTCGCCTCCACCAAGCTCACCCGCGCCCAGAAGGCTATGTGGCAGTCCCGTACCTACGGTCAGACCTCCAACACTGTTTTCGACAGCGCCGAGACCAAGGCGATGGAGGGCGAGGGCAAGAAGACGTTGATCATCGTCTGCAGTTCCGACAAGGGTCTCTGCGGTGGTATCCACTCCGGAATGTCGAGGAAGGTCAGAGGCATGCTGAACCAGACCCCTGATGCGGACCTCGCAGTCATCGGAGAGAAGTGCAAAGCGCAATTGGGCCGTTCCAACCCCAAGAACATGGTTGTCAGCTTTGCCGGTGCCGGAAAGGATATCCCCACCTTCGCCGACTCCCTGTGCATTGCCGACCAGATCTCCATGCTTCCTTCCGAGTACATCTCCATCAAGATTGTCTACAACAAGTTCATCAACGCTGGTAGCTACGAGGCGACGGTCCAGGAGGCCTACTCCGAAGAGGCTATTGCCAACTCTCGTAAGTTGGCTTGTCATGAGGACCAAGTCAGAACACTAACACTTGCCAGCTCAATTCTCCGCTTTCGAGATCGAAGACGAGGTGCTCCCCAACCTCCGCGAGTACGCTCTTGCCAACTCGCTCTTCTGGGCGCTTGCTGAGGGTCACGCTTGTGAGCAGTCTGCTCGCCAGAACGCCATGGACGTGAGTAGCATCCTACCAAACACAACACAAACATTCGCTGACATAGCTTTCAGAACGCCTCCAAGAACGCCGGAGACATGATCAACAAGTTCCAGATCTTGTACAACCGTACTCGTCAAGCCGTCATTACCGGCGAACTTGTCGAGATTATTACTGGAGCGGCTGCTTCTGAGGGTTAAGCATTTGAGATAGATATCCCAAGATCTGGCCCATTGTCATTGGCATATGGCTGTGTAGAATACCACCATCTGTTCATAGCTCTTTTGTCATCGTGCTGTTTCTCGTACTGCCTATATCTCAAACATGCGTCGTTCTCACTTGGCTTCATTTCCATGTGCTGACTGTCCAGTTGCTGAGATCTGCGGTGGATCCTCCTCATGTTTCACGAGAGGCGCAGGTACTGTATGCGGAGCACCACCATGTCATGCCAATGATCAGCAACAACCAAGTAACGAGGCTCGAATCGGTGCTCCTGGAAGTCCACCCGGAGAGTGCTTGCGAAAGTACTTGTTAATATGCTCAACGAAATTGGCTTCCAGCATGGGCGATAAGACACTACCTACAAGCTTGGGTAGTCTCTCCCGAAACTAGAGAGCATCCTCACCGGGGTACCGCTTCACCTGCCGCTGGAGTAGTAGAAAGCCTGGCCGCTTTCCAAGTTTCCACGTGGTCAGCCACCCATGTAGGCGCATTGGGCTCGAACAACGCCTACGAGCGTACATACATGACCTAGGCCGCTCAGCTCCAACCTTATTCCCACCATTGCAGCCTCCCACGACTCGTCGCCAGCACGAAAACCAAGTCTGCGTGACATAGCTAAAAGCCCATCTGCACGCCCCGCTCCGCCGTCGGCTGGATAAGTTGGCCTCGACGACTCGCACGCACACTGCAAGGAGGAAAAGATCCGCCGTCCCGAGGCCGTCGCACGACAACCGTTGGGGGTTGCTTCGTGCTAGCCTGGGTTACGAGAGGAACAGGACTAGCGGCGTGCTGGGATGGGATAAGCGCGAACGTTCCTTGAAACGTGTATGCACGTCGTTGAAACAACGAGGATGTTAGCACACTTTGACAAGTGACATTTTGGCTTGCCTGCGGGCTACGAGATTGTGAGGGGTTGGTGTTGGTGTGGATTCATATAGCGTGGGTATGGCGCAATGCTTTTGTGCTCTCCTTATTTTTTGTGCGATACTTTTGCTTCCATCGCTTGAAGTGATTGATTCGGGTCGATACTACTTTCTCACATTATCATACCCTGGAGGTCTTACTGCCTTGCTATCTCTCCTCATCTGCCTAGCGCGCTTGCCCTTGCTGTTAACGGTCATCACCAGCCGCTTCAATAGTCCGCTTGCGGAAGCGAGTTACTCAACGAACGGTATTTGTTCTTCTTGGTCGCGGGTTTAAAAATCATCCTGGATTCTCTACTCAACAAGTCGACTTCGTCGTCGCGAGTTGATCTTCCGAATTGCAATTTTCTCAACTTCAATTTGGATCACTTCTTGACGAAGTCGGATACCAGACGCTTGCGCAATATGTTGATTCAGGCGAGATGGGACGAATTGAGGCAGAAGATGCAGGTCGTCAAGAATGCATATGTGAGCCGGCATTACTCGCAATGCGCGAAATATGGAGAGAGATTGCTGGCTGAAGTACAAGGCGAGGTGAGCACTATATCTATACCTGACTTTGACAAACCTCAGTGCTAATAGCCTATCAAGATCCACCCCATCCACCTCGCCTACCTAAACTTCTACACCGCGCTCTCCCATGACACCCTCGCACGCGAAGCCACCCTAAAAAACCGCTACAAAGAGCTCTCTCTCGCAGAAAAGCACTACGTCGCCGCCGTCGCCGCCCTCTCACCCCAAGAGTACACCTCCGACCGCGCCATGCAAGTGGCCTCGCCCACATCATCCACATCCTCGCACTCCCCCACCGAAGCAAACGTAATCTGGCGCTTCCGCCGCGCCGACTCGGTCAGTTCCACCGCCTCCTTCGCCTCCAGCGCAACCTCAATCTCGTCCTCCCGCTCAGATCTCGACTACACGCACCGCAGCATGGGCTCGTACTCCTTCCCCTCGCCCCCGCAGCACTTCCATGCACACGCACACACGCGCAAGCGCAGCATCATCATCCCGTCGCGCCCGCAGACGCCAGAGGAGTACCAGTTCGCCGCGGACACGGCGGCGTTTGTGCGCATGGTCCGCGGGCACTTGATGGATGTGCGCACGCTGAAGCAGGCGACTGATGCGCCGAGTGTGCGGTTCCGGTTCAGCTCCGACATGTCGAGTCCGGTGAAGTCGAGGGCAGGGAGTCGCGTGTTCGATGGCGAGATGGAGGAGGTGAAGAGGAGGGAGAGGAAGAATATGAGTTGGAGACCGCGATTTGATCCAAGCGAGACGCAGAGGCTTTGTGGCGAGGCGTTGGCGGAGTTGGGGGATTAGGTTGTCTGGAGCAATGATGTGGTTGCTGCTCGTTTTAGCGAGTTTTGATGATTATGATGGGATGGGACGGGGTGTGTTGGATATGTCTGGACGGCCTGTGTGTGGGAAAAAGGTTTCTTTGGCGTTTTGCTTGATACCATCTCCTGTTTGTACTTTTATGTTGTTTTCTGTTTTTGTTGAGCACTGTTGAGCAACAGCGCCTTCGATTCTTGGACCTGTATTAGTAGTATATTATAGGCGGAGAAGAGTTCGTGGGAGATGGGTGTCATGAAAGATGAATATATGATTGAGGACAAAGTCGATAGCCTCCGAATGCCGCCAAATGGTCTTACCTGGATATGCGCCTCTGAGAGATTGTGAACTTTTCGAAGTCTACGCCGTGAATGCCCTGAACGCCGTTGCAATGCACTTCTCTTGTAAACTCTTGCTTACTTAGTCAATTCGTCCAAGCCCCTCTTGATCCGTTGGCACTTGACCTTGAGTAGCTTCACACTTTCCAAGAACAGCTCATCACTCTCCCATTGCCCTGTGCTCTCCACTCTGAAGATAAAGTGATCTCGTATCCGACCGAGGTTGACTTTGTCCTTGAACTCGGGGTGTCGCAAGCACTCTCTGCTGACTGTGTCCTTCATTGGATCGTCGACTACGGCTTTGGATTCGCCCTCCTGGCCCGCCAGTTCGGTATTCTTCTCGACGTCCTCGGAAGTGACAGTTTCTAGCTTGATGACACCGCGCGGGAAGCATCGCGCAAACTTCTTCGCATCAGCGCCCACGATGGGCTTGAGGATGTCGATTGTCGGCATAAGGCGGTAACTAGCAGTTGCGACAGGCGAGAACTTGGCATGGTCCTGTCCAATACCCTTGATCGCGTGCATACTAAGCTGGATCTTCTGGCCCGGGCGCATCTTGACAATCAGAATATCCGGATTCGTGGCGCGGATTTCCTCGCCTGATGGGAATTCATCGAATTGCTTGCCCAGCGGTTCCCAGACCAAGTCTTTTGCGTATACGTTGTGCCCAATGTAGAGTTTGTCGGGATCCGTTTCGCCTTGCACTGCGCGCTGCAGTCCGCCTTCTTGCCAACTGCATTCCACGTCCAGCTTCATGATGACCGTGTTGTAGTCGCTAGGCGTGCCTGAGCCTTCATCGTCGTCGGTTTCCTTCTTGTACCATTTCAGCCAGCGGAGACCTTTGTGGGAGCCGCAGAGTGGGATTAGACCCAGGCGGTGGGCGAGCACTTCGTCCTGGATGATGGAGGTGTTTTGGTAGATGAAGACATCTTCAATGGCAAGGGTGGGAATTTCAGCGAGGAGGATTCGTCGGAAGGCGTTTGCGACTGAGGTGTCTATGCCGGTGAGGGAGAAGGAAGTGTCGTGCGGGGAGTGGGTGTGGAATTTGACTTTAAAGTTCTGAGATTGAAGTCAGTACGACATACAGGTATAGTTTTGGGTAGAGCAGCGCGCACATCCTTGAAGTAGTCCAGATCCCATTCGTGGTTCTCGCCTGGCCAATGTCCTGGAAGGTCGTTGGACGCTTGGTTGCTCACAATCTCGGGCCCAACTTGGAGCTTCTATAAGCATTGTTAGCGCGTGACTGAATACATGAATCGAGTCGCGTACATGCCTTCCTATGCGCCAGCTCCGTAGCACTTGGTGTAGGCATATTTGCGGTGTTGTGACTATTTCTCGGTGTTCTTGGTGGGTTGCAGCGTCCTCGAACTTTTTTGACGGAAGGCGCGCCAAGGCCGAGCCGCGCCCGGACCATCAGCCAGTGGGAAGAGGGCTAAACTGGTATCATCATCGATGTGTGGAAAGCTCCCCTCCAACGCCACGCCTTCACTCTCCACTCATTGAGGCCTCGCACGGGCAAGACGAGTGAAACACCAACACGATGCCTGCCCCATTTGCGCGTCTGGCCGGCCACACGGCGAAGCGGGTGTGCTTGAACGCCACCCGCCCACAGCTCCGAACAGCCCTCCCTTCACGACCCATTGCGCGATGCCTGTCGACCTCATTGCCTCGCCGATATGCACAAATCGAAGAAAACCAGCGGACACGCATGGTGCCGACGGACGAGAACTTTGGACGGCCCATCGACCCCCAGGACCCCGAGAATTTGAGCATGGCGCAGGACGAGTCGGACAGCGCGGAAAACAGGAAAATCAGGCATTATACCGTCAACTTCGGCCCCCAGCATCCCGCCGCCCACGGTGTGTTGCGATTGATTCTGGAACTCAACGGCGAGGAGATTGTGCGCGCTGATCCCCACGTGGGGTTGCTGCATCGAGGCACTGAGAAGCTCATTGAGTACCGAACATACCTCCAGGCCCTGCCATACTTCGACCGACTCGACTACGTCTCCATGATGACCAACGAGCAGTGCTTCTCGCTGGCCGTTGAGAAGCTGCTCAACATCGAGATCCCAGAGCGCGCCAAGTACATCAGGACCATGTTCGGCGAGATCACCAGAATTCTGAACCATCTCATGTCCGTCTTGTCTCACGCCATGGACGTCGGTGCTCTGACACCCTTCTTGTGGGGCTTTGAAGAGCGTGAGAAGCTGATGGTGGGTTTGAACAAGGAGCCTATGGAGATATAGGAGCTAATATTTATACAGGAATTCTACGAGCGTGTCTCCGGTGCCCGTCTCCACGCTGCCTACGTTCGCCCCGGTGGCGTGTCTCAGGATCTGCCCATTGGACTGCTCGACGACATCTACCAGTGGGCTACCCAGTTCGGCGACCGCATTGACGAGACCGAGGAGATGTTGACAGACAACCGTATCTGGATCGGCCGGACCAAGGGTGTTGGTGTCGTCTCTGCAGCCGATGCTATCAACTATTCCTTCTCCGGTGTCATGCTCCGAGGATCTGGTGTACCATGGGACGTGCGAAAGTCGCAGCCCTACGACGCATACGACAAGGTAGAGTTTGACGTCCCCGTCGGTGTCAATGGCGACTGTTACGACCGTTACCTCTGCCGTATGGAGGAGTTCCGCCAATCGCTCCGCATCATCCACCAGTGCTTGAACCAGATGCCAGCTGGTCCAGTCAAGGTTGAGGACTACAAGATTGCTCCTCCACCACGTGCCGCCATGAAGGAGAACATGGAGGCTCTTATCCACCACTTCTTGCTCTTCAGCAAGGGCTACACTGTCCCGCCCGGTGAGACCTACAGCGCCATCGAGGCGCCCAAGGGAGAGATGGGTGTCTTCGTTGTCTCAGACGGTAGCGAGAGGCCTTACAGGTGCAAGATTAGGGCTCCTGGATTCGCACACTTGGCCTGCATGGACCAGATCTCAAGAGGCCACTTGCTCGCTGATGCCGTCGCTATCATTGGTACAATGGATCTAGTGTTCGGTGAAGTTGACCGGTAAGCAAGAGGGAGCATCAATGGAGTCGCATTGCTTGAGGGTAAATCTGGGCGTCAACAGCCCAATGGCTGATTGTACATATTGTACCTTACCTTTTCTTTTTCAGTCAATCTACATCTATATGTTCATCACTAACAATCGTGCTTCGTCTATAATTGTCCAACAAATGTGTAACGTACCTCACGGGTTGGCGAGCCACTTTTGCCAAGCCCCCACCAAAACCACCCTATTCTGGCGCAAAATAGCCTACTTTAGCCCTATATAGTATAAAGCAAGATGTAATATTATTTAGAGTCTACTTCTACTACTTTCTTATACGTACGCGCATTATATCTAGTCTTATTATACTATCTATACTGCCTTTAAGAGAGCTTACTTACTTTAGCGTATACTTACTTCTTTGCTTTCTTTCTATTACTACGCGCACTAAACTCTTTTAGAGTTATCTATTAAAGACTATCTTTAACTATTAAGGTCTCTTCTTCCTATATATGCTTTCTTTTATATAATTTATATTGCGTAGTAGCTTTATTAGCTACTTAAAGCTTAGTAATCTTCTTTTGCGCTAATACTAGCTTATGCGCAATAATTGCTGCTCTCTTTAAGATCTTCTTAAAGGCCTCTACTATAGACGTTAGTAAGCTATCTATATATCTCTAAATCCTTGCCTTTATAAGCATTAATTATAATTCTAATTTAAGAGTATTACTTAGAGTTTATAACTACTAGAGATAGTCTTTAATAGTAAGTAATAGTAGAGTATAGATATAGATATTAAGAGCTAATATAACCTGCTCTAAGTTAAATAGGACTAATCTAGCGCCTTAAAACTCTTCTTAGATATTACTAGAAGTAATTACTGCATTAAAGGCGCGCTTAAAGTATAGTAGAAACTTAAGTTTTATAATATATATAATTTAGTTATATATAAGCTCTTTAGCTTAGCATCTATATACTTTCTTTAAAGAGGCAAAATAACCTATATTAAGAGGCTGTAAGAGGTGTAATAAGTAAGAAGATATATAGATAGTAATAATCTTATTATCCTTATAGTATTGCTAGAATTTAAGTAAGTTATAGCTCTTATAGCTATTAATAATAAGCAGCTAATAAGCGCCTATAACTTTTCTCTTTATATGCTTATTAAAGTGCTTTAACTACTACAGACTAAGCTTATTTATTATTTAGCTATTCTTAGAGACTATAATAACCTAATTATAAGATAGATTCTTCTTCTTATACTAAGCTAAAAGGTAATAGTAGCTCTTAAAGATAATAAAGAGTAAAATAGCTTACTCTATTGCGTTAACGCTCTAGATAACTATTATCTACTTTTAATTACTCTATTATACTATCTTTAGCTATTCTTATTGCTCTAAAGCTATAATAACTGCTCTAGTTAAGATCTAGCTTATTATAAAGCTAAACTTATTAAAGTTATATATATTATTATTAAGAATACTATGCTTTGCCTTTATATTCTCTATAAGCTAGAACTAGTCTTATATAATCTTAAGATCCTTGCAGAGAGCTCTCTTATAGTTATATTTGCAATTAAACTTTATTTAGAGCTTAGAGCAGCGTTTAATAAACGTACTAGGCTAGTTTAAGCTAACTTAGCCTAGACTGCGCTTAGCGCGCAGAGAATTAGCTATATTAGCTATAGCTGCAAGCCTAGAAAGAAATCTACGCATAACTAGCTTAAGTATATACTTAATAACTATGTCTTTCTTAGTTAGAGTTAGATTTATTAATTTAAGCTAGCAATCTGCCTAGAAAGGTTATCTAGCGCGTTAATAACCTAGAGTTACTTAAGATATATTATAGATAGCTGCAGCGCATTGCATAGAGAGTATTACATCTTATTTAAGAGCTTAGAGAGCAGTCTATATCTTACGTTTATTAGAAGCGTTTATCCGTAGTACTATTATTAAGGCATTACGTAGATAGAGTAGTTTTAGTAAGAGCTTAGCAAAAGTAGCTCGCTAACTCGTGTGGCTCGCTAACCTGTAAGGTACGTTAGTAGTCTTTTATTTTCGCCGTTACTAGGCAGCGGCAAAATTCGTGTCTGCTCTGCACATGCGCGGAGTAATCTAGTAGTCTTCAAAGACTTAATAAAAAGTTGATAAAAAAGCCTGAATATACTCAGTGCTGTAATATACCTTGTCTAGTATCAAAGAAGCTTTTGAACATATCCAGGCTACCTCTAAGGCGGACAAGAATTTCACCGGGACTGGTGCAGTTGATGTCTTTTATGGCTACCTAGATATAAGTATTCGGTGAAGTTAACTAGTAAGCAAGAGAGGGCATTAATAGAGTTGCATTGCTTAAGGGTAAATCTAGGCGTTAATATATTATATCTTACTTTTTCTTTTTTAGTTAATCTACATCTATATGGTCGTCACTAATAATTATGCTTCGTCTATAATCGTCCGGCAAATGTGTAGTACGTCACCAGTACAGATGCGTTCTCAAGGTATGTGTGTAGCAACATGGTCGTCCGAAGATCATACTAACCTGACTGCAACTTTACCGTCATTTCTCGGCTATAATCAGGACGCGGATCTTGTCGCACGTGTATTGCTTCGAAGACAACATCTCACAGAGAAGGCGCAATTGCGGCGTGCACTTTACTTCTTCCAACAAATACCCCGCTCGGTCAACCCGTGCGTAGACACGGCTTATCTATTCGCCAGGTCAAGTACCCCTCCATGTTCTAACCGTCCTGTCTCAAATCGGCCCTCCTAGCATCGTCATCTTCGGGCCAAACACCTCATCTTCTCGATTACAATGTCTCTCAAATCGATTGGCATTGGATGTACAGCCAATCTAGATTGCAGACACAATCGCGAGTTCTTCCTTAACCCGCTTTTTATCCAGTAGTCGGGTGGCAGTGCAACATTCGGCCAGACGCTATGGTGTTGAGCCATGCCGCTCTGCTCTCACGCCATCTCACATATGGCGACACCGAGAACTAGGCGCTCGCTTGCGCAGTAGCGCGTCATCATTCAGCTCGACAGGCACCGGCGCACCTGCATCAAGGTACAGGTACAGAAAGCTTGCTTTTGCTATGGTGCGGGGTGTCTTGATAACCGCATTGGGCGATGATAGAGAAGCGGGAGAACAGTATAAGAAGAGGTCATAGTCTGACTTACATGCGCCATCATCAACATATTTGCAATCATCTCACATCCTCTCATATTTTCTCGAACAGGATTCATCACAGCAATCATGTCTTACAACAACAACGACCGCGACGAGCAGAGCTCCTATGGCCGTGGGAACGACAACACGTCGGGCAGCTATGGCAACCAGTCGTCTAACGACGACTCCTACGGCTCCAAGAAGTCAAGCTACGGCTCCAATGACAACGAAAACTCTTATGGGTCTTCCAACAAAACCTCAGGCTACGGCAACAGCGACAGCAATGACACATACGGCTCGAAGAACACCTCCTCTGGCTATGGTTCATCGAACCGCGACAACGACCGCGACGAGCAGAGCTCCTTCGGCCGTGCTAACGACAATACGTCTGGTCGCACTGGCAACGATGACTCTTATGGGTCTTCGAATAAGACCTCCGGCTACGGAAACAGCGACAGCACTGACACATATGGCTCGAAGAACACTTCCTCGGGCTATGGTTCATCGAACCGCAACAACGATGATGATGATTCCTATGGATCAACTAAGAAGTCGAGCGGCTTCGGCAGCAATGATAACGAGGACTCTTCCTATGGTTCAGGCAACAAGCAGTCCTCCTACGGCTCCTCCAACAACGACAATGATTCTTATGGATCAACCAAGAAGTCGAGCGGTTTCGGGAGCAACGACAATGAGGACTCTTCGTACAGCTCGGGCAACAAGCAGTCGAACTTTGGTTCTTCCAATGACGACTCCTACGGCTCTGGCAATAAGTCGTCCAGCTACGGCAACACCGACAACGACACATACGGCTCAGGCAACAAGAAGTCCGGCTATGGAGATGATGACAACGACAGTGGCAAGCAGTCCATTGGCAGCAAGATCAAGGACAAGTTGCACTTGGGCAAGAGCGGCGGCGACAACGATGATTCGTACGACTCCAGCCGCCGCAACGACAACAACTACTAGTCTATTGTCGACATTCCGAGATATTTCAGAAGCTGCAGCTTTAGCTAGGTAGATAGATCCAGAGAACGAATCAGGTTCTAATTGGAGTTATTTCGGTCCAATATCTATGCTGTGGAGCTGTTGCATGCTATGCTATATTTACTGGCGCCCAGTTCCCACAAATCTTCCGCCTCGCATAAATCGCTGACCTTGATTATGGGAACTTGCAACTTGATGTCGCGTAGACTTGAGACCCACAGTGATGTGCGCCGGTGCATTGAGTTGACGCCAATCGTGGCACGATGATACGTCATCGATGAGGGGCAGTGGTCGAGGGGTAAACAAGGTACCATCGGGGTTCGTTTATTTATGATCTACGACTGGCATCTTGTGCAGTTTCAATTGAACATCATCCTGTAAAGTCAATTGTATCATTCTCTTCTCTTTTTACCGAGTCAATTGCATCTGGTAAGTTGATACGTGTTCACAATGGAATATCTGGCTTGTTCGGCTGCATCACAAGTGAAGCTTGCAAACAAGTCTTAAGCATTACTAACAGTACATTGTAGAACTACAAGCTTCACAATGTCATACAACGACGAGTCTAGCGGTCGCGGCGGAGGTGGCTACGGCAATGAGCGCCGTAATGAGGGCTATGGCGATGACCGTCGTCAGGAGGGAGGCTACGGCAACGAGCGCCGCAACGAGGGCTATGGAAATGACCGTCGCCAGGAGGGAGGTGGATATGGCGGAGGAGAGAGACGCGAAGAACATGGAGAGCGCCGTAATGAAGGCAGTGGTGGCTACGGTGGTGGCGAGCGACGTGAAGAGCAAGGCGAGCGTCGCCATGAGGGTGGAGGCTATGGCAACAACGACCGTCCCAGCGGCGGATACTCTGGTGGAGGCGGCCAGGGTGGATATGGAGGTGACGAGAGACGCCAGGAGTCCTCTGGGTACGGCAATCGACCCAGTGGTGGTTCAGGATATGGTGGCAGTGGCAACGAAGATCAGAGACGCGCACAGGAAGAGCGCTACGATAGCCGACCCAGCGGAGGCTCCAGCTCAGGCTACGGAGGTGATGAGCGCCGCCACGAGAGCAGTGGAGGATACAACGACCGTCCAAGCGGCGGACAAAGCTACGGTGGGAACGACTCCTCCAACGACCGTCCCTCCGGAGGTCAAGGTGGTAGCTACTCTGGCTATGGAGGCAACTCAGGCAATTCCGGCTCCCACGGCGGCCAGCAATCCTCCGGCACATCCTATGGCGGTGGCCACGGCGGCTCAGACGACTTCTCGGGCGCCGCTCAGCACGCCCAGTCCAGCGGCGGCAACTCCGGTGACTCCAACCTCTTCAGCATGGCTCTTGGCCTTCTGAACAAAGACAAGGCCAAGAATGAAGACCTCGACGAAGAAGACGCCATGAAGCAGCACCAGAATTTCTACGGCGGTGGCGGAGGCAACCATGAAGCCAGCTCGAACAACGTCGGTGCCGCTGCGGCTATGCAAGCAGCCAAGATGTTCAATTCCGGAAGCAATGAGCAGGCGTCTGGTGGGCAGAACAAGCTCATTGGAATGGCTATGGCCCAGGCGGCCCAGCTGTTCGATGAGCAGAGCTCGCAGGGCAAGACTAGCCCGGGAGCTACGAAGCAGGATGCCGTTGCGCAGGCGGCACAGATGGCGCTTAAGTTCTACATGAAGAGCGAGGCTGGTGGTGGTGGCAGTGGTGGAAGCTCGGGCGGTATTGGGGGATTGCTGAACATTGCGAGCAAGTTCATGAAGTAGAAGACTTGGGGTACTGATTATGCAACCTTCGGTACATGAGGATAAGCTTAGTAAACCCAGAAAAAGCATCCTATCTGTGTAAACTGCGAAACTTCCCAAATAGGCAATTTCTCTCCAGCCATCGATTGCGTTAGTCGGAGCATCGAATCGCGCGGAACGTACCAAAAGCTGGCCTGATGGCTACAGCAGTCTGCGACAAGCCGAGCGACGGCCCGAGAGCTACCCTAGCATTCATTATTTCACTGTGAGGCTTGACTCGAGCACAACTATTCACCCCAAGTGACTGAGCATAATACGCATGATGTTGTTTGGGCTCGCTTATCGTATTTCCTTATCGATGTTCTTGTCCACATTCCCAGAGCTTCGAGCATGCCAAACCCAACCGATTCCATGACGAACCGTAACCCACCTCAACTGGAGCTCCGTGTAGCGGAACTGCATATGCGATCGCAGCGTGAGCTGCATGTGGACTCCGAAGAAGCTGTCCAGCATGAACGACGTCGCGTTTCAAGGGAATTGGAGCCGATACATGCTCACGAATCTTCGCGACGAAGCTCTGAAGTACTACATCAAAGTCCGGACCATGCGAGCTTGAGGTCCCGCAACGCTTCTTCAAGAAACTCGACAGGTTCCCATAACTCCCCAAGACCCGGTGTTGGCAATGAGGGAACGGCTACAGACACGAGTCAAACCACTATCCAGAGCACAACACCATCATCACGCTGGTACACCCCCATAACATCCTTCTGGTCCACACATATCAGCCTCAAAATCGACTCAAACGCGCACCGCGACCACCTCGGCACGTTCCCTTCTCCCCCATCCCCAATGTCTCTAACCCAGCATTCCAGCCCTCGAACGCACTTTCCTAGGCTACCTGCGTACCTCCCTGATCCTCGTCGTCACAGGAGTCCTGACCGCCCAACTTTTCCGACTCCAGCACGCCGCCAATCCGAGTCAAGACCTGGGGTTCTACGTGATCGGCCGCCCGCTGAGTGTTTTGTTCATCGGTATGGGGTTGTTGGTGGTTGTAATTGGGGCGCTGAGGTTTTGGAGGTTGCAGAGGGGGTTGGTGAAGGGGATGGCGCTGGTGGGTGGGTGGGAGGTATTGGTGGTTATGGGGGGAAGTTTTTTGGTAAGTGGAAGTGGTGCATTGAGAATGGGTGGAAGTGAGGCTGATATATGGTGTGTAGCTGGTGGTAGTTACGTTTGCATTGGTGCTGGGAGTGAACATTGAGAAGGCTATGGAGGGGGATGGGTGAGATGGCAGCAATACAGGTGTGATTCTGGGAACGTTGCCGCTGTTGAAGTACAGAATACCAGTCTTACAGGTTGACAGTAGCTAGACCAGTACGACATCTAGTCTAACTTGCAACATAATTCCGTCTGACATGCAGTCAATGTCAGAATTGGACGTCAGAAGTCAGAATTAGGCTGCAGGATGGCACGCCTGATTGGCGCCAACGAACAACTTGCTTAGTACGCCCCACTTCCTCGTTATCAACAACTAACCATGTGGACTGCACCGCAAGCATACACCAAGCACGGGCGAACAGTATCTTCATTACGAAGCAAGAATTGCACATTTTGAAACTCCATATACCTACAAAAAACCTCTCCACAGTCCTAAGTCATCATCCCATCACCATATCTCTCCAACAGCCTCCAGTTCCATCACTACCCCATTTCAACTCATCACCATGACGAAGCCAGCCATCCTCATCGTCCCCGGCTCCTTTGCCCCTCCATCCATTTACAAAGACATCGTCGAGCACCTGCGCAAGGCGGGGTTTCAGGCTGTAGCGCTGCGCACACCGTCAACGTTGAAGCGCATGCCGCTCCCGCCGGCGACGATGAGCGACGATGCGAGTGCGATCAAGGGGGCGGTTGAGGCTGTTATCGCTCAGGGGAAGGAGGTTGTCGTAAGTAACATGTAATCATCTTTGAGGTCGGAATTCGGCTAATCTGAAGGATGACCAGGTTGTATGTCATTCTTATGGCGGAACACCGACGACGCAAGCTCTCGCAGGCTTGAAGGTCAAGAGGATAGTGTATCTGACGGCGATTGTGCCGAAGTTGGGGCAGAGTAATGTCGAGGCTATGGGTGGGGAGAAGGGGGTTTTGCCGATGGAAGCTACTGTAAGTGTCTTGTTATTTTCTTTTGATTCCATGGATCTATGCAGCTTGATTCGTATATGCATGATTCTGAGTGCTGGGACTAGGCTAACATATTGGACAGGAAGGATACCTCCATATCGATGCTACCATGATGGCCGCAGCGGTTTGCAACGACCTCTCATGGGACGTGGGGTACGAGCATTGTCTAAACCTCGCCCATCATTCCGCAGCGGCCTTTTTGGAAGAGGTCACACAGGTTGCGTACAAAGACATCCCAGTATCATACATCTTTTGTGAGAATGACTTGGTCGTCACGCCAAAGCAGCAGGAAGGTTTCATTAATGTGATCGCGGAAGCGACTGGTAAGGGTGTTGATGTGGTCAACCTGCCATATGGACATTGCCCAAATTGGTCTGCTCCAGAGAAGGTGGCGGAGATAGTTGAGCAATTGGCGATGAAATAGGGTTGAGATGTTGTTATGGGGGGAAACGGCTAAGGGACCATTCCGAGTACCGGATGCAATGACTAAATGTTCCGCTCTTTCCTCAATCACGCCCCTTCTCTCGCCACTCAATGCACGTAACACATCGGTTTAAGCACTTAGATACGTATACGTCATGCTGACCCTCCCTTGGGTATATCTTGATCGCTGGGTAGCCATAATTCTCCGATTCAAAGCCCTCGACTTGTCAAAGCCCTCAACCGAGTCCAGCCCTTAGCTTCTAGTAATAGTCCAGCTCTTTGTAGACTCGAGCCCTTTGTTAACACTCGAGTAGCACTGCCCAAAAAACTCCTTCTAGGAAAGACACGACTGCCTAAAGCTTGATATGGCCGCTACTGTGAACCCAGCCGCCTCCTCGACCATAGCGCCTGCGCAGCTACAGATGTACGTTTGCAATACACTATCTTCAAGCCTATTAGCTAAATGATTGTAGCTTCGACCGTAAGCAAGAGGAATCGCCACTGCTTCGACTGCCCGCAGAGCTGCGCAATCAGATCTGGGAATATGTGTTCACTGGGTCCGAATTTTGGGTGAAACGCTTTCGCAGTTTCTTCGAAAGTCATATGTGCTGCCCTCCCCATCCGACAATGGGAGTTCTATACACCTGCCGATAGATGTATCAAGAAACAGCTCTGCTCCCCCTGCTCAATTAAGCGTCTTTGCCATAGGGCTCCCCGGAAGGAGCATCGAGGAACTTAACGACCTGTCCTACAAGGTTCCACATCCATTCCAGATGGTCACAGATCGTACGACAGAGCAGCAGGTTGGTGCCGTCAGGGTTGTCCATATCAACTTGCACAATCATCTCGACGAATTTTTTGTCTGCGAGATCGAGCTACTGAAAGAACAATCAAAAGGATCAAGCAATCGATTTGATGTCTTTCCATTGGCGCGGCTTACTGGACTAAAACACGTGGGAGTACGGTTGGTTGATCCCTACTTTTCTCCATGGGATCCGATGTGTCTTCAAAAGGAACCTATGAAAGCATCAGTCAAGCGCACGGTCAAGAACATGGGTGTCCATAAAGATGTGCAGATTTCGGTCGACCTTGGTCGACAATATACACCACATGAACGCCTTCCCTCATGAAGCTAAGATGTGAATTGGAGTTAAGTCAAAGGAAAGTGTTCGATGCTTCCTGCGAGCTGGATGCGGTGGAGTCTGGAGACAATCTAGACATCTTGAGATTGCAGAAGTATAGCTGAATGTTATGCGAGCTAGATTGTGGTTTTAGTGTAAATGTACCTCGTGTAAACTTTGTAATGCATGAGATTTCTTAAAAACGGGGTTTGCAAATGCATAGTCAAGACGTGGGTTAAATCCTCCAGAGAACTCCCAGTAATTTCAAATGTTATTTGAGTACAACAGCTCATTTTGCCAGCACGAACCAATCATAGTTTAGTGTGTTTCAACTAGCATGTCCAGTATATCAATTGTTTAATGAGATGTGTTAGGCAAAAGTTCATGCTCGGTCTGGGAAAAACTCAATTCATCCAGATCGAGTGAAACATCTTGAGTCGTCTTTCAAGTGTCTCGTTTCCTTCCAAGGTTCACAATTCCAATCCTTCCTTTCACAAAGCCCATTGGAAGCGCCGAATGCACGTATCATGTCGGTCCGAGCGTTTTATAATATCTACGTTACGCTGACCAGCTCTTCGATACCCAACTCTACTGCTGATATCGCCCAACTTTCCTATACCTCGACCCCTTACAGTCCCTCGGCTTATCAGTACCCTTCGACCCATCAACCTGCCCAACTCACCAATTGTCTCGAATCATCAAAACCCTCAACTGATCAATTATCTCGATCCATACCGGATACTCCAGATCTTGCTCAACCCTCAAACTCTTACTGACACTTGACTGATATCTTTCGAAATATCTATCATATCTACACCACTGTCTTAAACTCAACAATGGCCCACCAATCATTCAGATGCTCAGCTACAGATGTACGTCAATAGTCGCTCACCCGCAAACTTCATACGTATGGTAGCTAATGAGTTCTAGTTCTCTTCGCAACCAGCAACAGTCGCCACTGCTTCGATTGCCCGCAGAGCTGCGCAATCAGATCTATGAACACGTCTGTCGCGGTGTTCGGCTTCGCCCGGGATCTGGCAACGTCCATTACCGAAACATATTAGACCCGGATGCTGTGATCATTCCAGTCACGCATATGCTGCTCGTCTGTCGTCAAATACATAACGAAGCTGCACTATACCCTCTCAGCTTTGCCGAAATACAACTGTGGAAGCGTGAAGGGTTTCAGCAATTTCTCAATACCTTGTCAGAGCGACAGAGGAACGCTATTCATACAGTCCATACAGGGACGCTGACTTTTATCGACTCAGCGGATGATATGAAACTGTTTTGGTTGCTGCTACCGACGAGTCAGTATGTTTCTCTCGAGGACTATATGCCATTGACACGGCTGGCTGGACTTCAGCGCGTCGAGGTCACGGTGAACCATATGGCAATTTACTGGAGTGGAACTTTGGCTAGCACAGATGCACAGATGCTCACATCAATCAAGCTGGCGGTAAAACATTTAGGCGCACGTCCAGGTGTGAAGGTCTCCTTCAAGTTCAAAACTCCAGACGACAAGGTAGTGGTGCTGTCAGGAGTGTTGGATTGAGGTATACTATGGTACAATCAGGACGAGATATCTGATAAACGTTGTGGAGAATGGACTAGCAAGGTCAATATTCGAGCTATTTCGTGTGCTCAAAAGTCTTGAGAATCATTGCAAGTAGGCGAGCTTTTAATACTACAGTACAAACATATGAATAAGCGAACAAACAAACAAAAGGTTAATACAGCCGACCAAAAAATAGTGCAATTATAACGTGTATAAATTGTATCAGAAGTGATGCGTAACGTTAAAATGAGACAACCTTTTACGCTTGCGCGCACGTGTATCCCAATGTCTCACAAACAGATCTCCTACTCATATTAACTTTGACTCCCACAAAACAAAGAACTATATTATTGAAAAAATTCAAAAATATCCCATAGAAAAAGAACGGTGCTTAGTAGGTAGTGCCTGTGGTTCCTTGTGCCCCAGCTATCGTGTAGTCACGGGTTAGGACGTGCAGGTTACAGAACTCGCCTAGTAATTTCTATTTTTGCTAATGTCGTCTGCTGTGCTTTAAGGTTCGAGAGTTCGAATCGGCGTTAGGGCAGATTGATATTGTTTTTGGAGATGTGCATGATCGACGCTTCTCTTTCACCTTCCAAGGATTTCTAGCCCAGTGTTCCAAAGCACTGACCACATAGCGCATGATGCTCCCGCCTTTGCACGCTAGCTTTTATTGCCCTCACCACTTACTCCACACCACTCCTACAAAGAAAAGGTAGACACTGTGCGGTGTGGGTAGCAAGAGACACCTATTGCGCAACAAGATCTCATCTTTATGAACCAGAATGAATAAGCTCATCAAGGACAAGGACGACATGTAATGTACCTCAAACTCCCACACTACGTACTCTAAAGTGACATCTTATTCCACAGCACTCCCCGCAACGCTCAACAGTCACCGCTCATGCTTCTCCCTCCTGAGCTCAGAAATAGGATATATGATCATGTCCTCGGAGGCCTGCAGTTCAAGTCGATGTTACGAGGCGAGTATGACGTTATTAAGAATCTACTACAGCGCCAGAACTGGTGACCTACCCTACAAACCGTTACTCGTATGTCGACAAATCAACACAGAAGCCGCCCTGATACCATTCCAAGTCAATGAGTTCATCTATAACAGACCAGATATTCTCCATGGGTTCCTCAACAATTTGAGCGCAAATCAGCGGGGTTTGATCAAGATATTACGTATGGAAGAAGAGTACTGCATCAAAGTTGCCTTTGAGGCACTTTCTGAACACTGGGAGAGATACGACAGCTTAGTGTATGACGTATACAATCCGCTTGCTGGTCTAGGAATTTGACAAGTCTCTAAATAGCTGGAGATATGGGGATACGGTGGATCAACCACTCACCTGAGTCTGTATGTAGTTCTTCATTGACTACAAGTGATTGTCGCACTTGCACATGGAGAGCAGATTAGGACGACGGGGTCTGTTACAGAAATCTACTTGACACGTATATATAGCAATGCAACCAAAGTCTGAAATTGAACTACTCCTTGTTTACCTATGATGTTTGTACATGTGCATGGATCCCAGCCGACCATTTCGACTACCTGAATAGCCATCGTTGTCTAGGGCGCTCCGTCGTAACACAACGGTCCGTTAACTCGTGTGTTCTATCAAAACCGATACTACAATATAAAGCATTACTCGAATTGCCATCGAGTAGTCTTCACTTTCACCTTCACCAAGACTCATCGCACGGTTCCCACGCTAGTCTGATTGCGGATAAGAACGCGCGCTTGTGCCTATATGTTGCGCAACACGTCAACGCACCTCGATACTTACAATCAACACCACCATGACTGAAGCATCACTCGACTCCCAAATGCTCGAGTCCAGTGCCGCCATGTCTAAGGAACTGGTTACTCAGCAGAACGTCTTAAGCAATATCGAAGCGACTGAGGCACGAGAAGCGCTGTAAGTGTAATCGTGTCGGCCGTTTGGGAAAGTGTACTAATCATCGCAGATACCTCAAGAATCAGCGCGACTCGCCCTTCTTACGCCTGCCCGCAAAACTTCGCAACACCATCTACAACTACGTGCTTGGCGGACTCGCTATCATGGCCCCGCACTCATCTTCATGGTGCCGGATACAAGTTCTGTCGATAAGGCCTGCGCCGGAGGAACTTTGGCAGTTTCCGCGGCACTTCCTCTCGATCGTACAGTCCTGTCGACAAGCTTACAGCGAATCGGCGCGTCTGCCCTTCGTTCTCAACACATTTGATGCGTACCCGAGTTATTCATTCCTTCAATTCGTCGAAAATCTGCCTGAATGGCAACGTAACGAGATCAGCATGATCAGAATCTCCTGCAACGAGGCTTACGACTGGAGTGTGGCCGAGCAGTATGAGATTGTTATGGGAGACGATTTCATTAGACACATGCGTTACCATGCAGCACACGTCGTGGATCGCTCAACCCACCGATTACTGCTTATCCTGAAAGGCCTTAAACTTCTCACGGTCGACTCGTACATAGATCTCGATTGGCCAGAAGATCAGAAAAATCAAGAATTACTGTCAAAGGCGAAATCCAACTACAGGAGAATGATGGAAGCAATGGCTTGGATGAAGATGGAATTGGGTCGAGATTCGGTGAGCGTCACGTTCGAACCGTACGTCAAGCATCCGTCTCATTGACACGGCGGGCAAGGGCAAAGGTCAATACAGTGTACACATTTGACTTACACGGAGCAAATATAAGCTTCACCAGGCGCAATGATGTAGCCTTTCTCGGAGAATAATCAATAATGGCTCTTTGACAAATATCTCCTGTTCGCCAATACACATCAACGTTTGAAATGATCAATATTACTCTCTGAGCAGGGAGACGCTCTTTCCTTGATAGCTCCTTGTCTAAAATGTTACCGCCAACCATCAGTCTGCTTTCGCTAAGTCTCCATGCTGCTGCCTTGAGCTAGACTATAACTACCACCAACCCTGTGAATACGACCGCGCTACATCAGAAAGCCCCAATTCGTAGCAATTATGAGCAGCGCCTACTCTGTGGGTGATAGGCCGATGCAGCGTTTACCAACAACGTAGGTCCAAATAAAGAAACATCATTTCAGCACATTCTACTCGGCTAACCTCTGGCAGTGCACAGCCCGCCTCCCCTCTTCTACGTCTTCCAGCCGAGCTGCGCAACAACATCTACCACTACATGCTCGGCGGTCTCTCGAGACGCGCCCAAGCAAATCCCGGAACACAATTCGGCTTTGCCGTTGAGGTGCGAGACATCGACGTCCAAAGTGCAACGTGGGAACCCCATCCTTTCCTCTTCGCCACCCTAAAAACATGTCGACAGGCCTCTCTCCTACCATACACGCTCAACGTCTTTGAGTATCCGCAAGCCCGGAATTGCCGCACCTGGATCGACGTATTGACTGCTCAACAGAGGGATGCGGTTGCTTAATTGCGGGTTTCAGCTTATTACGTGTGTCGGCCGAGTTATATCCAAAAGTATAGAAATTGGTTCCGTGGGGTTCAGCGGAGGAGCATTTGGAAAATGTGCTTGATGCCGATTTCGCAATTGACCTACAGGAGCTTACGGGGCTGAGACGTGTGGTCATTGTTGCGTACGAATACGGGCAAGGCGACAAGTCGATCCGCAAGGGAGGCGTGAAAAAACCTGAAGTTCCCAAAGAAGCTTTTGAGAGGCTCAAGATGGAGATGGGCAGAATTGAGGTAGGCATAACGGCTGAAGGCGATGTGTCGTTACGAGACATGAACGCGTAAGGATGCGGGCGAGACGTATGGTAGAGAAGAAGTTAACGTAAAGAAGTTGGGGAGCTGTTTGAGGGTGAGTGATTCGCGGTTCTGAGTAGTGCAATTTGCTGTCTTTGAAAATCTTGCGGGATATTAATGTCATCGCGAGGCACCGCTCCCGCAAAGCTCCCATTCACTCAGTCCTTGCGGTGAGACAACCAAGCACCTACTTGAGCCCCAACATATCCATTCCAAACGCTCCAAATCCCCTATCTGCAGACGCCTGCTGATTATACCACTTCGCAGCCATTTGTGCCTCCCTCGGCGTCCGCGTGCACTGTGGCTCCTTCTATGAAGCTCCAGCCGCCGCCTTCCTTTGATCTTCCTCTTTGCGCATATCTTCGAGAAACTTTTCCCACGTTTCGATGGTGCCTTGGAAGAAATCCACGTGTGCGTCTGCAAAATCACCCAGGGTGTCTTTGAACTCGACAGCTTTGATGCGTTCAAAGTCCGATACCTCCTTGACGGTGTGCTCGTCAAAGGCTTCGGTTGCTTTCTTCGCGTTCTCCACTTCACTGGTAAGGCGTTCAATTTCGACTTCGAGTTTACGGACACGTTGGCGCCGAGCTTGCTCGTGGTCGATGCCGCGGAAGTCTTCGACCTTGGACCGCAGGAAGCCTGATGCACCCAGGCCTGCGCCGTGCTGGCTGGCCATTTGGTCGCGTTCGGCAGCTGACTTGGCAAGATATTCGCTGAGGCTCTCAAAATCGAGCTGTTTCGCTTCACGCGTGCGGAGCAGGGTCTTGACTGCCTGGATGTACGCGTCCATGTCTCGTAAACTGGTGAGGTAGTTTTGATCTGTGTGGTCTCGCAGTACCTTGAAGCCTTGTGATGTAGTGGTTACTGATGCAGCGAACGACGTCAGTGTACCCTCGACGGCAGGCTCCAGAGAGGTCAGCTTCTGGCACTGTGTCGCTAGGTCGGCATAATCTGTCCCCAAGTCACCCTGCCGCCTAGCGACTTTGACCGTGCCCTTCTCAATGTTGTTCAAATCCTCGACCAGCTTGTTCGCCCGATCACTGACTTCTGTAAATCGCTTGTCGGGCTTGTGCACCTTGGTGAATGTGTTGACAAAAGTGTCTGCTACCGAGTCCATTATGCCTCCACCGGTATCGGACCCGCTTGCAGCTCTTGACGTCCTGCCCCTCATATGCTGATTCCAGTCGGGCGTCTCGAGGAATGTGATGAAGAGCATTGCCCTTCGTAGCACAGGATGCAATGCCATGCGCTTTAGGAAGCGGTGCAGTGAATGCGCCCGCCGTTGTGTGAAGTCCGGGCCGAACCGGTCTCCTCGCACATACTCCATCTTGTGCTTGTCTGGGAGCGGCGGTACAGCACATTGCGGATATTCTTTTGACAGCTGTTTCCATAGGAAAACAAAGTCTGTGAAGCGGCGGCGGACGGAGAACTCGGACTTCTGGAAGGACTGGAAGTCGGACTAGGCAGAACACGTGTGAGCTTTTCTGGCAGCAAAGAGCTTCAGGTCATTTACCAACCTTGGTAGTGATTTGGTACGAGACATATTGCGTCTGTGTGCCAGCATTCTCCTTCTGGGGGCTGTCGACGATGGTCTCAAGCTTCCCCTCGCTGAAGTCTTCGGCCATTGCGCGTCTGCGGACCGCTGTAGGCTCTCTTCGAAAGCAGGCTTCGTCTTCAGCAATGTCGTCGCGATCGCTAATCTTATCGTATTCGGGGTCGTCAAGCACGTCTTCAAGGTCAGGCTCGGATGTGGTTGGCGTACATGTTGGTGAGACGTGGGTCGAGCTTGTGACGTCGCTGGGGTCTGACGCCCACGCTAACGTCGATTCCGCCTCGCGCGCAGGTGCTAGGACGCGAATGCGATCGTACATGGCGCCGAAGTCGTCAGCGCTGCGTTCAACATCATCGAACGACGACAGGTGCATGTTTGGCGCAAAGTGCATAGCGAGTGAGCCAATTAGTAATGTCTACAGAAATGCGGACCTGGCCGCTATAGTACAAGACGCAGTCCACCTAATATTTACTGGTGAATGGTGAATAGTGAATGGGAAGCCGCGTGCTGGCAGTTGCCACATTGAACACGACACCGCTTGCTGTAAGAAAACCCAGATGCCCTACACGCATCGCTGTGGAGTGGTCCAGCAAGTTTTACTGCAACGAACGGGCTTGAAGCCATACAAGGCCGTGCTTCTCAGCTCTCGGCGCCAAATCGCCTGCTGAATTCCTCAAACAATTTCGGCGTGATCTCGTCGCTACTGTTCCCCTTCACCTCCCACAGAACGCCGAGCTTGTCATAGTGTTCGAGCAGCGGCTCGTTGTTCTCCTTGAAGCGCTTCAGCCGTGCCTTCCACACCTCCGGGTCATCATCCGCGCGTCGAGTGAGAGGCTCGCCTGTGACATCGTCCTTGCCCTCAACTTTGGGCGCGTTGAATGTCGTGTTGTAAACTCGCCCTGAAGGTTCGTGTACCCAGCGATTGCAGATGCGATCGATGATGATGTCGGTGGGCGTGTTCAGATTCACGACCAAATTAATGGGCACGATCGCATCCAGTTGGATTGCCTGACCCGCGGTCCTGGGGAAGCCGTCCAGTATGAAAGAGGTCGATGGCCGATCTGAGAAGGTGTATCGTGACGTTCGTATTTCTGACGGAATGTGCACAGAGTCCACTGTTGTGTCTTCCATCTCGACCGAGCTAGAATATACAGCATACGGCCGAATGGTGCTGTCTCGTATCCATCCGCGTGTCGTGAGCTCGTTGACAATCAGTCGCAAAATCATAGCATCCGGAACCAGTGCGCCGGTTTTCATCAAGTGCTCGGCTTTGATGCCTGCATCGCATTAGACATGTCACTTCAACATAGGTGGCTGCAACTACCGAGAGGTGTCCGCTCCCTCACGTTCTTCCTCAGCAAGTCGCCAGAGCTTATGGAAGAGAGATCCGTGAACTTCTTCATCAAGCGCTCGGTCTGTGTGCCCTTGCCAACGCCCGGCGCGCCAACCAGGATCAGGCGCGCCGCTTTTGACAGTTGTGGGAAAGCCATGTTAGGCAAATGGCAGGAGGTAAACTATGAGTGTGGGAGGTTGTCGCTGGATATGAATGCGCAAAATACGGTGGAATGGAAGGCCACAAGCTCCGTTGGGAGGGTGCTGTCACCAATCCATTGCGGTTGCGATGATGTGATGAGGACAATAGACGATGTAGGATCACTGCACCTAGATGCAGAGAGGAAGAATAAGGACCGAGCAAGTAGCCAGATCTTGCGGAAGTCAAGAACGAGGGCTTGAGTGCGGATCAGTGAGGGGCCAGCGACTTTCTCCAACCCGCGCGCCGCGACTCGGAGATCTCCAACCGTGCTCGGGGCGTTCGACCGGTACCGAGCAGCCCTCAGCATGGGATGACAGCTGTTCGACAGCCATAGCGCAGACGCGCCTAGGCCTCGGTTCATTCGCTGTGCAGTGTCGCCTTGTCGCCCCAAACACCCATCGTCGTCATGTCACGAGTTTCAGGGCGCAGTCGGGTTGACATTTCGCCGCCCCGAGGCCAAGCTTTGGATCGACGGTCTTCTAGAAAGCTAAACTCCGTGAACGGCTCTTTTTGCGTCAGCGGCCATCATTCTCGTTCCTTGCATATCCACCATTTTCTACTTTCCATCCCACTATTGTACATTACCAACAACCCTTTTACCATCCGCACTTTAATTGCCAAATTCAACTGCTTGTCGCTCCCTACTTTTTCGTCATCGCATCCCGGCGCAATGTATGCCACAAGAGCTGCCTCCCGGGCAGCGCCCGCAGTTTTCCGAGCTGGCATCCGAACGTCTATTCGTCCTCATCGGCCCTTGAACAGAAGCTCTCCAGCAGTTTCAATACTTATTCCTCTTCGGTTCTTGCAGACCGAATCGACGTCGTCATCCTCCCAAAACTACCCGCCTCCTGGCTTCGATGCCAAGCAAGCAAGCAAACCGCTCTCTAAGCAGGACCAGCAGCAACAGATATCCAAGAAAGAAGCTCTACCGCTTGAGAAGGACACCATAATCCCCAAGTCGGGTCCAACTGCGCATCCGAAGACGGTGGCGCAGGATGCCAGGACATTAAAGGAGCTGGCAAAAGAGAAGGCGGACGTGGATACTACAGCCGAGAAGAAGGCACTCTCAAAGAAGGAGGAAGAGAAGAAGAAGTTGACCCTCGGACAGAAGATCAAGAAGGAGCTGCTGCATTACTGGGACGGCACGAAGCTGCTGGTGGCTGAAGTCAGGATCAGTTCCAAGTTGGCGTTGAAGATGGCTGCTGGATACGAACTTACTCGACGAGAGCGTCGACAGGTGCGTCACGTCTCCATCTACCAGGCGACGAATGCTAATTCAGACGATAGTTGCAACGCACAGTTCAAGATCTTGCTCGTCTGGTCCCGTTCTTGCCCTTTGTCATCGTTCCATTTGCCGAATTGCTGCTCCCAGTCGCGCTCAAGCTGTTCCCCAATATGCTTCCAAGCACATTCGAGGGTCAGTCGTCCAAGGACAAGAAGGCCACAACACTCCGGGCCACCCGAAAAGATGTCAGCGACTTCCTCCGCCAGACTTTAAAGGAGACTGGCCTGCCCATCTCTGCAGAAAACGCAAAGAAGGAGGAGTTCTCAGAGTTTTTCCGCAAGGTTGGTCATTCATCTATCTACAATCTAGTACCTGTACTAACGAGAAAAGGTCCGAATGACCGGCGAGAAGCCGTCTGCAGAGGACATCATCAAAGTGTGCAAGATTTTCAAGGATGACTTGACGCTCGACAATCTGTCCAGGCCACAGCTTGTCTCCATTTGCCGCTACATGAACATTCCATCGTTCGGCACAGACAACATCCTGCGTTACCAAGTCCGTGTTCGCATGCGCCAGATCAAGCGTGACGACCGATCCATTGCATACGAAGGTGTCGAGTCCCTCTCCGTTCCAGAGCTGCAGACTGCTTGCGCAAGCCGTGGTCTGCGTACCTACGGTGTGTCACCCGGCCGTCTTCGGGACGACCTAGGTTCTTGGCTCGATCTCCGTCTTCAGCACGGCGTTCCTTCCACTCTCCTGGTTCTTGCCAATGCGTTTGTGTACGCACAGGGCAAAGAGGCGGAGATGACGTCCCAAATTGATGCTCTTGAGGCCGTACTGTCCAGTATTCCTGAAGAGCTCTACCACGAGATCGAACTCGAGGTCCATACTGCCGAGGGTGCCGCTACCAACAAGCAGCGTCTTGAAGTCCTCAAGGAGCAGCAAGAGCTCATCGAAGAGGAGAACGAGCAATCCAAGGGCTCCCAAGACAAGGCCGCCTCTGCACCCAAGGACCACGAGAACATCGACGAAGATGACAAGCCCAAGTCCAACGAGGAGACCGAAGTGTCGAAAGAAGCCAAAGAAGCCGAAAGCAAAGAAGCAGAGGCCAGCACTGGCGACTTACTCGGCGGAAGCGCAGAGCGCACCGAGCAAGATGACCGCGCATCCAAGGGCGAAGACTCCAGCGCCAAGGAGAAGCCCGCGAAGAAGGAATAATGCTACAGCACTCCGCTACCCAATCTTTTCCTTTCACACTCTATGTACATAAGACACGAACTCCATTCCTGTATGGACATGTATAGAAAATACCCATGCCTCGTCAGCAGACGAGATGATGTAGGACTGTAACAACAAACACAATTCAAAGAATCATTCAAAATTGATTACCTGCTTTCGTTCTAAAGTAATGCATACGCATGGTCGGGTATCATAAATAAAAGCACTGAATATGACTCCCCTTGTAGTCTCTATCTCATACTTCGCAGTCTCTCAAACAGCGCCAGAGCATCTGCTGGTTCCCTCTCGGCCGTCCCTTCCGAAACGAAATCGTGGTCCTCTAGAGCTCCAATCTCCCCTCCCTCCTCCCCAGCATCACGCATGAACAGATCTTCCTCGCCCACCGGCCGATCCACATCACCATCATGAATAACCACCGCCTCGCGCCGGCGCCGCCTCAAATCCTGTACATCGAGCTCCAGCGTTGCGAGCGACGGCTGATGCACGCGCCACCGCTCGCGCGGCATCGCAAGCCCGACATCGTGCTCGCTGAGTAGATTATATACGAGTTGCGCGCGATGCTTGATTTCCGGATCGTTACTCTGCAAATCCTTCTGCCAGAGTTTCTTGGCGCTAGGAGAGGCGAAGAAGCGCTGGCATAGGATCTTGGTGGCGGAGGTGCGGATGTCGAGGTTTGGGGATGTTGCGAGCGTGAGGAGGGAGGAGGTTTTTATGGTGTCTTCTTGGTGGGTGGGGGATGGGGGGTGGGATGGCCGCGGGTGTGGAAGGCGGTGTATTTCGGTGAGGGTGCGGATGTGGAGGAGCCCGTGGGAGACTTGTTGGATGGCGATGAAGGTGAAGACGCCTGGGTGGGGTGTTAGTGGTGTAGATGGTTGGGTCTAATAGAGGGATGGTTACCGAGACCGAGCCACAGGTAGTGGTCGGGTATGTTGGCTATACTGGGAGCCATGGTAGCGAGTAAGTGGTCATCGCGCAAGACATACACGACAGTTTGGATACATGAAATGGTGAATGTCCACAAGGCTGTCGCGTGGAAGCGATGATGTCGGCACTTGCAGGGGTCCCATGTCCTGACCTAAGTGGACCCCGAAATCTTGGCCGAAATTTTGGACGGAAGGCGCATCTCGCGTTGGCCGACGAGCATTTCTCCACGCCTTCCAAGCTCCACGGCTTCACGCTTCTGATCGAGATGCCGCCTTCACAGCTCAAGCGGCTCAAAGCCTCGCTCCGCGAGCAAGGCATCACGGGACCCCAGAAATCGAAGAAGCAGAAGAAATCGCAGAACAAGAACGCCGACGCCCGCGCGCAGAGACATTCGGCCCTCGCCTCGATTCGCGAATCGTTTAATCCTTTCGAGTTCAAACACCTCGCGCGACCCAAAAAGTTCGAGTATGTCAGCCAGAATGCGGATAATAGCAAGAGAGTGCTTGGCCGACCGGGCGTCACGAAGAGCCAGGGCGAAGAGGCGCGCAAGAAGTCTCTGCTGCCGGAGATGAACCGCAGGAACAAGGTTGGAGGGATTCTTGATCGCCGAATCGGTGAGGATGATCCAACTATGAGCTTGGAAGACAAGATGATGGCGAGATTCGAGAGGGAGCAGCAGAAAAAGAGAGGTGGGAATGTGTTTGATCTCGAGGATGGAGATGATGAGTTTCAGCTCACGCACGGCGGACAGAGCATGACATTCGACCACGAGATTGGCGACGAGGAGGACTACGATGCTGCTAGCGTTAGTGGTTCGAGCGACGGAGAGGATGGCTTCCTGAAGCGCAAGAGGCGGAGAGACGATGTTGATGGCGAGGAGCCAGAAGATGCAGCGCCAGAGGAAGAGCAGCCAGAGCGCAAGAAGAGTAAGGCCGAGGTCATGAAGGAGGTCATCGCCAAGTCGAAGCTGCACAAGTACGAGCGCCAAGCACAGAAAGAAGACGACGACGATCTGCGAGAAGAGCTCGACAAGGATTTGAACGATGTTCTGGCCGCGCTACGGGGTCACATGAACAAGAAGCCCGAGCCGGAAGCGCCCAAGGAGGCACCGAAAGGCGACTTTGGCATGAACGCGGACCGCGCCGCGCTTCTAGCAGGAAGCTCGCAGGCTGCGAAGGACAAGGAGTATGACACGAGGGTTCGTCAGATGTTGCAAGATGCTCGTGCAAAGCCTACAGAACGTACAAAGACCGAAGAGGAGAAGGCTCGGGAGGAGGCTAAACGCTTGAAGAAACTGGAGGAGAAGCGCATGAAGCGCATGCGAGGCGAGCCTGTTAGCGACGACGAGGAGCCAAAGCAGAAAGAGGTTGACGATGACGAAGAAGAAGAGTTCGACAGTGAGAACGATGATGCGGCAGAGTTTGGGCTCAAGACTGCGGCCCAACCGTCGAGTAGACCGGAAGGCGTGGACGATGAGGACGACTTCATTCTGGACGACGATCTTGTCGCTACTGATTCTGAGGCTGACATCTCGGGAGATGAGTCGGATGATGCTTCAGAGATTGACGATACCATGGCCATGGACGAGGATGATGCAGACTTCTTGAAGGACGTCTTGCCTGAAAAGCCAAAGGCGCAATCGAAAGCCGTCAATGGAGTACTCACTATCGGTGCAGACACTACATCCTCCAAGCTTGCGTACACGTACCCATGTCCGCGGTCACACGAGGAGCTCCTCAAGGTCTTCAAGGACGTTGCTGCTTCTGACGTTCCAACCGTTATCCAGAGAATACGAGCGCTCTATCATGCCGGATTGCACTCCGACAACAAGAACAAGCTTGCCGACTTTGCGTGCGCACTCGTCGACCACGTTAAATACCTCTCGGACCAAACACCGCCCGCTTCTTTGACTGTCATTGAATCCATGATTCGCCATATCCATTCTCTATCGAGATCTTACTCTGCGCGAATCGCGACACAGTTCCGAGAGCACCTGAAGCAAATCCAAGCATCGAACGATCCTACTCCAGGAGATCTGGCGCTTCTGACTGCAATTGGCACCACATACCCCACATCTGATCACTTCCACCAAGTCGTGACTCCTGCCATCACGGTGATGGCTCGCTGGATGGGTCTCACCACGCCCAACTCGACCAAGGATGTTGCTACGGGAGCATATATTGGCGCAGTATGTCTTCAGTACCAGAGACTATCCAAACGATATGTGCCAGAGCTGATCCGCTACACATCGCTCTGCCTGAAGTCGCCACATACCACCCCAGCTATCCTCGCCGCACATAGTAAAAACATCCTCACAGCCGCCGACCTTTGGTCAAACTCCCCCTCTTTTACCGAGATCTTTACCCCCCTTATCGCGCCCCTCAAATCCGCCAACCAAAAATCGACCCTCCAAACCCTCAACGCGCGCCTCACCACCGCCCGTCTCCGCCGCCGTCCCCAACTCCTGCACGACCACCGCCCTCTCCCCATCAAAACCAGCATTCCCAAGTTCGAAGAATCCTTCGACCCTAACAAGCACTACGACCCTGACAAGGAGCGCTCAGAAGCCGCGAAGCTACAGAAGGAGTACAAGCGCGAGAAGAAGGGTGCGCTCAGGGAACTCCGCAAGGACTCGAATTTCATTGCGAGGGAGAAGTTGCGCGAGAAGAAGGAGAAGGATGCGGCGTATGAGAGCAAGTACAAGAGGCTTGTGGCGGAGATCCAGGGCGAGGAGGGCAGGGAGAAGAATGTTTATGAGAGAGAGAAGAGGAAGAGGCAGAGTGGGCGGTAGATGCGGCTGGGGATGTGGGAGGAATAAGGATTGTTTTGGATGAGTGTTACAGCAAGGCAAAATACCAATTGAAGATTCTTTCTCTGTTGACATCGTGTGTCACATCCTTGAAGCCGCCCCTTTGGCATAGTATACTGGGTGCCGGGTCACTTCGTGTTCCCATATGATATTCAAGGTTCTTCCAAATTCTGTGGGAGTATCAACGAACGAGCTTGTGGATACTGGATGACGTTACCACGCTATCTTCGAGGGAGTTTGATGTTGATGCGTCGTGTCAACGAACAAGCGAGGGCGGCGCGGCTGCTAACATCCCGGATGCCTTCTACATATTCTCCCACATATGAAAGACTGCTTGCCCCAATGGGTCCAGATTTCAAATTCTCCTTAAGCCCCAATGAACAAATCGAAGCAGAGCGAAAAGCGCAGCCAAGTCAAGCTTGACTTGCTCTCCACACTTGCCTTGGATTAACCTGATGATACACCAGATACACAGCCCAACCACACTCCAAACTCCTCAGCCTCCCAACCGAGCCCCGCCTGAATATCTGGTATCACACTCTCGGCGGCAACCGCATCCTACCTGCTGAATACTGGCAAGGCTACGACTGTCACTTTCCCTGCGCACCTGTTAGTAAAATCTACATTCGCGCCGAAACATCGCTCAACACGCGCATGTTCCTTTCCTTGCTCTATTTATGTCGACAGACTTATCACGAAGCGAGATAACTACCTTTCTCGTGCAATATTTGGGATGTGTGCAGGCACGACTCAGTAGTGAAGAGCCAGTATTTTCCGAAGAAGAAGTCCTTGCGGAAATTTCGGAAGGAAAGGGCTGGCTGATATGCACTGTGGAAGTGACTAATTGATGCTTTGACTCATGAGCAAAGAAGTGTCTACAAACCTGATCGAGGCCAGCATCAAGGATTCCCACACCCCAAGAGAATCTGTCTCCGTGCTGAACTGCGGGAAAACATGGTCGCATTTCTTAACTTGTTGCAAGTGTGTCGCCAGACTTATCACGAAAGCCGATTACTGCCATTCAGCTGTAATATATGGGAGTTTTGGCTCGCGAGGGAGGTTTCCTCGGACATGTGTTGCATCGCTTGAGTGAGGAACAGAAAGAGGCTATTGAGTGGATATCTTTCCAGATGGAGAGAGGAGGGTATTATCCTGCGGCGGAAGAGCCGTTATCGCTATCCTTTCATTGGCCGTGTTCAAGTCAACTCAAGGGGCTGAAAGTGGTGGTTCGGAAGACGCCTCTGCACCCCTACGACTGGGACGCGATTGAGAAGTTTGTAGCGGACAGAAATTGCCGAATTATAGAAGAGGAGATGGTGCGGATCGACGGATCTTATGGCGCGGAGAACAGAGAGGAGATCATACTGCGCATGCAGGATTTACTTTCGTGGCGCAACGAGAGAAGTGTTGTAGGAAAGTGAAGCAGAAACAAATCAAGAAAGCGATCCTATGATCCAGCAATTTGATCTGCATATCTTCAAGACTCCTGAGAACCAGGCCTCAAAAGTGTTGTGACTCATTCACTGTGACACTCAATGACATCTACCCTCACCCACTCTATAACAATCCGGACATCCCCATCCACCTGCGCCACAATATGCGCCCCACCAACAATTTTCTCTCTCCCAAAAGCATTCATCCAAGAGTCTGTCTTCGAGACGTGGGGTAGTCTTTCGAAGGGAGATTTCCTCAATCAAGCGACTGGCATAGTCGGGGTACAGCCAATGATGGGTCTGCCTTGGCATCGTTGTTATGGCTAAGATGTGTTTGAGGGTGTGTGATTAATGTTCTTAGATAGCTCAAGTCCAAGATATAAGTCTCTTGTTGCGTAGTGACTGCAGAAAGCAGAGAAGAGGGGACAAACGTGACGTGATCATTCAAAATGAGTGATGAGCGGGCGAAAGTGGTGGAAGTGATGATGAGAAGGATGATTCACCACCTACTCAGCCCTGACGCTTCACACAAACAAGAGGCCGATCTTCTCACAACATCATTCCCGCGAACGATCCGATAGCAAGCACCGCGAATAGCATCACTCCAGCCTTTGAGCCCCCAACATGCATTATACCAACCGTACTTCCCGCCCCAGCCGATCCCGAAGTTTGTGAAGCACTCCCCGTCGCACTTCCGCTCCCACTCGCACTACTCGTCCTCGTCTGACTCGCCACACCACTACTCCCATACCCAGTCGACCTCGTTCCATTCTCAAAAAATCCCCCACTCGCTGGCTTACACACAACAACCTCCACCCTCTTACTCAAACACTCAGCCATTTCCTGCCAGGTCTGCCCCTCGCCCGCCGCGCACTGCGCCGTGCAAAGATCCGGGTGCCCTCCCGCATCCATATCTAAGCTCTTGCAGCACGCATACAGGTCCCAGAAGGCATGGTCGTTGACTTCGATGTCGTTGGAGATGGCGCACGCAGCTGCGGCGCCGCCAGGATTGTCCTTGGGATACTGAGACGGCAAGGGCGTGGCTCTAGAGACAGAGTTTGCGAAGCAGGAGAAGGCGGGGCCGAAGGAGAAGAGTGAGGGGACTTCGGTGGGGATTGTGAATTTTGTCGAGGGGAGGGAGTTTGAGATTGTGGTGAAGGAGGTTGTTGTTGAGGTAAACGGTGGGAGAGACATTATCGTGGATGTTTGTAGGCTGTTTTGAGTAATCTTGAGTTTTAAGTTCCAGGGTTTGATGTCTCAAGAAGTGTCGTTGTAGTTGGTAAAGGGGAAAGGCTTAATGACGTTGTCCGGGTTAGCAGGAGCCTTGATGCGCTCAATGCTGGCAAGCCCAACTCCAACGAATGACTAGAACGGAAGTGTGCGAATATCGAGGATTCTGAAATCCGATGTAAAGGCACAGCAAAACACGAGAAACAATAGTTGACGCGTGGTGATATACGAAGGACTAGCCGTTAAGAGGCAACATGGCGCGAGTTCTAATATTAGCACAAGCAATACGAATCCAGAAGATGCCTCGCAGGATCGCCGCTCGTACCTGACGAACCACTGCGTTGAGAAGACGAGCCTAAAGGGCGCCTAGAGTCTATAGTAGGTCTCGTAGTTTGGAGAAGAACGTGTCGCGCAACCCGGTATCTGGAGTCGCGCGAACCGGCTCGCCGTAATTCATCATCACTACCGGCGCTAAGCCCCTTCTAGAGTAGCTTAGCGGCACGTGCGCAGGAAGTCGCCATCACCGGAGGCACTAGGATATTGAATAGGAATGGCTATAAGTCATAAAAATGTGTAGGTTACAGGTCGCCGTTGAAGCCTCTCTCGCCTTAAAAGGCCAGATGAGTTTGCGAGGCTGTGCCCGTGACAGGAAGACTATAGACGTTTAGATCAGACTCCTCATAGTTGATAACCTGCGGTAGTATTAATGTGTACAATAGGGCAGTGTTTCGATATTTATGTGTGGAAATCTCTGTGCCTACCATTAGCTTCGGGTCGCTTTCGAAAGTACATCATTGCAAATACCTCATCATAACATGGGGAAAAGAACATGTGTAAAAGTGAGGGTATCTTATTCACTATCCGATGCCAGTTCTCCTCTACACTAGCATCTCCCAAAAAATCGCGTTTACTCGCATAATCATACAACACATCTCTCCTACGCCTTCTCCGCGTCCTTATCATGCAGTCCAACCGTCCGATCCGCATGCACACTACTCCTCCTCAACGTCTCATCCTTGTCATAATCGCGATCAAGTTGATTCATCTCATCCTCCGTCTCATTCAAATGGTGGAAAATAATCCAAATAAGACATCCAGCAATGAAACTCGTTACCGCCAGACCAACGTACATCCACTGGATATTCGGGTCGTACAGGACGGGGTTGAGTGCTTCGGAAATGGCGGATCCGAAGGCGTTCGTGAGGAGGTACATGGACTGCACGAAGGATTTCATGGAGGGAGGCGCTTTGGTGTATGCGTATTCGAGACCGGTGACGGAGGCGAAGATCTCGGAGATACCAATGAGCATGTATGCGCCGGTTTGCGCGGCGATGTGGATGTTGTTGCCGTGGAGGACGCCGTCGGCGCCCTTTGCTGCCTCACAGTTGGGATGGTCGTAGCAGGGGCCGGTTTGGTACATGTAGTATTGGATGACGGCGGCGTAAACCATGGCGAGGGAAGCGACCCAGAACCCGGTTACGATACGGTTGATGGGAGGGAAGGGGATCTTCTTCTTGCGGAGGAAGGGCATTAGCACCTGGTCGACGAGGGGCAGGAATACGATGATTGCGATGGGGTCGAAGTTCTGCATCAGATCGTTGGGAATGCCGTGGGTGGCCATCTGTCCACCTTGGGTGATGAAGTTGTTCGAGAATTGACCGTAGACGACCCAGTAGATGGGATAGAAGCAGAAAACCTTGCAAGCTACAAGCGCACGCTTCACTTCCTCAACAAAGTGGTCATCCCAGCGCAGCACAGTGGTCTTTCCAAGTCCAGCCTGATACGAGGGCTTTGCGCCATCCATCTTGCGCGTCTTGATCATCAACCACATGACGCGGAAAGCATCAGTGATGACAGAGCCCTGCGGTGGTCGAACAACGTAGACCTTGCGACCGAGAACAAGGACGAGCGTACCCACGAAGAAGACGCAGAGGCACAGCAGGAAGGCGGACCAGAAGTCGATATCGCGCTCCATGTAGGGTGTAGCGAGCAGGGACAAGCAACCGACGTTGATGCAAAAGTAGAACACCATGTAGATCCTGTGGATGGTGATTGCAGGGTCGATGATGAATTTTTCGCCAGTATTGTTGTCGTGGCCAATGACCATTTTTTTCCTGTTATACTGGTCCGCGATGAGCGGTGCAACGTTCGATTTGATACCGCCAGTTCCTAGACCGATAACGATGATGGCAACGATGAAACCACCGAGTCCGGCGCCATGGTCAAGAGCCGCTGGGATGGATGTGCATGTCAAAATGAGGAGACCAACCATGTACACGCCGCAGAAGATGACGATGGTGTTGTATTTTCCGAGGTATTGATCAGCGATAATGGCACCTTGAACTCCATGTTAACAGATATCCTCTGGTGATTCAGATAATTAGATTTCTTACCAAGAATCGGAGTAACATAGCACCAGAACTGGAAGAACGTCGAAAGACCGGTGGCGCCCCGATGACCCATGCCGAGCGCACCACGACCAAGCTCTCCACTACGCGGGCGCGCAATGTAGTTTTGGAAAAGACCCGAGGCACCATAGTACGTGAAGCGCTCACAGAGCTCGACAACAGCTACCAAGAAAGCAGACTTGGGTAGAGGCTCGCCGACCTTGCGAAGAGTGCGGAGCTCCTCAGCCGTGGGCGCGACACCACCAAGACCATCTTCTTCCTCGTGGTCGGCTAGGCGCACGGAAGCACCAGAGCTGTTACTGCCGCTTTGCTTCTCGATAATTTCCTTTTCGTCTGCGACATGGACGTTTGCGCCGACGTTGGCATCGTTCACGGAGGCGCCGAAGAGATGCGGCTTTTGGTTTGCCTCAGCCTGCATGTTTACCAACTGCTCGGCCCTACTCCAACAGTCAGCCTTACCCGCGATACGAGAGCGGAATCAAGGATATGCTCGATGCAATACAGTACTTACGCAGTGGTTTCGTGAGCCTGTGCCATATCTTATTTGAAAGTCGCGCAACCACCGACGATAGTCAATGGTAAGGACAGGCAAGTTTCCAGAGGATGAATTCTAAAAACCTTAACGATTCATCGAGTGGACACACCCCTCTTTATTTGAATCCACCTCCTCAATTGCCCGGCAGGCAAGCATCCACCTGCGACCGACGTCGCTGACCACAGGTGCGTTGCTCGCCTCTGTCTCTGCGCTAAGCACGCACAAGCAATGAGCCGGGCGATGTAACGTCTTGATAGAGTGCCGCTTGACCTGAAGGGAACAACGCTCCGCTGCAAAGCTTTCGCTTGGCTGCTTGGGCGCGCCACCCGCTATCCTAACGCACTGCGTCTGATTTGTTCGTGTCCTCGAGCACCCGCGACCACTTGCCCAAAGAAGCGCGATGGATGGGTGATCTTACGTTGGTGATTTCGAGGAGGCGTTTGATGGGTGCGTTGAACAGCTGCCGAAATTGCCGATTGTGATGGTGTGCAGCGGACGCCAAATGCATGTTCAGCATCAGCAACCAGTAGACCTCGTATATGGAATCCTGCTGGTGACATTGCATGGAAGTGTGATGCAGATCAAGTATCTCATGCCACGTCGCCAGCACACGGCATTCGAACACAGTAACTCTCAAACAACCAGCTTCATCTTCACACAAGTCATGTCCAACCGTCTAGATTTCCCCGATGCGAAAATTCTGCGGCATTGTATCCACCCCGAAAGCGGTAGCACTTCCAGCGGCCGCCGAAATTGTTGATCGCTCACACCTCGGTTCGCATTAATATCGGGCAACGGAGGGGACCGATGGATTTCCAAAAGGATAACATTTTGTGGGACCAGGCGGATTGACATGGGATGACTGTCACTCGTTGATCGCTCGCCTGACACAAGTAGGTAGAGCGGACAAGTGCTGACGGGCCAAGATGACGCCCGAACACCCGTTGCACTTGCGGATCCTCGCGGCACAGTCTGGTACTGGAGATGATGCCGTGATAGAACTGATAGAGGCGATTATTGCGCAGATGGCAAAACTTCCCTTCGGAGACCTGGCGAGGGTTTCTCCATCTCAGCAATGATTCGACTATTAACTCCACGAATTCTTGACGTTCGGATGCTCCGACTGAGACGTGCGAATAAGGTTTAACTGTGCCTGTGACGACAACGGAGGCGCTTTCACCGTGCCGTAGCCCTATCCTATCCCCGGATTAATCCCGGGCCAGCCGCCCTTACCCATCTCCAGCCTTGCGGAACATCCGCACGATTGGAAAGCGTGTGGACCTCGCGCATGCGAACGCAAATATGGAGCTGTTCCCGAAGCCAAATGCAACGAAGCTCCACAGCAATGTGGAGTGATGCGTGGATGTCGAGATAAGAACACGAGGTCTGTTGTAATTGCTCAGTGTATGCGAAACATTGATGATCTATTAGTGATGGGACTCCGTCTGTTGGAGCTCCCCTAAGACTTGCTACCACTTGCTCCTTTGTGCGACCGACCGACCGACCTGGTATCTAGCACTACCGTAAAAACATAGACAATCCGACGTCCCCACCGACATGCATTTTGACAACGAAAAGAAAGAACAAAGGAAAGTTGTATAGGCTCTGTGTGCGAGATGCTACGACAGATAGCGCCAAACATATGATACACGAACCCATGAATGATTCAAGTCAAAAATAGTAACGACAGAAAATTATGAGGATGAACCACCGTTGCTGCCCTTGCCAGGTCCCTGAGTTCCTGGCTCACAGCACTGCTTCGCATTGCCACAGCTGTCTGGGCACTCCAGCAGGCACGCATCTGGCCCGTCTTTGACGCTTGGATTCTTGCTCCTAGTCGCCACCTCGTCCTCGTCTGAAGGCGAAGCGGAGTGGTCATGGCTGGCGTTGAGGCAGAATTCGGGCTGGATGGTAGATGAGTGGATGCTGTATTCGTGGAGGCACTCGCGGATCTGGCGCGCAAGCTCCATGTAGCGTGCGGAACCCTCGCCCTTGAAGTCGAAGTCGACCTGAACGTGGAGCGATGCAACAAGCTTGGTGTCTGAGAGTTGCCACACGTGAAGATGATGGCATGAGACGATACCATCGAGGCTAGTGATGTCCTCTTCAATGTCGTCAACGGAGAGATTCTCAGGGACAGCTTGAAGCAGGATGCGAGACGCAGCCTTGCAAAGAGGGATGGCAGAGAGGAGAATAATGACTGTGATGACCAGTGAAATAGCAGGGTCGGCGTAGAACCTCCAAGAAAAGTCCGTAAGCCAGATAAACAGTGCTGTTCCGATGACACCGATGTTGCCCAAAGCATCACCCAAGACGTGAAGGAAGACGCCGCGCATGTTCAGATCATGGGAGTGACCGTGACCACCGCCTGACTTCTGGTCCTTTGGCTGCTTGTGCTTGTGGTCCTTGTGGGTATCCTTCTTGTGTGCGCCAGTGTGTGCCTCGTGAGAATGGTGGCCGTTAGACTTGGCCAGCAGGGGAGAGTGCTCGGTTGGGTGAGCATCTGTTGCCGCATCGTCGCTGTCTTCCTCGTCATCCGCCTCATCGTTTTCGTGTGCCTTAGAGGACTCAATGATGCTGTTGCGGAAAGACGACGGGTGGACGTAGATCTCATCGATGGTGGAGTAGTTGCGCGACTGTGACCTAGAGTGACGCTTAGCCTTCTTGGAGAGAGAAGAGCGGCGCTTGTCCGATTGCGAGGTCTGGGTGATATTCGAGGGGAAGCCAACGCGGTTCTGCGGAAGAACATCGGCAATGTTTCCTCTCTCGTCAGCCACAGCGTGGTCGTGTGCGTCGATTCCGTGGTCATGAGAGTGTCCCTCTTCGGCGTGAGAGTGCTCGTCGTGGCTGTGGGAGTGTCCGCCGTGGGAGTGTCCGTGTCCGTGGTCGTGAAAGAGGAATAGACCGACGATGTTGGAAGCCAAACCGAATGAACCCACAATCAAGATGATCTTTGGGTGCGAAACCTCTTGTGGTTCGACAAAGCGCTGAATCGCTTCGAGGAAGATGGAGAGACATAGCGCAACCAGGAAGACACCATTAATGAGCGCTCCCAGAGTCTCGGCGCGCTGCCAGCCATACGTGTATTGCTTCGAGTTTGTCCGCTGATTCGCGACCTTGACGGCCCACAGTCCAACGAGAAGTGAGATGACATCGTTAAGCTAAGCTTACTGTTAGTGGTTGTTTGCTATGTATTTTCGGGAGTTACACACCATGTGGAAAGAATCAGCAACGAGTGCCAGAGAGTGCACTGCATAGCCGACGACCAGCTCCAAAAAGAAGAAGCACGTGTCGATAGCCAGCAGGATCATGATACGAGTGGACTTGGAGGGAGCCATTTCGGCGGTATCGGAGCGCGAACGCCGCACTGGTGACGTCGATGGAGTGCAAGGTGAATTAAGGGTGTCTATACCCGCGGAGATTCACGGCGACGCAGTATCGAGGATTGCAGCCTGCTGCTTTGCGTTGGAATACGGCGGGAGTGGGATGTTTTGTAGGAGGGAGAAAAGTGCAGTCGCGAACCCTGTGAAGTTCAGAACGCCACTACCTCTTGCGTCAAGGCTAACCCTGGAAAACTCGCCATTAGGTCTGCGCTAAGACAAGCAAACCTTGCCATTTTCAGAACAACGATATGGCATCGCGTTTGAAAATGTTCTTCGAGAACGCATCGTGACTCAGTACACAGCGGGCATCCCTCTCCTTCCGATATTACTGAATCTTATGCCCAATCACACCATGTCATCTGCCTAAGCCCCGGAGGTACTTTCTTCTCATGTCAGCGGTGACATGTTTTTTACTGCGGGCTCCCATGTTGTCTTACCACGGCTTGGAAACTGCCGTCCGTTTTGCTTGCTCTACCCCTGTATGATGCAATCGTCAACCTTCTCCGGTGTGTCTCACTCGTCGCCGGTGAGACGAGCAGAATAAACGGTCCGCACCTGTCTTCTCGCTTAACAACGTTACCACAGCTGGTGAAACGCTTGCCAGTGTGCAAGCTTGAACACTACTGGTGGGCTGATTTGAGATATTCCCAAGGTAGCCTGTGAAGCGGCCAAGATCTCCACGAAGCCTGATCTGCATACAGACTTTTTGTTTGCGATGCCCCCACTTGAAGCTGCGGAGGTACGCGGATCGTCCCTGGCATGTTTGATGCACCCGTAGACTGTCTGGGAGTGGATTCATGTACGCCAAGAGAGTCTAAAGTTTGATCCTCGCAAGGCACGTGCAAGGTTTCTACTAGGTGCACAGTGTGTGCCAGCCGCTCAACCACCGGGTCAACAACACGACGCGAGCCATGACGAATCTCGACGTGCTGCTACTCAAAGGGGCTTCCTCAGACAACCCAGAAGAAAGTCTGCGCGAACTGCGCTATGCCATTCTCACGGATGGCATTCCCGCCAATAGTGACGGCATGGTATAATTACCCAAACGGTCGCAACACAACCAATTGCTGACCCAGTCTGTCTAGTCCGAACTGCGCATCTACGTCTGGCTCATCCTGCTCAATGCCTCTCCCCTCCGAACCGACGTCTATCTTGACCTGATCCGCCAAGGTGCCTCTCCCGCCCACGCCAAAATCACAAACGACACCTTCCGCACCTTCCAAGGCGACCCCCTTTTCCGCCGCCGCGTGACCCAGAATAGCATAACTCGAGTCCTCAATGCGGTCGCCTGGCGCCTCAACGATGCGCACGAAGCGCGCGTCAACGGCTGGCAGTCACCGCCTACGCTCAGCGAGTTTGGGGGCAGTCCAGACACGAGCTTCATGAGCAGGACGAACGGCACGAGGACTGAAGCCAGCACGACAAATGATGCCGAACAGATTGGTTATGTGCAGGGCATGAACGTGCTTTGTGGACCGTTCCTCTACGCGTCCCGGAGTGAGGTTGAAGCCTTCACTGGCTTCGAGAAACTCATTACCTCAGAGTGTCCTGGATATGTGAGGGGCAGCATGGAGGGTGTACACAAAGGTCTCGCGCTCGTGGATCGCGTGTTGGAGGTTGTGGACCAAAAGCTCTATGCGCATCTCATGGCGCATCGCATGGAGGCGAGGATCTGGGCGTTCGCTTCAGTCCTGACCATGTGTGCGTGCACTCCGCCCCTGACGGAGGTCCTGAGGCTTTGGGACTTCCTGTTCGCGTACGGACCGCATTTGAACATTCTGTGTATTGTGGCGCAGCTTGTGCTTATTAGGACGAGCATTTTGGAGAGTCCGAGGTACGTGCAAGTCTTGTCCTTCTACGATCATTTTGCTGACCATCACCAGCCCGAATCAGATCCTCCGCAGTCTGCCAAACCTCGTTGCAAAGGACATCATTGGCGTTGCTATGAGCTTCGCCGGTAAGATCCCCGAGGACATGTATGCCGAGATCATCAACCACGCCAAATAGGATGGGCGGCTGGAGATGGTTGATGCGACGAACGTACTGCCATGAGAATTACGAAGTTTACGATTTACGATACCCATGCAGAGTAGTTGAGCTTCGCATATGATTTGCAATAGCAATGGAAAATAGCATCATTTTGATTTCGTTCTCTGCAAATCTACTGCTTGCTGTCAACCATCAGTAAGGCTAAACACAACCTTCAATTGCATATACGGTCTACGTGTGTACCAACCGTCTATATCATATCTTACTCGCCTCCTTGAGTACCTCCTTCGTCAAAACATCCCCTTTCTTCCTCTCCTCACTCAGCCTCCCCATCCTCAACAACCTCTCAATCATCTCCTCATCCCCATGATGGTTATTATGTTCAAACTCGGGCTCCTCCCCATACGCAATCCTCGCCGCATCCACCACAATCCTTGCCGTCATGCCCCACACCCTAAATGACGTGAGTTTATCGAGCGGATTCGGCTCGGCGCGCTCATCACTCGCTTCCGGTGGCGTTTCCAAATCTACATCTCTCTTCGGGGTTTGGAGTAAGGTGGAGGGCGAGGTGGGTGGTTTGGGTACGTAAAAATTATGCATGCGCCAGCGAGACTCATTCCAGTCAGTCCATGCGCCTCTGTACCATTTCTCCAGCTTCCCGTTGGGCTGCACTGGCCCCGGTCCCTCGCCTTCCCAAGTCTTCCGTAGGAAAGAATGAAATGGCGCAGTGAACACCGCCGCAACCTCCTTGGGATCCAGCCGCGGAATCAGTCGTTCTTCAACCTCCAACCCTCCCTGCTCGTCCAACGGACTCAAGTACGCAACACAAGGTCGAACACCTAATTCCGTCTTCGCCAGATTCGCAGGCAGTTCACAAAGTTGTTCGACTTTAAACCCGCCCTTCTTCAGTTTCTCGTCATCCAAAGGTAGGCCAATTTCCTCCCACGCTTCACGCCGCGCCACAGCCCAGGGGGATTCGTCGAGCGTGTCGGCTTTGCCCCCGGGGAAAGCGGCCTGCCCGGCGTAGCTGTTTAGCTTTGCGCTGCGCATGGTGAGGACGACTTTGAGCGCGCCATGGCGGTCGGGGAAGAGGAGGATCAGGACAGCGGCGCGTCGGGTCAGGGGGCAGTTATGCCATTGCGTTGGGGGAGGGTTGTATGTGCGTAGGCGGGCGAGGGCTTGCTGTTGGTGGGTGTTAGATGGGCTTGGGGGAGTGCGGGGTTGGGGATGGTGGGATGCAGGAACCGCTTTGGCGGGTTGTAGGGGGGCATGTTGGACGTACAGCAGATGTTTGGGAAAGCGCCATGGTTGCAATGGCTTTGCTTTGGGCGAGCCATGCTGTTGCTCTCATGAGAAGTGTGGTTGCGGAACTTGTGAGCTTCGGAGGGGTCGGTATCCTTGACCGAGGCTATCGATATGCGAAAGTCGTGTACCAAGTACTCGTACTTGACGATCATGGATTATTACTCAAGATATAATGTCGAGCACGTAGTGAGAATCCAGCTAGCAGCTGTTCAATGATTAGTAGAATCACACATCTTTCACATGTACGTCAACAAGACTAGACAAAGCTTCAGTGACTACCATGCAATTGTATCGCGTCTCTATATGACAGGAAACTCATGATCGTTATCGTCGACATGCGTGGCCATGAGGAGATCATCCCGTCGCGCATACATGCCGTGATATAACGCAGCCCACCCTCCAAACACAGGAAAGCCGACGCGAAAGGAAAAAGGAAAAGATTGCTGGCAAAGAGCATCCAGCCAACTGAGCACCTGACACGAGTCTCTATCATCTGCAAGAAGCATTCCTTCGAAGAAACCATTTCGCACATGAAAATCGACAAACGCCAAGATGCCGCGATGTATAGACGACGACTCGTCCGACTTCGCTACTTTTGGGAAAAGCAAAAGCGCCGCCTGACAGTGCAGACGCGCCGGATTAGTTTCCACCGCCTCTATGCCCAAGACGCCACCAAAATGAATAGCGGGCAAGGAGAGACGCTGGTTGGGAAGCAGTGAGGATCAACCGCTTAGATGAGGTCAGCCACGTTCATAGGCATCTCCTCGATCTGTGTGCTGTAGAACTGCTCAATCTCGCGCATCATGCGGACATCGTCAGCGGTGACGAAGTTGATGGCCACACCCTTACGTCCGAAACGTCCACCACGACCGATGCGGTGGATGTAGTTCTCGCGGTTGGCGGGCAAGTCGTAGTTGATGACCAGGGAGACCTGCTGGACATCGATACCACGGGCAAGCAGGTCGGTGGCGATCAGGACACGGGAAGATCCGGAACGGAACTCCTTCATGATGACATCACGCTGAGCCTGGTCCATGTCGCCGTGCATAGCGGAGACGGTGAAGTCACGGGCAGTGAGCTTGTCGGTGAGCCAGTCGACCTTCCTGCGGGTGTTGCAGAAGATGACGGCCTGGGTGATGGTGACGGTCTCGTACAAGTCGGAGAGGGTGTCGAGCTTCCAGTCCTCCTTCTCGACGGCAATGTAGAACTGCTTGATACCTTCGAGGGTAAGCTCGTCCTTCTTGACCAAGATGCGGACGGGGTCGCGCATGAACTTGGTGGTGACCTCGAGGACGTCCTGGGGCATAGTGGCGGACAGGAGGACGACCTGAGTGCTCTGGGGCAGAAGCTGGAAGATGTCGTAGATCTGCTCGGTGAAACCGCGAGACAACATCTCATCGGCCTCGTCGAGGACGAACATCTTCATGTGGTCGGTCTTCAGGACACGACGCTGGATCATGTCGTGGACACGGCCGGGAGTGCCGACAACGACCTGGGGGCCGTCCTGGAGGGCCTTCATGTCATCACGAACGCTGGTGCCACCAATGCAGGCGTGGCAGGCGACATCCATGAAGTCACCGATGGCGACGACGACCTTCTGGATCTGCTGGGCAAGCTCACGGGTGGGGGCGAGAATGAGCGCCTGGCAGGCCTTGACGTTGGAGTCGATCTTCTGGAGGGTGGAGATGGAGAAGGTAGCGGTCTTTCCGGTACCAGACTGCGCCTGCGCAATGACATCGTGGCCTGGCGTACGTACAGCGTCTATAATAATTTGGTGCTGTTGTGCGGAAGCAAACTTACCCTTGATGACGGGCATGATGGCGCGCTGCTGGATAGCAGAGGGGCGCTCGAAACCGTAGGCGTAGACGCCACGGAGGAGCTCAGCCTTCAAGTTCATCGCGTCGAAGGAGTCGGTGGTCTCATCGTAGTTGGACTCGATCTGGCCTGCGCTGTGTTAGCCCATTGCCCGCGCAAACTTTCAGCTGAGCGCGCTGCCCGTCGCAGTGCGGGGCGCACCCACTCCAGGCGGCGGAAGGGCCGTACTCACCCTCAGGCACGTCCTCAAGACCCTTGTCAGCCATGATTGCGAGTGGTGAAGTGAGCGACTACTGGTGTGGCACCGTAGTCGTGAGAAAGGTTGTAGTGGGGTGGAAGGCGGGGGTGATCGCTTGGATACCGCCGCTCTTGTAGTGTAGTAGGTGTTGGGAAAACTAGATACCAGATCCTCTATGTGAGAATCGAAGGTTATCTAGGAGTGTAGTTGTATTTAGTGTTGGGTTGTGTGTGGTGGTGGGAGGAAGAGCGAGGGCGCGGCTTAAGAAGATTTTCAAACAATTCGTTGCAAAATCTTTTTGGGCCTAGCGCCGACCACTACCACATTCGCCTCACCACACCTGCGCTCGCTCTCCGCGTACCATGTATGACTCCCTGCTGCATCCTTGGTACCTCTAGCGCTCCTCTCCTGGACCGTGCAAATCAGCGCTGAGCAGTTGCTGTCGCTGTTTCTGTCCGCCTATTTGCTGTTGAGAATGGCGCCCGGATTGCTGGAACCAGAAGCCGCCACCATTGCCGAACCACGGCCTTCAAAGAAGCTGAAAACCGCTTCGGCGGCGACATTCCAAAACGACGACGAAGAGGTGGCAATTGCAGTCCCGTCGCACCCTCTCGGTATCAAGCCAGCGGGCAACGCCTACACCGCATCCGAGAACATCAAATCAAGATGTGGCTCATTCGCCAGGCTGCCTGACGAGCTTCTGAGCCACATTCTTGAGTCATTCGATGCTGACACCCTTATCCGTCTCGGGACTACATGCCGGGCGTTGTATGCTTTCACACGGCTGGATGAGCTCTGGCGGGCACTTTTTGTGAGGTAAGTTCCATGGTTGTGCACTGTGTTTCTATTTCTCGCTTCGATCCAGTCATCGTTTAGTCACTTCCTTTGCAAGAGCAGTCATTCGGACGGATCAGATCAACCGTGGCTCAGTGAGGAGTCATAGGCTCTTCTGTGGCTAGGTGCGAAACCTATACCGTGTCGAAGAAGAGTGTCGACTTGCTGGAGCATGAAAGAGATCGGACTACAATCCTAAGCTCTGTGCATTACCCAGATATGACCACGCTCTTTGATTGCTTTGACTTGGTTGTCAGCCGGATTTCTGTTTGTGCGAAGGGCCACAGCATCATGAACCCGGACCTGTGGCTTCTTTGCTTCACCGTCTTGCTGTGACATGTTATTGCTGGTCTCGATCTAGTGCTGAGACTTTGGGCCGTTGTTGGCGACAACCACCTCTTGTCGTAACGACGTTCTTGACAAAAATTACACTCAGCCTCGAATTATTTCAAACTTTTCTATGCGATATCATTAGTCTATCAGCTAACCTCCCTCCCAGCTCACCACCCACAGACTTCATGTGGCGCGGCACGTGGCGCTCTACCTATCTCAATATCTCACCAGAGAACGTCACGAACATACCATGCCATAACCTCTTTTCAGACGTCTTATACCGTCCATTTCAATGTGCTCATACAGGTCTTACCCCGTTTGTTCGCAACATTCCTCGGTCAAACGAAATCGCAAGACTCGGCGACCTCACACCCGATGATTACGCCCAGAATTGGACCGACAAGCCCTTCATTTTGACTGATCCCGTCAAAGATTGGCCAGTATATGGTACTTGGACGCCCGAGTATCTTCTAGAAAAGTTCCCAGATGTCAAGTTCAGAGCAGAAGCGGTCGACTGGCCAACATCGACGTATCTCTCATATATGCACAACCAGTCTGACGAGTCACCCCTATACGTCTTCGATCGCGCTTTCGCCGAGAAGACAGGCATCGACACCACTGCCGCGCCTCACTCAGAGGGCGCATCATACTGGTCTCCTGAAGCTTTTGGTTCCGACCTCTTCAGCGTGCTCGGCCAACACCGTCCTGATTGTAGATGGATGATCATGGGCCCAAAGCGCTCTGGCAGTACTTTCCACAAAGATCCAAACGCCACATCTGCCTGGAACGCCGTCTTAACCGGCAGCAAATACTGGCTCATGTTTCCCTCTGGGCCTGGCATCGAGACACCACCCGGCGTTATCGTGTCTGAAGATCAATCTGAAATCACAAGTCCTTTGAGCATTGCAGAATATCTCCTCACCTTCCACGAACTCGCACGACAAACACCGGGGTGTAAAGAAGGCATCTGCTACGCGGGAGAAGTCCTACACGTCCCCTCAGGATGGTTCCATCTTGTCCTCAACATCGAAGACTCACTCGCCCTCACGCAGAACTTCGTGCCGATGAAGAAGCTCCCCGACGTTCTGGGTTTCTTGCGCGATCAAAGGGGTGAAGTCAGCGGCTTCAAGGAAGACGTATGCGACACAGCGTACGAGCTATTCGTCGAGAAACTGCAAGAAGAGTATCCGGACATTCTAGCCGAAGGACTAGCAGAATTAGAAAAGAAATCCAAGGGCAAGAGAGGCAAGTGGGAAGAACTCACCAAGGCTGGAGGCGAGGAAGAAGAGGCAGGAGGGTTTAGCTTTGGATTCGGCGGCGATGACGACGATGCTGACATTCCCTGAATATACCAATGAACTCTTAATCTCCAAAAAAAATCACAACATTTGTCTCTCAGAGGTCCAACCCGTTGTCCTAGATCTGTGCCAAACTCATGGTACACTAGCGCAACCACGAACCAAACATCACTCCCTGCAACCCAAACTGTTGACAAACTCGAAAGCATCCGATTGGTCATTGTACATGGGATCGGAACCACGAAACTAAGCAAAGCTAAAACGTACAACCGCAACCAGTGTCTATCAAACCTCGCGCCTCCACCGAACAGTTCGAGCATACAGGTGAACCAAATCAGATGCGTAACCAAAAAGCCATGGAGGCCTTCATCCACCGACCAGTGATGATACCACGAGACCATTGCACACGTGCAGGTTCCGCATGCTGAGGTCTGAAGTGGATGGGGGTTGTCTGTCGAGGGTGTGTACCTGTAGGGGAGTATGCTCCCGCAAGTGTGCTTGTGGAAGAAGCGTGCTCGTGGAGGAAGTGTATCTGTTGAGGTGGCGTGCCTATGGACTATGAAGGACGCCGCATTCAGAACAGGGCATATTTTATGTGACAGAGAAAATGATTTTTCATCAACGGCCGAAGCCTCTAATATCAGATCGTAACCTTCATGCACCTGCCTTGCCTGTGTTGTGCCGTGCATGTGTACTGGTGACCGAGCGAAGAATGAAGTAGCGAGGAGAGGGAGGACGATGGGTGGTGGACGTGCCTGTGGTGGACGGGGCTCAGGTATGATGAAGCAAAGGAAGAAAGACGAAGAAGGAGAAAATTGAAGTCGAAAATCGAATTGTTGCAGACGAGTTGAGATGAGAAGAGACAAGGAGAGTGGACGACAGATGGGTTCTTATAGTCCACAGCGACGAGAAGCACCGGCCTCTGTCCTTATATACCTCTTGAAAAGTTGATACTTACATGAAGAAGCAACTTGATGAGAGTAGGGAGGTAGGCATCGTTGTACGGAAACCATGGTGCAGTGTAAAGACAGGTGCGATCGGCTAGAAACAAGCAGTGGCCAGGGTCGAATTCGCAGACTACTTGAGAAAAGAAAGGATTTAGACAGTGCACGGTACACAGGATCGTATATTGCTGTAAGAAAAATATAGCAGCCGCTGTTTGACGATTAGGTCCGACAAGATCTTTACCTCCGTATCCCAAGGTCGCAGACGTGAAGCAGGCAAGTAGGCTCATAACGCAAACGCAGTGCAAAAGGCAGAAACAATTGCTCACCGGCGGCCTCAGTCTCTATCAGCAGGCCCTACCATAAGCTAACAAAAAAGGTCCCCAAAACATACAAATCAAAATGACAAAAAGAACAGCCAGCCCTGCCTTAGGCAGAATCATTCTCAGATTCAATACCGTAGATGTAACTTTTGCGCTGCCGAAAACCGTCCAAGACTGTTTTATCACGGGCTCGAACTCGCAACTTCCAGCGGACTGGTAGGTATTCGGTCATAATTCAGAAGGCCCGACCTTAAAGCGATTCCATCTTTGAGGATTTTGATGGGAGAATCTTGATTTATTTGGTATACATACTGGAAGGTAGGGAGAAGTATAGGATGGAGTTAATGTGTGAACGGGTGTTTGGTGAGGGCGCGTTGTGGCGGCTTTGAGAGCATGTGTATTGATTTTGTTGTTATTAGGGTTGAGTTTTCGTTGCGCTTTCACTCGACCTCCCACTCCTCGGTGAAGAAATCGACGATACTACTCGCTGTCGCTGCGCCCACTGCGCTCTCCATTACCTCCGCACATTCACGATCACCACTTGCAGCGCTGAGCGCGAGAAGGACAAGTTCGCCGACGCTTCCCACGACGTCGCTCAGCGCGATGACTTGCTCTTGTTTCAGTGGCGGTTCGGTGGTGCAGTAAGGTAGAATATCGGTGACTGCGCTTTCTGGCTTGCGGTAGGGTGGGCGAGAAGAAACTTGCGTGACTGCTTGATGGTGCTGGGGACGAATGGGTTGGGATTGAGAGTGCGTGTGTGGGAGCGAAGGCTGGATGATGCTAGGCCTGGCTTCATGTGTACAGCCTTGCTGGTAGTAGTCGCCAGAACCATCGATCTGCTGATAAGATGCGGCGTCTTGATGGTGAATTTTGGGTGTGCATTTGAAGTCCTGGAGTGAGAGGCGAGCACGCTTCGGAGGCCTTGCGCTACCGAGGGTGCCTGAATTGTCCATCGTGAAGTCTGATATTTAGTAGTCTGGGTAGACTGCACTGATCCGATCACTTTAGCGGGTGAATATGCATGGTTCCCGTTTGGATTTCGAAGATGTCACGTACCTTTCTGTTTTGCGACAGGTGATGCACGAGCAGCAGTGATGAACTGCGGGAGATAAGCTTCGAGTCTGGTGGAATATGCAAGTGTACATAAGCACTTAGACCAGGTCATGATAGCGAGAGAGATGATAGATGATACGTCATACGGTTGCACTAGTGAAGTCATGTACGAGTGGAGCTGTTGAGCAGCATGAGGAAGGCACGGAGCGTGCCAAAGAAAGCAAGGAAGGAGCGAATAACTGCCAAGTTCCAGTACACATGCGCCAGCAAGACATGAGCCGCATGGAAGCGCTGATATGAGCACCAGGGTCCTTACGCCTGTGAGTGTATCTTGACATCACTGAATGTGCTTGCAGTTCACTCTTATTCTCCTGATCCATCGAAAAATACACAGACAAATGTATGATTTCATAGTAAGAGAGACAGTACAGGGGATATGTGCGGAGTGTAACGGCTATACATATATCGCGAACAGAGTCGTGCTCTTCTTTTGTCTACAAACCTAAATTGGGTATCTGAGAGGAGAAATATGCGCTAGATGCAGCTCTATGTGTGCCTTGGATTTGTGCAAAGTAGACAGGGCCACTAATCCTGTTAAGGGCTTGTTTCGTTGGTTGGCGTTTCTTGTTGTGGCTCGTTCTCAACACTTGGACGAGGTCGATTCGAAGAGTTGACAGCGGGAGTTTGCGTTGCGGACGGCGATGTTGCTGCTGACGTTGGCTCCCCAATTTGAATTGAATCTTTCTTCTCTTCAGTCTTCCCACTTCCTTTCCAGAAGCCTAGCAGCCGTCCCGATGGCGCAGGTTCTGGGTGTCGGGCCTTGAACTCTTCTAGCTCTGCCTTGACCGCCTTGAGCTCATTCTGCATCTCTTCCAGGTCTTCGCGGATATCGTCTCTGGCATTGCGCGCTTTGCGCCTTTGCCGCCATTGCTCGAACACAATTACGCCAATGCCCACAGCGAAGATGAAGGTTTCCGCAGCGAAGTTTGCGCCCATCTCTATCGCCTTCTGCTCCGAGAGCGGCCGTATGCGCGGTTTTGTCCGCTCTTCCGCCTTCTTCCTTATGGCTTCCCTCTCTTTCTCAGTCAAAGCTTCATCTGCTTTCATTTCTTCCTCGGTCATGACCGTGGGCATTGCAGCCTTTTGTCGCGCCGCTTCAGCTGCCTGCAGCTCCTTCTTGATCTGGCGGTCGATGACTGCGGGGTCCTGAAGCAGTCCGAGGCGCATGCGCATGTCAATGCGATGCAGGCCTTGCGCGAATTTGACACAGACTCTTCGAAAGCGCTGGTGTTCATGGGCATTGCGTTTGATGGCATTCTGTGAAGAGAGTGAGTCTTGGGTCGATCAATCAACGTATCGGACGCTTTACAGCCATAGGTTTCGCCAGTGTCCTCACGAACAGCGACGTGACCTTGAGGGTGAGAGACATGATGCGCTATGAACGAGCTTCGGATTGGTTCTGGGAAGGTATGTTGCGCGATTGGGTTATAATTCGGGTCTCATTGCAGCTCGCACGTATTGATAATCATCCGGACATGCTTGCGACAGCTTAGAAGAGCTTCAACGGTGTTGTGGAGGGGAAATGGAGCGCGAAGTTGCCGAATTCAAGGCTGCCTGATAGCTCGGAGGTCCGCAAGGCCGACGTCAATCGTGACTGCCCTGCGCAAGTGCCTACCGAGAACGACGGAACCTCAAGTATTCTATCATGTGAGATAGTCTCCCTATCTGTTCCACAGCATATCTAAACAAGTTGTGCAAGCTTGCACCAAGCCAACTTGTGCGAGTTCGGATTGGAGTGCAGTAGGCGCGGGTAGCGAAGCGGTTGCTGTGGAAACAGCCAACGCACTAACAACATTGACGTTCGAGGGTCTCTGTTCAACATTCGCGATCACGCATCTTCGACAAACCTATCGCCAAATGTCTGCCTCGTCTATACACGCTGATGCGCCGCCCAGCGTGGTGCGGGACCCAGAGGGTCTACAATATGAGACGGGCCCACACCTGGGCAAAGGTGGCTTCGCTATCTGCCATCGCGCGAAGCTGATGGGGCACGACCATCTCGGCAGCAGCACAGTCGCTTTGAAGATCGTCAAGTCCAAGATGGAACCGCCCAAGCTGGCTCAGAAGGTGCACATGACTGGAAATCCCCGACGCGACTTGTACTGACGCGTCGTAGTTTGTCACTGAATTACAGATCCATTCCAAACTATCTCATCCCAACATCGTCGAGTTCTACCGCGCCTTCTCCTTCGAAACCAGCACCTATGTTGTCCTTGAACTGTGCGAAAATGGCTCGCTCGCCGACGCGATCAAGAAGCGAAAATATTTCACCATGCCCGAGATCCGACGATTCATGATCCAGACGTGCGGCGCTATCAAGTACCTGCACCAGCGTAACATTGTCCACCGAGACCTCAAGACCGGCAACCTCTTCTTGGACCGAGATATGAATGTCAAGGTTGGCGACTTTGGCCTCGCCGCGCTGCTTGTGTCACAGAGTGACTACGGCGCGATCCGAAGAACCACCATGTGTGGCACACCAAATTACCTGGCACCCGAGGTTCTTGAGAAGACAGGCAAAGGCCACGACGAGAAGGTGGACCTGTGGGCAATAGGCATCATGATGTAAGAGGACTACCACAAGGCGGCGGCGACACACTTACATGTTTAGGTACACACTTGCTGTTGGAAGGGCACCTTTTCATGCTGCCAAGCGAGAGGACATCTATCGCAAGCTCAAGGCTTGCGACTACACATGGCCAGACCTAGCCAAGTTTGCAAACGAGATCACCGACGACCTACGAGACATCGTGTCGTTGCTGCTCGTCCACGAAGACGAGCGACCCACCCCCGATCAAATCGTTGCCCATCCATTTTTCAAACTGGGCTTCATCCCGCTCGAGCTGGAAAGTGCATGCACCTCGAGGATACCCAAGTGGTCCAAGATCCGTCCCCCAACAGCATCAACCATCAAACGCGGGTACACCGAGGAGTGGTGGACAATGTGCAAGGCGTCTGCGGTTGGAGAATACGAGCCAGGAAAATCTTTCGGAGCATATGGCAGCAGAAGAAATAAGGCGGTGGCAAAGGATTGTCAGAAGGAGATCGAGGCGGGCAAGCAGCCCAACATCCCTTTCGCCAAAGACTGCGTGTACGTGCCTTTCCCTGCACGCGTGCAATGGCCACACCAGCCGACCGGAGGCTTGAGCGAGATCTCAGAAGAGAAGGAGACGTCTTCCGAAGGTCCAGCCCTCACAGAAACTACCGCCAATGAGCGGCCAAAGGGTCGACTGCCAAAGGTCTCGAGAAAAGAGCAGACGATGCCTACATTGAAAGAGAACGCTGAACCAGTCGAGGAACCCGAGGCCCCAAAGCGAATGCTAGATAAGCAACCAACTCGATTACGGGCCATACGCAAAATCTCGAATCCCGGCCGCATGACAGCCGCGACCGCTATAGCACCTGCTCCTCTACGTGTACCACGGGACTCCCGAACGACTACAAGAACACGCGTAGTCAAGGAGACTTCGAGAGCTACTGAGACAGGATTGCCTGATCTGCCACCTCTTAGAGTTGTAAAGACGACCGTTCGAGCGAGTGCGCAGCCAGAGCCACAAGTAGAGACAGAAGCAGCTTCGCAACAACAAACGACGCGAAGCGCACCGAGGATCAGGACAACGAGTGCAGAAATGCCCGCTACCGATCCAGTATCGGTATTAGCACGATTGCACGTCTTTCGCGACAATCTGGCACGAGCCCTGGAAAAGAAGACAGTCAAATCCAGACGAGATCAGCCCCCACATCTGCCATTTGTTTCCAAGTGGGTGGACTACTCACGCAGGTACGGAGTTGGGTATGTTTTGGATGACGGCACAATCGGAACGCTCTTGACAGCAGAAGATAAATACCCAGTCACGGCAGCATTTGCCCTTGATGGGTACACCCACTTGAGAAATGCTGGCAAGAATCGTGAACAAGCGAAGAACGTTGCGCTCAGCTTTTATACGACTGTGAAGAAGGATCGAGGATTGACCCGTATCGAAGTTCTCGACAAGCGACGCGTCGAGGAAGTAAGGACCGTGTGGCACAAATTCGGACGATACATGTGCGCATCTATATCGGACGAGGACGCGCCATACAGGAGGGATCCCAACCGGGCGAACTTCGTCAAGTTCTATCAAAGACTCGGCAGCGTTGGCATATGGGGTTTCGAAGACGGCGCCTTCCAGGTCAACTTCCCGGACCATACTAAGTTGGTGCTATCAGCCGACGCTGCATACGGTAAATTTATCTGCCTTCCGGTCGAGGCAGCTTTAAAGATGGAGGACTATGACAAGGGAAAATCCGAGCACCTACCATGGAAGTATGTCAAGACACGCGCTGTCCTTAAAGCCTCTCTACATAAGCTTCTGTATGGAACTGTAGATCAAGAGGACTACAAAGAGCAGACGGAGGCCAACCTTCTACGGGAAAAGATCGAGTTCATCCACAGTCTGGTGTCGGAATGGTGTCAACAGGGCGGTCTAGGTTGTTTGGCAAAGCCTAGAGACCACGTCTGGGAGGGACCCCAGCTGGAGGAGACGAAGCGCCTTGACTGGGCGAGTGTTGGACGATACGGTGGTGATGTCTTCTCATGATTTACGCACTTTGGGGTTTTCGGACGGCAAGCGACGGCGTTTTTGGGTATTGTTAGCAGGGCATAGGCATTTTCACGGCGTCTCTTTCTTTCTTTCTTTCTCGACACATGTTGTCGAGGCGTGTTCACTTTCGTTGAACGCTCACTTATGATGGTTCGCATACCAGGGACGGCGCATCGAATTTGTAGCCTAGCATTTGCAGGCCATTGAGAAATCAACCCATTTCACAAATCATCTTGATCTCGAGCATGGAATAGTGGCTACAAGTGATGGGGATATGGCTGCGAGTGCCATTTGTTGCCGCCTGAACGCTGGTGAACGACACGTAATTGACGCGACTATGGAGGCAAATGCTTCTAAAGTAATCTCATTCGGTGATTACATGGCGAGGAGTTGGGCGTTCAGGCTTGCGCGTCGTCTGAAAAGAGGCTGTGCGGCGCGGGTGGGGCTGGAGCTTGTCCGTCCCGACAAGGCCGCCGTCATCGTGCGCTGGGGTTCTAGGACCGCTGTCCGCTGATCGTACACATGCACATTTCGCGCGGCGACGCACTTCACGACTTCTCTGTACACCCTCGCCGCTGCTCCAGGTTCACAGCGGTCTGCATACCCGGGTTTAGCAGCACACACGACACCCCCCATTGAGTGACTCGAGCCACCACTTGAGCTCGCAGTTGGGCATCAGCCATGGTACCAGGCCCCAAATGCAAAGTCCCAAACCCCCTCGACATGCGCTGACTGGAGTTCTATGTAGGCAGTAACGAAGCGCGCAGGGCGCAAAAAAGATGCTGCTGCGGCCGGCGGAGGACAGCCAAAGTCGCAATTCGCAAAGAAGGCCGTCTTCGAGACCACCAAAAAGAAGGAAGTCGGAGTCTCAGATCTGACCCTGATCAGCAAGGTTTCGAACGAGGCGATCAACGAGAACCTGAAGAAGCGCTTCGAGAATGGCGAGATATACGTGCGTCGACCCGCAAGCGCATGCCCCGCGCCCGCCCAGTACTTGAAAGGAGAGGGGCACAGCGACTGACGGAGGCATAGACATACATCGGACACGTGCTGGTGTCTGTGAACCCTTTCCGCGACTGTAAGTGAGAAACCGGCGCACAGCATACGGAGATACTGACAGCGGGCAGTGGGCATATACACCGACCAAGTACTGGACAGCTACAAGGGCAAGAACAGGTTGGAGGTGCGGCGCATGACTTCCCATGGGCGCTCTGGACTAACGAGAGCAGGTCCCACCACATGTCTTCGCAATCGCCGAGTCCTCGTACTATAACATGAACGCATACAAGGAGAACCAGTGTGTCATCATCTCAGGAGAATCTGGAGCAGGAAAGACCGAGGCTGCGAAGCGCCTCATGCAATACATTGCCAGTGTCTCTGGGGGAAGCAATTCTTCGATTCAGGAGATCAAGGACATGGTGCTGGCCACAAATCCTCTGCTGGAATCATTCGGAAACGCAAAGACGCTGAGAAACAACAACTCTTCGCGATTCGGAAAATACCTCGAGATCCACTTCAACGCGCAGGGAGAGCCGGTGGGAGCAAACATCAACAACTACCTACTTGAGAAGACGCGAGTAGTGGGCCAGATTACGAACGAGCGCAATTTCCATATCTTCTACCAGTTCACAAAAGCGGCATCATCGCAGTACAGAGGTATATTTACCTTCAAACTTTCTGGGTACGCAATTCTGACAATCATAGAAATATTCGGCCTACAGCAACCGCAATCCTACCTTTACACAAGCCGATCGAAGTGTTACGATGTACAGGGCATTGACGACCACGCCGAATTCCAGGACACACTCAATGCTATGAAGGTCATTGGTCTAGAACAAGCAGAGCAGGACAACATTTTCCGAATGCTTGCAGCAATTCTGTGGCTAGGAAACGTATCTTTCCAGGAAGATGACTCCGGCAACGCTGCAATCGCAGACCAGTCGGTAGTCGACTTTCTGGCCTACCTCCTAGAAGTCGATTCAGCACATGTCAACAAAGCGCTCACCATTCGCATTATGGAGACAAGCCGTGGCGGCCGGAGAGGTTCGGTGTATGATGTGCCGCTCAATATCGCCCAAGCAGGAGCTGTACGGGATGCGCTCGCGAAGGGGATCTACTTCAACCTTTTTGACTGGATCGTGCAGCGCGTGAATATATCTCTGAAAGCCCGCGGAGCCACTGCGCATTCAATCGGTATCCTGGATATCTACGGATTCGAGATCTTCGAGCGCAACAGCTTTGAGCAGTTGTGCATCAACTACGTCAACGAGAAGCTGCAGCAGATCTTTATCCAGCTGACCTTGAAGGCGGAACAAGAAGAATACGAGAGGGAACAGATCAAGTGGACGCCGATCAAGTACTTTGACAACAAGATCGTGTGTGAGCTCATCGAGGAGAAGCGACCACCGGGTGTCTTCGCGGCCCTCAACGACGCGTGCGCTACCGCTCACGCAGACCCCACAGCCGCAGATCAGACCTTTGTCCAGCGACTAAACGCCCTTTCTTCGAACCCCAACTTCCAACCACGTCAAGGCCAATTCGTCATCAAGCACTACGCTGGAGATGTGTCGTACGCAATTGATGGCATGACTGACAAGAACAAGGACCAATTGCTGAAGGACTTGCTGAACCTCCTGGGTAACAGTGGAAACACGTTTGTCCACACATTGTTCCCCAACCAGGTTGACCAAGACAACAGGCGGCGGCCTCCTACCGCAGGAGATAAGATCAAGGCCTCCGCAAATGATTTGGTTACCACGCTTATGCAGGCCCGTCCTTCCTACATTCGTACCATCAAGCCCAACGAGAATAAGTCGCCGAAAGAGTACAACGATCCGAACGTTATGCATCAGATCAAATATCTCGGTCTGCAAGAGAACGTTCGAATTCGCCGAGCCGGGTTTGCTTCGCGTCAAACCTTTGACAAATTTGTTGAACGCTTTTTCTTGTTGTCTCCGAAATGTTCCTACGCTGGAGAGTACACTTGGACTGGCGACTACGAAACTGGTGCAAAGCAGATCTTGAAGGATACTAACATCCCAGCTGAGGAGTTCCAGATGGGTGTTACGAAGGTATTCATCAAGACGCCTGAGACACTCTTTGCCCTGGAAACTATGCGCGACCGATACTGGCACAACATGGCGATACGAATCCAAAGGGCCTGGCGAAACTACCTGCGTTACCGATCTGAATGTGCGATACGCATTCAACGATTCTGGCGCAAGCTCAACGGCGGCAAGGAGTTTATTGAACTTCGTGATCAAGGTCACAAGATCCTTCAGGGTCGCAAAGAAAGGCGACGTTACAGTCTTGTAGCTACCGGAGATTTATGGGTGACTATCTTGGCATTGGCAACAGAGGCGGCTCGGGCGAAGTCATAGCGAACGCTATTGGTATATCTGG